TATTTTAAATATGGTATTCTCTATTCTTTTTATAGTACGAAAACTTCAAACCCTAAATAGCTTCTAATTACTGGCCACTTTAATAATTTGACAAAAATCTAAACCCGTTTACTTAAATTTTTTGTAGTAATTTCTTTGAGTGTTACAGCAAAAGTAGCAGGAGCTATGGCAGGATCGAAGGGGGCAGCAGGGACACGGGACAGCGATGTGCGGCGCGGCGCACTCGCTCATCTTCCCCGCGGCTATTGGCGTCGTGCAATGTTGCAGGAGCCTTTTTCCTGCTCTGTATACCGTATGCCCGATGCTGGGTGCTGTATGCTGCATGCTGTATGCTGTGTGTTCTGGCCAAGAGACCGGGGCAACCAAAAGGCCTGGCCATGAGCCATGAGCCACGGCCATGTCGCTTGATGATTCGTGTATCGCAAACCGCCACTAAAACAACTAAAGCAACTACACACTGTCCAGAGCAGTGTGGAGCGTTTGGCTTCTCCCGAAATTTGAATCTGCCTGCATCTGCATCTGAAGACTTAACGAATATGAACGAAATGGCCCCGGGGCCGTTTCAAAATATTACCACACTCGAGCTATACGAACCGAACATACAGACGTGCGTTCGGGTGAATGCGGAAAATTATGGCGAAGTAGTTGCAGATACAAACACTCAATCACAGGGGCTCCTTCGCTCCATTTGCATACCAAACCCAAACTCGGCCCTTAATAACAAAGCCATAAGGCCTAAGCAGACCTATTAACCAGAGTCATAACCCCCATGGCCCTGTGGCTCTTCTGGCCATATTCTACTAAAACCTAAATGGCTCCATGAATAGTAGATGTAGATCCTCCACCATCACAAGGATGTTGTTTTATTTAAATAGTTTTGAACTATTACTATTTTTATTTATTTATTTTCCGGCAATGCAAACAAACAATTTTTTTAATACATTTTTTAACATTCATCAATGAATATTAACTCACGAGTCTGATCTAGAAACATTTAAAAATTTTTTAGTGGGGACTTAATCAAATATTACCATTATTACATATGTATCTATTATTCATAGATCTTTATATAATATCACCAACTAAGGCTTAGAGTTAGATATGGAAACAAAAAATGATAAAATCAATTAAAAATCAACATTAAATACTTAGAGGAGGTTAGCTAGGTTCTAAAGAGCTAATCCCTTAGTACTCTGAATATTAGACATCAAAAACATAAGTAACTTACAAGAAAACCTCCTTTTGTTTAACAACCTTTAAATATTATAAAAAATAACTCTAATAAACCATATTAAAATCTCAAGCTACACTTCACAACCGAAACATAATTAAGGCAATTTAATTTCAAAATTATTAACAAGCCTCTCCTCGTTTTCCATCCTAATTTTTGTGTCAGTGCCTTTTGTAATTTAGTCAGAATTAATTTGGGCTTCAGCATACCTCTCATCCGAGAGCGGTTCTCCCAAAACTCAATATATTTTTTGGAAAATCACCGCAGATTGCGATTTGCATGTGGAATGCACTTGTCTTTTGCCGCGATTCCGAATTGGCGGCCGAATGGCCAGAGCCAAGGAGTGGGATATGGTTGAGGAGTCAAGGAGGAAGGCTACAGATTGGCAGTCCAAGTTAAGTAAAGTAATGTCAAGTCAGGATCGGAGAAGTCGGGGCAGTAGTCATGCAAGTCCTGCGGCATTCACGAGTTCCTCCCGGGGCGATCGCATTTAAGACGCATCTTAAATGAGGTGCTCGGGCCAGGTCTACAGATTTGCAGTTTCAGGCTTACCGACCAGCTTTCAGGCCCTCTTTTTTTTGCTTCCTTGCCTGCTGTTTTTTTTTTTGGAGGGCCAAGCTTATGACTGGCTCAAAGAAAGCTGCCATTTTCGGGATTGCACGTGTATGGGTGATTACCTTTGTGTGTAGTGGTGTAGGTGTGGTGTCGGCAGTAGGCAGTTGGTAGTTGCAAGTTGGTAGTTGGTAGTTGGCACAAAGGTGTACTTGGGCGCATTTACCACAAACACACGGACCACTGTGCATCACGATTTATGGCAATGCTGCGGGGAGGATTGGAAATTAATTGGTAATGCGAGCAGTGCATCGGTATCCGAATCGGAGCTAAAAATGGCGGACCGATCATCGATCGATCGATCTCTTGTCGTGGCCGCAATCAAAAATCGTGCCGCCGCAATGAAATCGCTGAAATGGAGGTGGGCCTGGGCCTGAGTTCCACGTCTCCCTGTCTCCATGCGGCGTTGGGACGTTCGGTCGGAGGATCGAATGAAAATACCCCCAACATTCCGCCGCCGCAATTGGATAATGCACCTGATCACCGCTTCCAGTCCACGAAATTTACTACCTTTACCAGATATATACATATACATGCATGCCCCCATAGGTAGCATCGTGATTCGCTGTACATATATCCATAATGTGCATGTGCAGCACGCTCTCGAGGCGGCGAGATCACGGTTTCATATCTTCATTTGCCCCCGATGCCGATTCGAACTCAACACCGAAATAAAAAGCAGTTAAGGTCGTTGCAATTATCGAAATGTATAAGGGCTTTCTACTCCTTCTTGATCACAAACTAATTGCCTTTTTTATAGAGCCAAATTAAAAATCAATGTGAAGTCATAAAAGATAGCTAATTACTTGCTTTTAAACTTTAACTACTTGAACTTTTAACTAAAGGATCTTTCAAAAGGTATACAAGTTTTACCTATTATTACTTAAAAAAGGAACAATCTTTATACATTTTAGAGAAAATCTTTATCTTAAAAATACCAACATTTCTCCTCCAACATAACTTAATTGTACAGCTTTTCCCCTAGCAACAAAAGGTAGGAGCCCTTAAATCCATTTAAGTCAGTTACAAAGTTAATGACGTTATTCAATTTGCAGAGACAAACATTCAAATCTCGGACTAAACGAAATCAAGTGATTTAATTTTCCACAGTTGCTAATCCTCAGCGCGTTTATTTCCGACATTAATTGGGTAACCTGAAAATAATACAAGAATAAAAGTGTCCTGATTCCGTGAATATTAAGAAGGCTAAGACAGGATGAAATAGAAGGCTTAAGAAATCTGTTTTTCAGGCAACCCTATGTTATATTTTTGGAGCACAATGAGTAAAGCATTTTGGGATAGAAACTGTTTAATGCTTTATTATAAGAATTATTTAATTAGGTTTATTGACAAATATTACCCAATCAATGTCAAATTCTAATTAATAATCTATTAGTTATTAGATTATGAATTTCATTAACGAAAAATAACATCTTAACAACATTTTTGGTCAATACCAGGGGGTTACTGAACATTAAGATATGTAGTTCTTGTCGGGGTCACCAGTTGGGAATATGGATTTTTGATCAGAATACTTATAACTAAAAACTAATTGGTAACTCTTAGATTGTTTATCTCTTCAATCAACAATAGGACAACAATAATTATGGAAAAAAATTAGGATTTTAATTTAAATGATACCTTGCTGTCCTTGTACAATGTAATATCCCCGTGTTCGTTAGAAAACGAAGAAAAATGGAATCTGTTATTTTCGGTTTGTTTTGATTATGACGTGCAGTGATACAGATACAGATACGCATTTACATTTACAAACATAGGAAAAATTTGTGTGCGGAATATGTAAATTCGAGAAAATGTGTGCGGCGAGGGCAAATAACCCAACTCGTGGAATGGGATGATCTGGGTATATTTTCAGTACATAGGTGGGTAATATACATATACACCTATATGCCCGATAATCCCCCCATGGAAAATGCTGCAGAGGAAAAAGAACCCGAAGCACGTACCACTGGCAATCATTTGGCGTCCGAGTGAGAGCAGCACGGATGCCAAAATGCCCCGATGATGCCCGGGTTTTCCCAGTAGCAGAAGCCACCCTCGGGGCAAGTTGCCAACCCCGGGTTTGCAACCCCTATATGTGTTGTATCTGTATCTGGCAGGCAGTGTATCTGCAGCTGTATCAGTGCTTTCTCTGTGGGTGTGTGTATTGGGGTGTATCTGTGTGTGGATTTTGTATGTGCAGAAGCTGCACTACCAACGCGATGCTGCCGCAGCCTCTGGGTTCGGCCCATTGTCTAGTAGTCCGGTGCTGGCGGGGCGTGGCTTCCGAAATATAAATGGCTGTGCGCCGGCTCTCTTTGCGCCTGGGCCGGCTCTCTTTGTTCGGCTCTCTTCAATGGCCGAGAGCCAAAAACCTGCTGCCCGCATCCGTATCTCTGTATCTGTATCTGTGGCGCGTATCTGTGTGAGCGGCCAGTTCACAAATACATGCGTACAAAACAGCTAACCGGCGAACGGCACTGGCTTTGGGCATTTTTTCCTATGTATTCGGCAGCTGTATTTTGTATCTTGCAACGGTGTGTGGGTAAAAAATACATCAGTAGCAGCAGCAGCGGCAGCACCAAGCCAGCAAACCAAGGAGGCAGCAGCAGCAGAGGCAGCATCAACATCGGCAGCAGCAGCAACAGCAGCAACATCAGCAGCAACAGCACTACCATCGTACATCCCCCGAAGGTTTTTGCGTCCAACCAGAAAATCCAAATTCAGTCGAGAACTACGTCTGGTGGCTGCGCAAAGGCGGAATTTCGTTTGCGGGTCTTTCGCTTAATTAACCGAACCGAAATCGAGCCAAACCAAAACCAAAACCCAACCGTATCGAACGGTTATTCAAATCGAATTTGAATATCAACAATAATAATAATAATTATAACAAATTCAGAGCTAATCTCTTGTCCACATCGGTAGTGTAAAGTGTACATAGCGGCGGATACGTAACTTTTAATTAAACTTACACTATCTCTTAAACACACACACACACCACATAGTTGCCTTACCCAGTGCCAAAAAAAAAGTAATAAAATCAATTTTCAATATTTAAAACAAAAAATAAATATTTAGTGATTGTACCTGTTTTGTATCTCAACTGGCTAAAGTGTTCACAAAAAAAATAGGGGAAAAAAAGGCAAAACGCAAGCCCCCCAAAACAAAAATTAAAAAAATCTACGCCTATGCCCTCTAATTAATTGAAAACATCTTCAAATAATTTACATCAAAATGCACATCCTACATCGCACCAACGATCATCAGTTTGAGGATCAAAAGTTCATGATGGTAAGAATCGATCTCCCCGTGTAAACTTAATCCGATTGCAATCCTGTTGATAAGCGGTTTGCGCTCAGGACCACATAAGTGATCTATTGTAATTATCTGTCAGCCAAAATCTGCAAATTAAGCCCGAGCTTCAGAGTACCAGGCCACTCAAAATCAGATATTGAACCATCGATCAGAGCCCATGGGCCACGCCGCTTGATTGACACTAAAATTTCTTTGGGCACTTTCGGGCACGCAAGCACTTTGGGCCAATTACCCGACCTGGCCCGACTGCAGAATTGTGCCCGTGATTCACACACAAACTGATTACCATTCTTTGGCATTCTAGCCGCAAAATCAATGACCAATTTATAGTAATGGCCTTTCCATCCAGTCCGTATGGCACACTCTCAAGCTGGGAAATACAAAATTACATGTTTTGTTTCAATAGTAAGATATTATCCGATCACTCAGGTCCTTTAAAAAATATATGTTCATGATCGGTCTCTAATGAGAAGATTATGTTTAGGTTTCATACAGAAATTCCCAAAACTGTCTAGCATAAAAGTAACCACTTTAAGAGAATAAACTTTCGAAAGAAAGTTTAGAACCTATCCATCTAAAAGAACGTATATAGTATCATGATATCATTGTATTCCTAAATCTATGAACAACTTTTTAGATAACATTTTTGATGTTTATTCAAATTTTTTTTTAAACTAACTATCTGAAATCTGCCGTCGGTAGACATCAGCCCAGTAAAGGTTGCATTTCCCAATGGGGGATAGGATAATTATGAAGTTAGGATTCATCACCTCATTATTTTACTCAAACTATTATTAAATTCCTTAGGAATGTGTGTTTCTAATTAGAATCCCATGAGATTTAATCTACATTGTTATCTAAAACCAAACTACTAAGCTTAATAAAGTATTAACAACCATAAATAAACTACAGCTACGATCTTAAGATCACCAAAGAACAGACATAATAATATAATTTTTTTCGTATATTCTAATAGGTAGCTTATTCTTTTTTTCTAAAATCAAATAATACATTTCATTTTAATCCTTTGATTAATCTAATTCTTTATTTATATATTTTATTATTTGTTTATATCCCTCTGACAAGTACAGGCATTAAGCCCCTCACAAAGAAACCCCTAAAAGGCGTACCTCCTAATACAAGAAGTTATCATTTTAGTAAATACGATAAAAACGATATAATTACATATGAGAGTCCTTTCAATATTAACGTTATGGGAAAATGCAGTTGGAAACAAAAAACTGGGGGATCCATTAAGGATCAGACACGATTTCGAAACTGAAAACCAAAAATCATATGGGCTGTGGGAGTGTTCAAACGTCAAGGGCCAAAAAATCAAATACAACTCTCTAAATCAGTAACTCTTCGATATGCGTTTTTTCGAAACAAAAAATGCGTGGGTACACGCTCCCCCTATTTAATTAGCGAAATTATATGGTGTTTTCGGCTTCCAAGAACTTTGTTTGAGGCTCGATATAAAAAAATAGGGCAATTTGAACGGGGCAAGGGCCAAAGATCAAAACAAAACAAAAACAAAACGACGAGAGGTAGACGAAAAGTCATCGCCCACAAAAATCGCAATGGGTATGCCGAGTATGTTGGCATTAGCTTTCGCCTCGACCATGGCCCGAAATGTTGGCTAAATCAGGTAAGATCCCACTGGGACACTCGCGTGATGCGTTGCCAAAATAATTTATGAGATTGAAGCGCAACGCATCGTCAATTTGCGTGCGATGCCCAAATTCTAAAAAACCAAAAAAAAAAAAATTAAAGGAAAAAGAATGCCATATACAGGGATGCTCCGGATCAGGTTGGCTGAAAAGTTCCCATAGCCCCCGAATATATCAAAAAATATTCAAGCTTATTTATTAGCCAAACATCCGAAGCATCGAAGGGCCGAATAACCCATCTGATTGATGGCTTCCCTTATGATTTATTGAATAATTTCTTTGCAATTTAGAATAATTGTTCCAATTTCTGCCAATATGCAATGCCGATGTATGGTAATTGTGTTTAGGATATTGGCTAAAAAGGCTTGCCCTCTTCGAATCAAGTAATTGCCTTCGAGAATAAATATGCATGGCCTGTCGTCATTTAATTTCCATCTCAATTTTAGTACGATCCCTTGATTAAAGTCGACCAAAAATAAAAAGATTTTATTAATCAATAAATTCGATTTCATGCAAAGGATAATAATTACATGTGCGGGTGGGGTTGGTATGTAAATTTCTGGATTTCCGCTCGAGGCCATTTCCGTTTGCACCTAATCCTGGGGAAATAAAAACTGCATATGTGCAGGCATCAAAATTGATTTCATTTGCGGAGAGGAAATTAAAAAGTCCAAACAAAACTAAATTGATTGGCAAGATAAATGTAAATGTTCATAACCTGGCCAAGAGAAGATCCGCCAGCAGAATCAAGTGTCGGAGCGAACAGCGAACGGCGAACGGCGTGTGTTAGGCTCGTGGCAAAGTAAAGCCAAGCTCAGAGCTCGGCTTTAAGTCCGGGCCTCCTTTTAGCCAAAAGCTAAAGCCCAGACAAGAAGGCCAAAACAGAATATTGGCCGGCATGCGTTGCCAACGAGAAGAGGAGGAGGAGGTAGGTGGAGTAGATTGGGGAGGAGGGGAACTGCAGTTGGATTGCACGGAAAGCCAGCCCTTTGGAGGCAGATTGCAAACGGTCTCGGAGACGAACCACGATGAGCTGCGTCCAGTTGGGTCTACACAGACAGAAAAATATATATTCTTGCAGTCAGAATAAGATATTGGTAGATACTACTAAAAATACTATAATGATTTGTTTTATTACTATTTAAAAGTTGAAAAAAATGTTAGTTTCGTTTAAGTTTATCTCTGATTTAAATATATATCTTTTTTTAAGGGCCTTTATGTATTTATTTTTCTCGGCGTACTTGCATGGCCGCCCTGGCTCGTTCTTCTATTCGTCATTTGTGCACTAGAAGTGCAGACGAAGTCTTTCGATTTTAGCCAAGCAGACTCCGCATATACCCAGCAGGTTTAATACATTTATGAATGGGTTTTACTACTTCATTAAGAGCCCTACTCCTTGCTCCTTTTTGGCCCTACTCCTCTGTCTTGGGGAGTCCTCGCATTCGTATTCGCATTCGCATTCGGATTGGGATTGGGATTCGGATTCAGAATGGGATTGGAGCGCGTGCGCAGGCGCAGAGGAGTTCACGGAGTTCCTGGTGTACCCTGGGATCGTAATAAGCAAAAATCGATTATCGTCCGCTGAACATTTCCATTGTTGTTATGAATATTATACATATGCAGCGTTTGGAGCGAAGCTTCCTCTTAAATTCGTTTAATTTATAGCTCTTCCGACAGTTCCAACATGCAGCTCCCAATAAATGACAGGACCGGACGTCGAACGAATGTGTAATCTAATTGGAAACGAACCAATTTTAAAGCTCCGCCAACTTTCCGGCCAGTATGTAAATTTATTTTCAGCCTCTACTTCCTTAAAATCATCATTGCAGAGTCCAGAATATAGAGTAAAGAATGCTGGATTCTATATTTACTGGCAATATTATGACAATGCCCGCATGAACTTGGCTTTTATTCTATGGGCCTGGCCCCAAAAAGGGGGGTATTTATGCCACGTCCTCCCCCTGTGCTGCCCCAACACCATCATTCAACTTGACAGCGTAATTAAAAGTCTGGTCCATACGATGAAAGTGAGGAGTTTTATAAAATGTTAGGGACTACTTGTTTTATATGTCGTATTATAATTGGTGGCATTCAACTTCGGACCAGGTAGTCCCAAAATTGAAGAAAAAAAAAACTGGAAAGCATGTTCTTTTCTTGGTCTCGGGACTGGGAGGGCGCATCTTCGGTTTGGAGGAATGATTTGGAGCAGCAATTTCAGTAATAGCTGCTCCCGATCGGGACCACAATCGAGGGCAATTCGCGACTCCTGTGGATCCCTGTGTACTGGCTACCGTATAAGTATTCAAAATCATTACGTCACCGCGAAGGAATTCGGACGTGATTGCTTTTATGGAAGCCACGTGCTAATTTAATTATTATTTGCAAATACTTTCGAAGTGAGCGGTTTCATCCATTCTTTTGCCGCTTTTTTCTTAGGTTTTTGAGGCCGGATCTGTTACACGGTGGTTTGGCCTTTAATCAGATAGTTTATGGCTTTTTTAAGGAGTTGTTAGCCTCATAATTATTTATGTAAGTACCAAAGCAGACGGTTTCAACACTACTCCAAAAGGTACCTATCAGAGTATAGTTAACTTTCATATGTACATCATTCAATCTTTACAAAATAAAAAATGTAGATTTTTTAGATTCTAAAAACTTTGCTTAAGAATCGTATGATTGTTGGAAATATTTACTGCCTCATTCTGTATTTTTAAACAAAATAAAGTGAAAATCTAAACCATAAACTAGTCTTTTGGAAGAATACAAAATTTGTTAATTTTATTTATATCTTAAGCTTACGTTTTCCATCATTTTTTATGGAAAAACACTTTGTTTTTTCTGTGTGTACTGTGGTGAGTAATCACCTCTCAACACACCACCAACACCATTACATGCTCTTTACACACATGGCGCCATCTACCTCTTGTCTTTGATGAATCCATCGTTAGATGGCGCTAGCGATTGGGGGGAGTTTTCAAATAATTAATGTACACTTAGCTTTAATTCGTTTGATGCTTAAGTTGTAGTTTTTATTATTTATTTTTAAAATGTTTAATAAATTCTACATCTTTCATTTAATCAAAAAAAAGTATGGTAGAATTAAAAATTGTACTGTTTTAGCATTAAAAGTATAATCCCAAGTAGGTGACCTTTGAGCCTAAAAGCCTTTAAAATAAATTGCATACTTAAATTTATTATTCCCAAATAAGAAGCCATGGACTTACTCTATTTAAGTAATATTATTATCATAATTATGTGGGAAGTCGGGCTAGGGTAAACGGATAAAAAATAAATGTCCATTTAAATATAATAAATCCCTGATAAAACCATTAGAGTGGAATGGTGATGTTCAACGTAGCACCTGATCCTAAAAGTTGAAACTACCCAAAGCTGGTCCAATTTGAATTCCAAATAAATTAGATCAGCACGTGCACATATTGAGGAACTCGATTGGGCCAAAAGATGCACACGCCAGAAACCGGAGAAGAAGTCCAATTCAAGACTGATGTGGTGCTGGGGGAGAATCGGCTAAAATCACATTGAAGCATGTATTGTAATAGGCCGGCTTGAAAAGTGAACCCTGATTTTGGAGTCAAAACTCTTTTAATGGCAATTGATCATTCGCAAGTGGATAACATTTCATTAGAATACCGAGTGAAGTGCGCATTTTATATACAAAATATATCGTATGTGTATTGTGCGTACATACGAGTATTTTCGGTGGGTTCGATGGGTCTATGGTGCTGCGGTGGTTCTGCGGTTCTGCGATGGTGCTCAGTACTGGGGTTCTATGGTGCTTTTTTATGTATGACCGTCGCTTGGAACACACTTGAGGTGAAACTATTTCGACCTGCTCAACAGCTTCCAACTGTCTACCTGTGCCTACAATAATACCAACAACAATAAGACAAAACCAGATAGTCTCCGAGTCCGAGGCGGCCAGAAAACCATTCGAACCTTTATAATTTATTTATCTTTATCTTGAATTACGCCATGGGAGTATTGACCACCAGAGTAAGTCCGAAATTTCAGCATATTCATGTCTGGCAATAACAAACAATGGAGTAAAATTCTGAATTTCATGTGATTGAAAACCAAGAGTTTCCAATCGCACAATTAATAATAGACAGCCAAAAAAAAATCAAAAAATCCAAGATCCAAGAACAAAATAAATAAATAAATAAAAAATAACAGCAAAACTCAAATTTTCGGGCAACGGGCGCTTACAGCTTCCAATCCAAATGATTGGCAAACTGGCAAAGGGTCAAAAGCATTACTCAAAAGCCACGCATACGAATAGAACCTGAGCTGGTCAAGAGTACACTCATAAAAATTATAAACTACATTTAAACAATAAGTAAAGATTTTATAAGAAAGGATTAAACTAAGTAGTCAATAAACATGCATTGCAGATTTTCATAAAATCCTTAGAAATCTAAACCAATTCCCCATTTCTCCGGGTGTACATATTGATGATTATCGAGTGACGGCAAGAGCCAAGAATAAGCCTCGAATAAGCCGCCACGGATGAGTCTTGGCAGCTACCTAATATTAAATCACATCCACCAACAAAATCAAAGTAAACAAACCAGTAGTAAATATTCAAAAAATATTCCAATAAATCTTTTATCTTTGCGAAACTTGGAAGAATTCGTCTCCCATTAGATACTGCACTAGACCCACCACAAATACCGTTTTAATTGATCAGAAAACCCAGAGTAATACCAAGATTTGACTTTGATTAGAGCCAACCACGAATTCTTAAGCGAGAAATGCGCTAAATCTTTTTTTGTGTTTTGTTTTTGGAGGGATAGGATATATGGAAAAAGAAAACCAACAAGAACCACCGGCCGTCGATAGTCGAATATTCACGCAAAACAAAAGAGAACCGGTTTACCTGTATTCTTAAATATTCTATTTGATGTTGGCAAATGACAAGATAATCCAAAGTAATCAATCAAAATTATTTTAATTTATTAAGCCACAATAAAGTCGTGCCCGATCCGCAATTGCCACGTTCTTTTGGGCCACAAAACCAAAGAACGCTCCCTAACCAAAGGTGAAGCCCAGCGATCAAGATTTCTGGGAGTTAGGTTTAACCATGTGTGCTTGTAATGTATATTCACCAAAATTAAACAAAGAATTTGTTGATTAATAATTTGATAGGAGTAGTTTAAAATACAAGTAAACATTTATCTTAACTTGGGATTTATTTGGTTTTGAAAAGTTGGTAAAGCTTGTCATGATTTATGAAAAGGATTGGAGGGTATATGTTTTTAGAGATGGTTTATTTGAATAATAATGTCATTATTAGGGCCTAATTATTGAAGATGAATTACCTTAAATAAACCACCAATCCTTTATATTAAGACATATGCCCCCTAAGAACCCTTTACTTTCTTAATCAAATGTCAAAATAAATTACCCGTCATTTCCAGAGCATCCTCCAGTAATTGCTTGTGAGTTATAAATAATTGTAATGGCATTTGAATGTTTGGGCTATACATACTATATTTATATGAATTAGTTGATTAAAGCGATGCGAATCGTGAAGAAATAGAGCGTATGAGCGCCTCATAGGCCGCCTTGTTTGGGCCACTTTGAAAAAGATTCCATATTTGGACGACAATGACTGCCCAGTAGCCGCGATCCGGATCCTAGCTTGCACAATCGAATAAACATGTTCGATTTGTGAAAACTCTCAACGTTTTGTGTCAAATTACTGTCATTCTTTTTCCGCAAATCCCGATACAATGCGGAATTAAGGCCGAGGCAGGTGGATGCGGTCCTCCCTTCTCATCCTGCTCCGGTTCCACCTCCACTCCATCTCCCCTGCCATTCATATTCATTCTAATCGAGTGAAATGTTTTCCGCAGTTAGTCTAAATTTAAGGAATCAATATTGGGTTAGCGTTATGGATATCTAATGTGCGGGTGGGTAAATGGAGGTGTTCTTATCGCGGGCATCTTCCATTGACACCGCATCCTGCCAATTCAAAAGGACGCGCGACTGGGCAGGATGCAAAATGGCTTGTGTGATACCATTGACTAAGCCAAGCTTCCGACCTCATTATCCTTTTGTGGTGTCCTGGCCGCACAAGCCCACACACTCGGTAACACACCCATTTAAATTTGTGTAAGTCGGTAATCATGTATTATACTTGCTTCGGTCCTTGGCCCATCGACCGACCTCTAACGGTAGCGACTGCGTAGCAAAGAGCCAGCTGAAAAGCCAACCTCAACCTCCGGCTCAAGCCCAGTCGACAGACCAAGAAACCCAAACCCAGACCAAAATCCAAACCCTCTTTTCTGCCTTTTTGGCACACTGACGAGAGACTAGTTCTCATTTCGCGTTCGTCGCTCGTCGACTGCTGATGCTGCTCTGCCGTCGGTTGCTAATAAAAAATCGCTCGCGGCACTTTTTTAATTCCCCCATCACGTGTCCACCATCTATATAATCTCTTGTGATATATCAACCAAAATTTTCAAAAAACTAAACTAAATACTTAAGAAAGTCCCACCTATAGTGCGTCCATTAAGTTACAGTGTAAAATTGACGAACATGATAACATGACTTTAGCCTATGTGGATATGCCAGCTGTAATTCAGGTTCAGGTATATAGTTCCAAAAAGCTGAGAATAAATCTCGAAATGATTAATTGTGCATAAAATTAAGTTGACCCCTGACTTGGATGCCACAAGTTAATATATGGATAAATGTCCAAAGAAGTGGCCGCTCAAAATGTGAAATCTCAAATGTGGAAAATTACTTTTCGAAGACTTTACAGTTCTTGAATTTTGAAATAAACTCAAATCATGGACATTATAACACCCAATTAATATTTTATTTAATCAAAAGAATGCTACTTGAACTTCTATAACTAAATCCGGTTTGAGGATCGATATGGTTTATGAAATTTATCGACAAGAAGCCATTGGAATATTAAAAGTTAACTTTTGAGCTCGTAAATTGAGCTTTTGAGCTACGAAACCGTAAATTTTATTTTAAAATCATAGAGTTCTTTAAACTTAAAGTTTATATCGTATATCTTAAAGTTTACTTAACAATTGGTGTGAACATAAAAATTTATCATTTAAAAGTTGACTATGAAAGTTAATCATGAAGGTTTCAAAATTTTTCAAAAAAGACACAGAGATCGTCAAAGAAACTTTAGCTTTAAAAAATATAGTAGAAATCTAATAAAAAAATTACTAAATGATAATGTGATTCACACATACATCTTGTTTAAAGAAATGTCTTAAACAAAATATACAAGATATACGTATTACAAGTTCCATCCATTTACCGGCGGGTTTTCTCTACAAACTTTTGCAACCCAAAATATCTTTCACAAAAAATTGTTTGAAAAATCAATTTAGAACCGGAAATGTTTCACGAAATGGGCTAATGTGCGTCTATGTGTTTTCCCCCAGGAACGGCTCAGTGGACATGGGAGTCTAGGGCTATCCGGCAGCAGTGCGGCGTACACAACGCATTCCGGCGGACACACGGGCCGGAGTGGTCCGGCCACCGGGCACAGTGGGCACAGCGGTGGATCGGCGGCCACCATGCACCACCAATCGCTGCAGTCCGACTTCCAGCCGCCGTATTTTCCGCCCCCCTTCCACCACTCCACACAGAGTCCCCCTCAGCAACAGGTAAGTCCTGTCCCCCAACCCAGCCCCCTTACAGGCTAGTGGGTTTCCCCCGATTACTGGCAACTGTTATTCAGATATCCGTACCCGGCTACTTGCAGAACCACGGTGCCCTGGAGTATTTGGGCACGGATCCTTATGGCCAGCCCCTGTCCTCGCTGCACCACGCTCCTCTGCACCACTACAACCAGCTGGCGGGCCTGAGGTCAACGCAGGATCAACTGGGGATACACAGGACTCACAGGGAGGCGGAATTGCAGGGACATGTCGTAAGTACAAAAAAAAAATTAATATATTTTGATATTTTCTAATATTATTTTTTTTTGTATTCCTAACTCATAAATAGTTTTTCTTATAAAAACTTATAACTTAGTAAAAACTTTAATCAGTCATATATATTGTAAGATTTTTCTAACTAACTAAATTATTTCATTTATTTAATTTCTTCATGTGTAAACCAATTGAGAGTGAAATTATTACAAATACTAACTAGAAGATACTTTGAGCTACGAACTCAATCTTTTATCCGTTTAAGAATTTGCGTCTTCTTTCGCATTATTTTGGCATATTTTCCTAAATTCTTGGCTTCCGGAGGCCTTGCTGGAAAATGCTGCCGGGGTGGAAAGGTTTCCCCTTATTCTGTGAAAGTTGTCGAAGTTATTTTTGAACGAATTCCATTCGAGTGCATTAAAAAAAACAACGTTTACGAAAAATGTTAAAAATGCTCTTCAGATTTCACGAGAACATCTTGCCAAGAAAACGATGAAATTCCTAGCTCTGCCTTAGCTCGCCGAAGGGAGTCTGTTTGCCTCATCCATACAGACTTACAGCCTTACATTCACATCCTTATTCACAGCCACATCCACATCCACATCTACATCCTCATCCACATCCACATCCACATCCACATCCACATCTACAACCCGGCTTTATCCTAAGGCGCTGCAGTAAAAACGCAACGTTAATGTTAGGAAAAGGCGTATCCTCTGGTGCGCATCTGTCCGCCAAAGGGCGAAAACACTCACACAGATACTCTGGCCGAAGCTCGCCTGTGCTTGTGTGTAAGTGTGTGGCAGCCGGTCTTCATACACACACACACATGTATTTTGGTGGCAAGGAGCTGGGATTGGCTATGGTTATGCGGCAACTTCAACCCCTTGGCAAAACCGAACCGCTGATGTATTAATAATCTCACAATTATTGGCATCATTTTTACAATACACGCAGCCATAACACTTAACTACTGAAATATTCTTTTTATTTGAAGTATCTTAAGTTATCTTAAAACTTTAATAAATCCAATTTTCCTATTATTTTATTAATAATCTTTAATCTACAGACACAACTGTCCCATGGATTTCCGTATACGGATAGGAGAAGCGATTACGGTAGTGCAATATCGGCAGGAGCTGCCCATGGCACCAGACTGGGACACGAGCACGAGTCCTTGGCCTTGCATCAAGCCCTTCAAAATGCTGTCGACGATGTTCAAGCTCCTGCCCTAGACGACAATGTGGCTTTCATGTCGGATTTGCCGCTAATAAAAAGTAAGCTACATAATATATTCATTTAAAACTATGCAGGATCTCCATATATGTATGATTGTGCTTGAAAAACAACCCTTTGATGAATGCCCGCCATATCCTTATTTAAATATGGAAACAATTATTGAAAGTTTGAAGGGTCAGTGTAGAGCTATGGGACATATGTTCATATTTTGAGAGAAAGATAGTTTAAAACTCATAGAAACTATGATTTTCCTAATCATAATTTGAAGTACTATTCAACTAGTTTTTGTGTTAAAGGGGGTTGATTCATATAGTTTACATTCTCTTACAATGAATATTAGTTTTTGGAAACTTGTAAGTTGGATTCCAAATCATGTTGCGAAAAAGGCGGAACTACCAACACGCCCTAATACATAATATTGTTTGGATGGAGCAACCCCCGATTCATTATGAAACTGAATCTTGCCCTTCTAATTGGCAGGATTCGAGTAAAACGATCCTCACGTCCTGCATTCACACTTGGCCCTGCCATAACAATAACAACAATGCCAATAATAATATATTTTTCATGTCGCCTAACAATGTCTAGTGTTTATTTTACACACCAATGGAGTGTGCAATTTTAATGTGTTGGTTTTTTTCCCCTCCGATTTTTTTTCGAAAGGCATGAAGAGCGGTAAAGAAGCCGGGAACATTGGATCGGGTTCGCCCAGCGAGGTGTTCTGTGCAGTTCCTGGTCGCCTTAGTCTCCTCTCGAGCACCTCGAAATACAAGGTCACCATTGCCGAAGTGCAGCGCCGCCTGTCGCCCCCCGAGTGTCTGAACGCCTCCCTCCTGGGCGGAGTACTCCGAAGGTAGGTGTTCCTCAAACCCTCATTCCTGAGAGAAAACCAAACAAACTTTTCATCACCCTGCAGGGCCAAAAGCAAGAATGGCGGACGCCTGCTGAGGGAGAAGCTGGAGAAGATTGGCTTGAATCTGCCGGCTGGTAGACGAAAAGCTGCCAATGTTACGCTTCTAACATCCTTGGTGGAGGGGGAGGCCACTCACTTGGCCAAGGACTTTCACTTTGTGTGCGAAACCGAATTTCCGGCCAGGCAGCTGGCGGAGTACATTGTGCGCCATCAAACGGAGCCCCAGGACTCGTACCGCCGGAAAGAACTCATCCTTCATTCCCAGCAGGTAAGTTTTCTTAAATCTTTTACCTTTTTAACTTATAATTAAATTTGGAAACTTTTTATTTCAGATTACAAAAGAATTAATGCAGATCTTAAGTCAGGATCGGACGACCCACTTCGGGACGAGATCACAGCACCTGCTGGAACCCTCGATGCAGCGCCACCTGACACACTTCTCTTTGATAACCCACGGATTCGGATCACCCGCCATTATGGCTGTTCTGCATGCTTTCCAGGTGAGTTAACCATAGATTCCACTACCAACCACATAGTTTCAATAATAAACTTTCGTTATAGACATTTTTGAATGAATCATTAAACTACTTGGAAAAGCTATATCCCTCCAATGGTGGCGGGATGGTGTCGTCATCGTTGGACAAAAGCAAAATTGACAACGAAAAAAAATGATAGGCTATGTTGTATATTGCCACAGATAAAAAGCAAGCCGTAGCTTAAGGTTAACTTTCCATACACTAGGTACGACATCGATAAAGTAATAAAATTCCTGTAAATTAATTTATTTAGTTAAGTGTAAATTATTGGACATTTTGTATATCTATAACTGTAATTTGAATGTAAAAAAAAATTCAAATATATTAAATACGTATAATTTATTTAACTTAGAAAAATACATCGACTTTTTGTCAAAAGCACAAAGCTTTTTACAACTAATTCAAAAAAAAAATAAAAATAAAAACAAAAATAAAACAAAAAACTCTTTACAAATACAATTATTTGTATGTAGAAACGATTGAAATGCTCTCATTTTTAATTTTTTAAGTAACTTACAATTTAAAGATTTTAAAATTATACAAATGAATAAAATGTGTTTTTAAAACTAAAATGATCAAAAAGTATGTTTATTAAAATCGCACCCACCGTCGCCTCATATACAACATCAATAAAGTTAAAATAATCGTACAGCTATAACATATCATAAGAATAATTGAGTTCATCAAGTATTCTACATCGTCAGAGTCCTTAAAATATTCGTCAATATTGGATAACTTAACGATCTCCTCGTTCAATAACTTTTCTATCACTGTGTCCTCTGGAAACTCTGAAATAAAAGAATGTTTTGTTTAAGCCACTTTATAGACGATTAATGTCAACACACCATTTTTTTCCTGAGGCACCATCTCTCCAATAGGAACCTCCCACTCAATGTTTTCATCTTTCTCCTGTGTCGTGGCTGTTAGCCAGTCAATTTTTTCACAATTTTCATTTTTAGGAACAGTATGGATGCTATTACTTGATATTCTAAGAGGTAGGGGACTCGCCTTTACTTTTTTGAACTCCTCAATGCGATTTAGGTTCTGTAATAGACTGGATTTGTGTGAGTTGATGGCAAAGTCCAGAAATGTAATCAAAAGCCAGTAGCAAGCCTTTTCGAGATGCGTTGCATCCAGGCAGTTGGAGTCGCCATATACTGCGATTCGCCCTTCATTATTTCGAGAATTGACTATTTTTGCGTAGCTTATGCTGTGTTCTTTTTTTCTGAGGAGTAGAACCCTTTTTTTGAAGGTAGAGTAGTCAGTGGAAACGGTGTTGGCTAAGTTGTTCTCGGGATTGTCGATAATCTCTTCGTTGCTTTCGATGCTGTTTTCCTTTGTTTGAAATAATCCAAAAATAGGCAAGTCTTTTTTAGATTCTTTGTTCGGTGTTTTAGAGTTTATAATCTAAAAAATAAAATTATTTTAGGAAAAGAGTTTTTTTATAGACATAAACCTTACCGAAAGCCCTTGGTCATTTAATTTGGTTCCTACCAGAATGTCGCCGGGATTCGATGGAAATTTAACTAAGGTGGCTCCGCTGGCATAATACATTGAATGGTCACCGAGCTTAAAGTGCCCCTCACCCACGAAATCACCGAAACCAATGCCGAAAGGTTTCAGTAAATCATTCAAGGCAGGAATGTTGGCGCCTCCTGTATCCGGTGTCCACCACTGTCTGGTGTTCTCGTCGAAGAATTTGATCTTTTTCATCACCGTTGTATTGTACCAATCGGCAAATACAACCACGCCCAAGCCCTTCTTGTAAACGTTGTCCTTTAGAGCCGCGATTTCTGCATCTTCGAACTCCCTTTCGGGATCCACTATCAGTAATGCCCCATAGTCTGAGGCATTGAAGCAAGTGAATGGTTCCCGCAAGACATCAATATAATAGCCGATGTTTCGTAAGTGAGTATACATATCCTTGAAGTTTGTGTGAATGTGATCTGCATTCCAGTCAAGCGGATCGGATTTAACTTTAAGATCATCCCGTGGAATATACCGGGGTGGATACCGTAGGCTGTGGTACTGGTCCCATAAAATTCTTTTGTTTCTGGGTGGTTTGGGTGTCACTTTAACACTTATTGGGAAAATAACTTCAGTGACCAGTGTTTCATTAGGAGTAACTTTCAAACTTTCCACAAGCAATGCGATGCTTCCTTTGCAGACTCCTTCAAAGTTTTCGCCCTCCTTGTTGACAGCTGATACGATCATAGGGTCGAAATAATTAAAATATGAATAAAGTTTTTAAGATAAATCACTCACCTATATATACCGCCATCCAACCAGTCCAAGGCCAAAGGGTAGGCGAATATTGAGTCGATATTTGAAGAAACTGGCCATGTTGACCTAAGTCTGGAATCCATTTCGGGGTGCCTACAACCTGACTGGTAACAGCGATACCATTTAGTATCGTTACGTTTGCAATCACCACGGAGCTACCGTGATACAATGGCTGGGAACTATACGGCCACATATAGTTAAGGGTGAAGTCAAGAAATGGTGGTATCAGGGTTATAGTTGGTTTGTATGTGAGAAGTAGTTGCATGCTCTTTAACAGGTTTAGCTTTCCGGCTCCTTGCTCATACATATTGTAGTTCGGTAGCATTTCGGCTCCATCGATAAGAACCTGTTTCAGGGATGCTGGGTTAATTAGGTCCATCTTGTGCAGTGCACCGCTTAAGAGAAGAGCAGATGCACCGGCCACAACAGGTGAAGAAACGGACGTGCCTGAGAGCCGCCTGCAACCTTTTCTAACATCACTACCTTCCACCTGACTACCGTAGGTTACAATATCAAGCCCCATTCTTCCATATCCCATCGGCAGTTCCCATGTGGTCATTCCCCTGGAACTGAATTTCGCTATTTTATCGTTAAACTGTATACCACCCACTCCGATAACATCGCTCTGGTCGCCAGGATTATTCAGAGTTCCGTAAAGGGGGCCATCGTTTCCCGCTGACGAAATCATAATAACATTATTAGCAGACAGTTCAAGAACCTTTTCAACGAACGGAGCATCCATAAAATCTGGACCTCCAATACTCAGATTGAGGATATTCATTTTCTTGTATATTGCATAGTTGAAGGCATCCAGGAACCAAGATGTGTACGAAACCTGATGAAAATAAACATTTTAATTAGTAAGCTCACTTAGTTTGTGTTCTGCGCCGTTGAATTCTTACCTGAGAGTTAGTAAAGACTTTAAATATATATAGATCTGCATCGGGAGCAAAGCCAAGGCATTCCTTGGAGGAGGCAATGACTCCTGCAACGAAGGTGCCATGGCTAACACGGTCATCCAGAGATTTTTCGTTTGTCCAGTTAGTCCGTTCCTTGACATTGCGAAAGTGTGGATGATTCTTGGTCAAGCCCGTATCAAATATAGCTACTTTAACACCCTTGCCAGTAATACCGAGTTTCCAAAGGACATTGGCATGTAGAGCTGAACAAACATTTCGCGATCGATCATTGTTGGGGTTTCTATTCCTAATAACGCCTTTGGGTGAGCGGTTTGCAAAACTGGGTACTGTGGTGTTTTGGTTATAGGCCAAGAGCCTCCTTACACTTCTCTGAGGGGATACGGTTTTTACCAAAGGATGCGATTTGATCGTTGAAATTATAGTATCTTTTGGTGTTTCGTTTTCCTCCAAAATCCTCAAGATATCAAAATCACTTGGAAGTTGCCAGATAGGGTTCTGGCGTGGAACAATCTCCCAGTTAGTTATCTAAGAGGAATTTTAAAATTATAATAAAGATTAAAAATCGTTATAATAAAATACATACGTTTGAACTTGTGAGTTTTGTCCTTAAAAAGGACTCTCTGACGGATGCAAAATACTTTGAATAGAAATGAACAATAAAGTCATCGGGAACTATCTCCGTTTCAAAGGCACCAAGTCCGGCAATTGCTAATGTGGATAAAAGAATGATAAGCACATTCATTTAAGTATATAAGTTATTAAATTCAACGAGAAAACTCAACAGGCTTTGTTGTTCAAGCAACATAAGTAAACAAGTATCAGCTGTTTAGTGTGAACTGAAACCATTATACCTCTTTCAGTATATTTTTAAAAATACTGTTAAGCGAGTCCTTTTTTTGAATAATGCAAATATATTTTAAGTTTTATATTTATGTTACGTTTATAATTAAAAGTAAATTATTAAATGTTCTATGCAATTTGTAATGATTATCCTTATTTCAAACGAAATTCCTGAATATTGTAAAATTTAAGTTGTTGGGATTTCTTAATAAATAAGTTTCGGTCACACTACATCTGGACCACCGGCAAAAACTTTTAGTGCTTTTTTTACAAGAAAGTTTGTGTATGTGATAACAGCAGTATTTTCAATTAGTTTATTAATATTCTTAATTTATTAGCCAATGTACATTGTCAACTATAGTATGGAAATATTTTTTGTATATTTCCATGGTTCTATAAAAGTGACAACCCAAAAGAAAAAGGAGCCATCCATTTTACTTATTAATGCTTTCAAAAGTTATTTTAAAACAAAAAATTTAACAAAACAATGTTTAAAAGTTAATAAGTAATACATTATTTTTCCGAAATCATATTTTATAGATTATAACTTAAAGCGGTTTAATTGAATTACCTCGACGAAAGTGACTCCTTCCAGTGAGTAGCAACAAATCGTTTTTTACCAATTAGTTGATTAAATATTTATCATTCTTGTTACTTGGAACTTTATGATAAAATTCCTAGTCACTGATTTAATAACAAAAACATATTATTTTCTTAAAATATAATCATAGAGATTTACTGTAACTCTACTGGAAATCCTAGCCATGGAGGAACTCTGCAATAATTCCGGGCATTCGGCTACTTCCAGTAGTGGAAGTAACTCCTCAATGTCCGCCAAAACAGCTTTGGGCGAATGCTCTGCCGCCTGGATAAACTACTTGAGTGCTTTGAATAATCTGTGTACCGCCGGCTCCAAATTGGCCCATTCAATAGCGGTTCTAGAGCAGTGGTCTCAAACCGAAAAGCCAATGTTTAATAACTATACTACTTCATACCTCACGAATTCATGGAACGATCTAGCCAGGTAAAGCAAACAAAATACTTATAATTAACACATAATAAATGTTTTATATACTTTTTTAGGGCAACAACTGTAGCCACAGGCACGGTAAAAACTCACATGCTTGCTATTCTACAGGACTTTGCCACAGGATCATGGGGTAGGTATAGGATCCTGAAAAATATTCTATTGAAGTATATAATCTGCCAGATTATATAATTTATAATTTTATAACATTTTATTTTGCTTTTCATATGATTTCATTTCATTTTTCATTTTTTAGTCACATGCAAAGTATTGATTTCATTATTTATCTAACAGAGAAGGACCTTAAAGGACGACATCACCCCATTCTCCCCAACCTTTCATTTAATATTAAGTTTTGCGTTTCATTTATGAAGTCTGTTTAATTTTGTATTAACTTCCTATCACTCTGCATATTTTGGATTAAACGCAGTGGAACAGGCTTCCAATGCGGAATTGGAGCAGAAGCGGCTCCGGGAGCACAACGAAATCATCATTTTGGAAAATGCCCAGGCCGTAATAAATATTCAACATCAGTTCTGTGCCGCCAGCTACGATGCATTTTCGTCACTAACATGCTGCTTTGTTTGCCAAGCCCCAGTGGGATTTCCTCATGAACAAGACTGCAGTGTAATGAAGCAGAGGTAGGCTAGTCAATTTTTTACATTAAATAAAATATTTCAACTGAAATAATACCAATTTTCAGAAGCCAATATGATCAACGGTCACAGACACCATCGCCGAACTTGTGCGGACCAAGTTCCAAGGTAGAATCCTCCAGGGGAAACTCATTAACCGACCAACGCCCAATTGCCAGTGGAATTTCAGAGCCAGGTAACTTATACATTATTTTCTAAATATAATTCTCAAAAGAAACCTATTTATTTAGCTCCAACTGATCAACAACGTGGCCCATCGCCTCAACTGCATTTCTGCGATTCAAATCCTATGCAGGCTATTTTTGAGCACACACGCGGTCCCTTGCCAAATCCTGGACAATTACTGTCCATGAAGATGCCATTTCACCGGAACGTCAAATCGTCCTTAAGCTTTCCACTCTTTCCATTAAACGGCCAGCGACGTTGGTCGGAAGCTGCCGCCGGAGAGGTGATAGATGGAATCACTACGGACCCCGAGAGCCAGATGAGACGATGGTCAATGCCATGGGAGGCTACCAAAACGGACAAGAATACTGTGACTTGGAACCAAACTAGAATAATGCCAATGAACACCGTAAAGGCTGCCAGCTTCAAAATGTCAAGTTCCGAACGTTATACCTCTCACACTTCGGGTAACCACAATTTTATTGAAATCCAAGTACATTTTTACTTTTAAAAGTCCTTTCAGATGGAGGAAACTGGCCTATGCCTTTGTCCAGTCAAGATGGATTACTTGAAGCTATTCAATTGCTGTCGATAAGACCAACCACAGTGGCTCAAGTAAGCCCGCAACCATCACTGCTTTCTACATCTCCCGATGCTGCTCCACCAGAGCAGCCCTAAGCTTAAATTTATTTATTTTAATAATAAGGACAACGGATTATTTAAAAAAAAAAACAAAAAAAAAAGAAACTATCAGACAAAAATATACGAATATTGGATAAATCAATACTTTTCTTTTTTATGTTAAAAATGGGTGGTTATAAAAATCTTAAGTGCATAATTATATTTTCCCTGTAGCCTTATTAAAAGAGTAAGTTAATCTACTAGTAAAATGATTTATTCGTGCTTTGTAAGTTTGTTATGTATAATGCCATTCATTATTAGTAGGTAGATCTTACATGCTTACAGTAAAGTAAATCTTTTCTTTTTACCAAAATTATAACACTATTTGAAATATTTTCTATGTCTTAGGTCTAAGAACACTTACAATTAAAATAAAAGATACTTTTATTTCGTTCATTTTTAAGTGTTATGTTCATATTATGATTAATCTTTTACGGATGTTTGCGCACACATTAATAGACATATGTTTTGAGACGTACATATGCATAAACTTACAAGATAATGTTATATTTTAATGCTAATTTTCATCTTTCTGATTTAAAAGATTAAATTTGTATCATACAGTATTTTTGGTTTAATATTTTGCTTTAATTCTATTAATATGTTTTTATTTGATTATGTATCTAAAGGTATTTTCCTTATAAGAAATTTTATTTTATTTTAAGTCAAACCATAATCTCAGAAAGTGAAATAATATTTCATGATATTATGATTTTGCATGTGCGTATGTACATGAAATAAAAGAAAATTTGAAATCCAGACACTATTCTAGTTGCTTAATTATATAGAATTCTAATTATTCATTCAAGTGGCTAATACTCTTGTGTTTTTTCTGACGTTTTGATCACCTAACATGGAAACGTATCTACAATCGTTGAACGATATTCGCAATATGTTTTTATGTATTTTATGATTACAGGAGGGTATGTACTGTATACTGTATATATTTTTAAGGTATCCTATGAAATTGCTATCCTTTTCCAGCTACGAATTGCAATATCGATCAATCGTTTTATTTATTTATGTTCAAACTACATTTACACCTCATTGAGAAAGAGAAAATCATTGCTAAAAGCCAAACTAAAAATGGAAAACAATCAAAAGATAAACAGGTTGATTTTCTCAAAATACTGATCGGTATAATTTGAGTGTCGCGAAAAATAGTGTCGCAAATCGGTCGAGAATTATGAAAGAGTATCTACGGTGCAACTGTTGAGAATTTGATTATCATATTTTTTTAATTTCTAAATTTGTATTAAAGCAATGTGTTTAGTTTGTGAACATTTACTACGCTTATACGATTGGTGATATAAATATTTTTTTCATATTATTTAGAGATATGTTAAAATAACCACATTATAACAAATTATTTAAAAAAATAATTCTCTTCATGTAAGCATGATTTTTGTAACAATTTATTTTTAATTCACAACACAGAAAACTATCATGCGATAATGAAAATAATTAGAGTTATGGGATATGCATCGTATAAACGTGGTAATTGTTTATATTTTTGTAATGACAATTTGATGATGTATTAAAATTACTAGTGCTTATATACATATAAGTTTTGTGCAAATTTACGAATTTCTTTTTTGTTTATTTTGATGGCTTTCTAGCCCATTCATATAGATATTTCTTATTTCAAAGATCCAATTTCGTAGTATTTGTGGTACTACTCTGGTTTTTCTCAGTATAAGTTTATTCAACTGATTTATTTTGAATTTATTTATGATATAATCCGGTACTCAGTTCATGGATCGGGATTTCGGGAAATGATCCTAAGTAGGCCATCATTTTTCCCAACTTTAAAACTCTCTTAAACTAGATGGATAAGCATATTGTTTTAAAAAAAAATAAAAATTGTAACGAAAAAAACTATTTTACAAATCTATTATTCATCTAGCAGTTAATAGATACATTGGATAGATCCTAAAAAGTAAATTGTCGAGAAATTTTTATCTTTTTTGAATATACACAAAATAAATAAATAAATAGTTTAAGATGAAACATATAATTTCTAATTGGATCTGCTAGGTATCTAAAACCATTGCGGAAGTACATAAATTGTTTTCATAAATATTCTATTGAGATAAGTATTCTATTGAGATTTTTAATATATTAAATACGATTTCTTAATGTACATACACGTAAATGTAATTATTTGCTAAAGTTTTAGTAAGGCACCATTTAAATTATATTTGCAAATAAAACCTACACTTTATTTCTTAAACACTAATGATGGGATAGAGTATCAACATAAAAGCACTGAATAGAGTTCCAAATAAAGTTGGAGATATTCTAATATTGCTTGAAATTCCCATTTTGTATTCCATGTCGATATCGAGAAGTAGATCATGATTTCGGGTATAAAACTGATGAATATCGCTGATCTGTTTGGATAAAAATGTATTAATTTAAACTCTAATTTCATTTTAAAATGTTTCATACTTCATTCCAGCCATATTTGTTTTTGGCCTGAACAATGGCCTCATAAACCGCATTGTGTTCCAAGTTTTTGACGAGATAGGACATTTGGAAGTGCGATCCATCGGTTCTAATAGGTGTGGGCTTAATATGATATTCGTGCCATTTGCCAGGATGCTGATAAGTTTCATTCATCTAAAGATTAAAAATATAGGATTAATTTTAGCATCTAAATGCTTTTTTTAAAGAAAATTACCAGCAGACGTCTGTAAAGAAGTTTAATCTCATCCAATGGAGGTATAGACTCAATGGTCCATGTTAAATTATAATGATCCAAGAATCCACTCAAAGCCGGTGAAATGAAATCAGCTGGACCGGGTCGGCCAGATACTTCAATATATTTCTTTGTCCTGCCCAAAGCATTATCGGCCACACAGCTATAATTTCCAAAATCGGTTGGCTGGAAATTCCTAATGATGAGACTGTATCTGTCATCCCGTGGATACATGGACCGGCGATCAGTTGGGTCCAAAAGAAACGAGTTTTGATACCAAAGCATCTGCAAATCGAAAAATATTTAAAAATAATTAAAATATTTTGTTTCTAGATTTTGATGCAGATTCATGGAGAATCGATCTACAAATCGTTTAAGGTATTCCGCTTCTGAATCTGATCAATATTGCCAAAGATATAGCCTTCACAAGGAGCCGAAAAGTGACTACAGGCATTTTTGTGGATTTTCGAAGGGGACCCTCCAGAAAATTTGACAAAAAATCTAAAAAATATTTTGTTTCTAGATTTTGATGCAGATTCATGGAGAATCGATCTACAAATCGTTTAAGCTATTCCGCTTGTGAATCTGATCAATATTGCCAAAGATATAGCCTTCACAGGGAGCCGAAAAATGACTACAGGCATTTTTGTGGATTTTCGAAGGGGACCCTCCAGAAAATTTGACAAAAAATCTAAAAAATATTTTGTTTCTAGATTTTGATGCAGATTCATGGAGAATCGATCTACAAATCGTTTAAGCTATTCCGCTTGTGAATCTGATCAATATTGCCAAAGATATAGCCTTCACAGGGAGCCGAAAAATGACTACAGGCATTTTTGTGGATTTTCGAAGGGGACCCTCCAGAAAATTTGACAAAAAATCTAAAAAATATTTTGTTTCTAGATTTTGATGCAGATTCATGGAGAATCGATCTACAAATCGTTTAAGGTATTCCGCTTGTGAATCTGATTAATATTGCCATATATAGATATAGCCTTCACAGGGAGCCGAAAAATGACTACAGGCATTTTTGTGGATTTTCGAAGGGGACCCTCCAGAAAATTTGACAAAAAATCTAAAAAATATTATGTTTCTAGATTTTGACGCAGATTCATGGAGAATCGATCTACGAATCGTTTAAGGTATTCCGCTTGTGAATCTGATCAATATTGCCAAAGATATAGCCTTCACAGGGAGCCAAAAACTGACTACAGGCATTTTTGTGGATTTTTGAAGGGGACCCTCCAGAAAATTTGACGAAAAATTTAAAAAATATTATGTTTCTAGATTTTGACGCAGATTCATGGAGAATCGATCTACGAATCGTTTAAGGTATTCCGCTTGTGAATCTGATCAATATTGCCAAAGATATATTCCTAGAGACGTACCTCTGAGTTGACATCTCCATGGACAATGCAAACGAGTTCCACATCGTATCCCTCTGCCGCATGGACCCAAGACTTTTCAACAGTAATTTCTGGAGGAGCTGAAATGAAATGGATATTTTTTATTTTTCTGAGTAAAGATAATATAGTATTTGAAATGCTTACAAAGTATGGTTAGCTGTATGTCCATGGAGACGCGATCCTTGACTCCGTTATCGGCTGAGCATTGATATGTTCCAGCATGATGCCTATCCACATTCTCCAGTATTAATGTGGAGCTATCCGACAAGTGAGTGGGTCCAGAAAATACATCCTTCTTGAACCAGAATATGGTTGGGACAGGATTACCAGAGGCCTTGCATTCCAAGGTGACGGTACTTCCCTTTCGGGCTGTCACTTGGCCATTATGAGGAAGCGCCCGAAGTGTAGGTGGGACTAAGGATTAAACAAACTTGTAATACAGTTTTTGTACTAAGTTTTAGTTGAGTTACCCAAAATCTCGACTGTATGCACTTGATCTCTGTTTTCCTGATCACCAAGCTGGCAGATGTAGTCCCCAGCGTCCTGGGTCTTGACTCCATTTATCTGCAAATTATAGTCTCCGACGATTTTGAAGCGTTGATCCCTGGTTATTTTCAAATGTCCAGCTGTGAGCACAGATGAACCCTTACGCCACAAGAGCACAAATGATCCAAGGTTTTGCACCTTGCAGGGTAACTCGATGGTCTCCCCGACAATGACCTTGTACAGATGACCCCTGGATAAGAACTTGGGTGCCGTTGTGGGAGGGTCATTCTCCGGCATTATGAAGGAGCCATCTGAAATGAGAAATAATATATAACAAATTTATAACTTTGCTTATAGAAGGAAAACCATTAAGGTAACTCTTCCAGGTAATAGTTAGTAGGTCTTAGTTATAACTTTTTTAATTGTAGACATCGCGTTTAATAATCTTCATTTTATTGCAATATTAAATTTTCTAATTCTAATCAAACACTAGTAATATTGAAAAATACTTACCAATATATGAAATGGCAAATGCAAGGAAGAAAAGGGAAAAAAGCCAATATTTCCTTGTGTAGTTATTCTGAAATTCAAAATATGTCATTATTAATATATTTTAGATAGATTAAGATTAAAAATAAACAAAATTGTTTACATAAAAATGAAAAAACCACCTTTCGGCAAAAAAGTATCATAAAAAATCAATTACAATGATAAACTGCTTTAATTTTAAAGACCATTTGTCAAAAATATTTATTTAGACAGTTAAAAAATTGCCTTTTTCACTATATTATTCCACAGACAGCAATAAATTACAGCTATTGGTTTTTAAATGTCTTCAAATTAATTTTTAATACTGGATCCTTTTTTCTAGTTTAAAAACAGATGAAATTTGATATTTTTAAGAATATATAGACGAGAAGAGATAAGATATTAATTAAAAAAACTGTCTATTGTCCATCAACGCGTTAATACAATTTGTAGGTGTATTGTTGCATATTTTATTAGATACTCATTTATGAAATTATTTAATTTTGATTTTTGGAAAACGATGCGTCTTAAATGCAGGCTTTTGCCAGGTTTTTTTTAATATTTTAGTTATATAAGTAATATACAAAGGCTTGCCACTCTCTCTATAACATTTAAAAACACCCATTCCAATAAAGCTCCCACATACAATTGAGTTATGTCGCCCTAATTTGAAACAATCGTCACCCAATATCGAAATGTAGACTTCATATATTCCTGATATCCTTTTTTTTCGGATGTACACCATGTATTCCAATAAGATTCTAACTCTTTTATGTACATACATATATTTATATGAAGTCTGCGATAGATTTATTGCTAAATGTGTATATAAAAGCGAAATAATCAATAAAAAAACTATGTACAAAGCATATCGAATGGTTTAATTAATTAGTAAAGCACAAATAAAAGGATATAGTCTTATTGAGACTACCACCGACTATATATCTATACATTTATCTGTATATATTCACATACACCCATTTACACTCACATACATAATATATGTATCTGAACATATTCATATATCGTTCAAACTTGGCTCATTGTAGCCTTTTTTGTGGTTATTAACCATTAGAATAAGGTTTAGTATAAACGAAAAACCTATTTTCACTTTAATATGTATTTTATCTTTTAAAATAACTGCAAGGCACTCTTTTTTCATCCTTACCATTTTAATATGTATAGGTATGGTATGTACGTATTCGATTTTCTCTCTTTTACAATAACGTGTTTTTGGTCAAATGTTGACTCAATTGCAGGATACAATTCACTTTATTGTTACACTAAATTGTTTGTCAAATTATTATCATTTTTCCTTATTTCATATAAAATAGACTCGATTTTAAGTCCGTCGAGTATAATTGTATTTATCCTTAAAAGTTCCATTAACTGAAGCGCATGCCCAGTACAACATTATTTTATGTCAAAAGCTTATACCAAGCTTTTAATGTAAAGCAGTGAAACATGAAAATCCGGCATTGCATCTGCATCAGCATTATATATGTCTAACTCAAAACTATAAAAGTTTAAGGTAAAATTGTATATTCAAAAAATAAACTAAGGGTTTCATTAAGCATCAGATATATTAAAAGCGTTATGTTTAAATGTAACTAAAACCTATAATTTAACTAGTTATTTTATTTTAATTTTGTACATCATATAAACATTATAAATAAGATAAACCTTAAAATTTTTTATTTTTTAGTTGTTTTTTGTTAGATTTATTATAAAAATTAAACATGTGAAGTTTCCTAAAAGGAACTCTAATTAAAATATAAATCTTAAAGAAAATAATTTAAACGCACTGAAGATAGGTTAAATTAATACTGGTAAATATTAAATAACAATAAAATCTATATATTTCAAATTATAAAGTTCAAAAAATTCTATCGATAAGTGACCGGTAAATCACTACATTTTTGAGTCACTGTTATCGGTTCGAATTTAGAGAAGTACAGACTCAGTCCTGACTGAAAAATGGAATTTTTATCGGATCTTTTTTTCAAAACCATAACTTGGATGATATTGAAAATATCTTTTAGAAAGTCTTACCTACCACAGTCGTTGTCTTATTTCGATATTTAGCCGATATATCACTATTATAAAAAGAATATCGATATATTGATACATTATCAACAACCCTAAATGCAATATTTTGGTTTTACGTGGAAATAACAATGAGTCGTTGAGGAAAAACATTAAAAATGTTTATTATACTGTAAGCCTTTTAAGCAATTTGTTAACTTAATAAATACCCTTTTATGTTTACAGTTTATGGATGGTTCTTTCGCTAGTGATACTAGCCGTGGTTTCATTTATTTCTTTAAAACATTGGTTGCTAAGCCGGAAAAAGAAGTTGCATGCAACATCGGAAAATAGCATAAATGTTGGAATTTTTCATCCATATTGCAATGCAGGAGGCGGCGGGGAACGAGTTCTGTGGTGTGCAGTAAAGGCGTTGCAGGTATATAATAATAACATAGCCCTAGATGCAATCGCAACAAGCTATATGCAATATATAAACATACATACGTGTTGTTTTCGTTATCTGATCATATAAGAAATTTAAAAAAAATGTATGTAGAACGGTAATTTGTGATATATTTTTGATTAATATTGAAAAAAACAATAGTTTATCTTAGTTCTAATTTATTTTTTTCCTTGGATAACTAAAATTAAATTGTTTTTTTCTCTTAAATCAAAAACAGTTGTATAAATATTTAAACATTTTTCTTTCAGAAAAGATATCCCAATGCTAAGGTTGTTATTTATACTGGAGATATAGACGCCTCTCCTAATTCCATTTTGGAAAAAGCAAAGAACGTCTTCAACATAGCCATCGACAATGACAATGTGAGATTTATATTCCTGAAACAACGCCACTGGATCGAGGCCAAGAAGTATCCGCATTTCACTTTGCTGGGCCAGAGTTTAGGATCAATGGTCCTCGGGCTGGAGGCACTCTTGAAGTTCCCGCCAGATATATTTATTGATACCATGGGCTATGCCTTCACGTATCCGCTCTTCCGGTATCTTGTTCAGTCTAAAGTCGGAGCCTATGTCCACTATCCGGTTATAAGTACGGATATGTTAAAGCGGGTCCAACAGCGCCAGATGTCCCACAACAATAAGAAATATGTTGCAAGAAATCCATTCCTTACATGGACAAAACTTACCTACTACCGGTTGTTTTCGAAGGTTCGTTTTTAATATAACTTAACCATCCAATATTGATTATATATTATTTTTTAGATGTACAAATGGGTGGGTCGTTGTGCCGAGACTATCATGGTCAACTCCTCCTGGACAGAGAACCATATCCTTCAGATATGGGATGTGCCATTCAAGACGCATCGCGTTTATCCTCCCTGCGAAGTCAGTCATTTAAAGAATCTGGAGCACTTGGAAAAGGGCGAGGAGTTTATCATTTTGTCTGTGGGACAATTCCGTCCAGAAAAGGATCATCCTCTGCAACTGCAAGCTATTTACGAGTTGAGAACTCTATTGGCGCAGGATGAGGCTCTATGGAATCGAATAAAATTAGTTATTGTGGGCTCCTGCCGGAACGAGGAGGATTACGAAAGATTGAAAAATATGCAGGATTTGTCCAAGCACTTGTCACTTGAAAATAATGTTCAATTTAAAGTGAATGTGCCATACGATGAGCTTCTGAAACTATATCAAACAGCCCACATTGGAATCCACACCATGTGGAATGAGCATTTTGGAATCGGCATAGTAGACTGCATGGCAGCTGGGCTTATAATGGTAGCCCATAGATCCGGAGGTCCACTGCTCGATATTGTGGAAACTTCGGAAGGTAGCCAGAATGGATTTCTGGCAGTTGACGCAGTTGATTACGCAGAAAACCTATTAAATATTATTGTTAACAACGTGGATACCGTTGGAATTCGTAATGCAGCAAGGTTTGTCCTATAAAATAGAATTTTTTTATGAATACTATAATAATACATACTTTTTAATTGCAGAGCTTCTGTGGAAAGATTCTCCGAGCAGGAATTCGAGAGAAACTTTCTGCGAGCTATCTCGACACTATTTCCAAACGCTTAAAAACCAAATAAGATTATTTGTAGAACTTTATGGATTAAAGAGAACATACCTATGACATTTTTAAGCCATGTGTACTTTTACCCAAATAAACAATTTTTTTTTTAACTGAATACATATATTTTACACAATATTTAGAGCGATGTTTCTCGCACAATATCATAAATCGCTTTTTTCTAATCAATTTTTTAAACCGAACATGATTCTATTAGTGTTTTTTGTTTGACTTCACAGAATACGTGATGATAATCTCTTAGATTTTGTACCAAATTGTTGTGTCGTATCGTAAAATGTAAACAAAATCGCCTTGGGGGATTGTTTCAAGCTGGACTGGAAATGGGATAAGTGTTCCTATCCATCTCCAAACCTTCATATCTTATGACATTTTAGTTTAAACTTAGTTTTAAGTGAGAATCGCATAGAGCAACAGGAATATCTCATGGTTGTCCGCCATCTGTCATTCGCCAGCCAAGCTGGCCAGAAGCTCTTCATCGATGCCATCGCCCGAGGGCATTGCCGCCGAGCTGCTCAAGTTCAGCAGCACATCTCCGCCACTCGAAGATGGAGGAGGTGCCGGTGGCTTGGCCTCCGGCTCCACCAATGCTGCGGCAGTCGAGGATGAAGGGGCAAGGGACATAGTTGTCGAGGTTGAAGGTTCTGTACTGGGTGTACTTCGACCGCTACCGCCGCCTCCTCCGGCTACGCCGCTCCCAGTTGCTACTCCTCCGCCTCCACTGCTTGATGTACCACGTTGCGATAGCTTGGGGATCTGGAATTTGTTGTGCAATCCTTTGATGAAGCCCTCCATGCTGGCGGCCATTGTGGGAGAAGCATACTGCAGTATAGTCATCATGTCGGTGTGATGATCAAATCGCGGCGGCGGCTGTGACATGGATCCGCTGTGGGCTGCGGGCGATACGGCTCCTGAAGCTCCACTGACTCCCGCCGAAATGGAACTCGATTTTCGTGGTCCACTGGAGCCGCTACTGCTGCTGCTGCCACTGGCAAGAGCACCCATGCTGGGCCGACGCTTGGGAGCGCTGTGCTCCTGGAAGGAGTTGGTGCTGTTGCTCTTCGTCAATGGCAGTCCCCCACCACCTCCGACACCCGATCCGCTGAGCTTGCTGCTGAGATTTCCCGAGGAGTTGGCCTTTTGGAAGAGATGCTTGCTGGCAGATGCAGTGGCAGAGGCTGATGAAGATGCAGAGGCTTTTTTAGAGGCCGGACCGCTGTTAACGCCAGGCTTGAGACCAGTGTGCTGCTTTTTGCTTGAGGACCCTGAGGAAATGTTCGTTCCACTGCCGCTCTTAGTTTTGGGCGCTCCGCTGGAGGAGGTGCTCGAACCAGAGCTGGAACTAGAGCTTGAACTCGAGCCTGAGCTCTTGCCGCTGCCCGTTTTGTTGATGGTCAGCTTGAGGCCCTCCTGGCTGCTGGGCTTCACCATGTACTCCGTGGAAGCACCTGCTCCTGCTCCTCCGGCTGGAGTTCCTCCGTCGCCGCTAGTGGCCAAGCAGCTACTAGGTGGCGTTACTCCCGGCTGCTGTTGTTGCTGCAGCATTGCTGTTGCTCCCGCTGCCGTTGTTGTTGTTGGGGTTGATACTCCCGCCGCCATTACTCCCCCCGCTGCTGCTGTTGTTGTTGTTGCTGTTGCCGGTGGCATTGCTATTACTGGCGTTGGCACTTGTCCCGCTCCCGAGCCCGCCAGCGATATTGGATGACCCGATGCCAGAGCCGAGACCGATGTTGCCGCTGACTGTGTTGTTGCTGCCGGGATTGTTGTTGCCAAAGGAGCCGTCGACGTCATCAAACTAACCTGACAAAGTAAGCAAGTGGTTGTGTGTGTGTGTGTGCGAGGGGAACAAACGAGAACCAAAAACAAACCAGAAACAAAATTAAAAACAATCAAAAAATGGATCATATTTACGAAGGAATAAATAAACGAAGTAAAAGTAATGTTTCATAAACATTTTGTGTTGGAAGAGGAGGAATAATAGAAGAATAGAACAAAAGCAGACCCCGTTAGTAAATAGTTAACAAGATTCGGCAGCTAAGATTTATTATTAAAGCTAACTATTGGGATAAACCACCATACAGACCCCCATCTGACCTCCAAAAGCCTTCACTTTACACCAAAATATGTATATTATTTTATCAATAAATAAAAACACATGCTAGACCATAATAATTACAAAAACAAACAATAAAATACAATCGTGCCAAATGCGGGAAAAAGAGTGGTTAGAGCGTGCCCTCTAGAGAACTCTCTCTTGAGGAAGTGTGCTGGATAGGCCCCATCACCGCAGTATATTTTTAGTTGGAAATAAAACGGATGCAGCAGGATATGACATAAAAAAGGATAATATATATTTACAAAATATAAGAAAAAAGGCAAACAAGACACAAACAACAAAATGATAATAATAATAATAGCAGTATTAAGTAATAATAATCATAGTATTCAACTACAAAACTAGTTATAGCTAATTTCAAATACAGTATTTGCATTAGTTTTGAAGACAAGTTCGCTTTGATTGGTTTCTGCATTTGGTTAGGAGAGGTGGCAGAGTCAACTACGTGTTAGGCTTCCAGTGGGAGATGCTGGGGGTTGTTGTGGATTGGAGTGGAGTGGAGAGTGGTGTGGAGCACTTATAATGAAAACGGACTTACCGCACCTCCCGCCATGCCCTTGCGCAGGGCACTCAGCTCCAGTCCGGAGGCGCCGGCACCGGCTCCAGCTCCCACAGCTCCAACCACTGACGCCGCACCGCTCGCACTGGCTGAGGTGGCATAGCTTCCGAGGCCACCACTAGCCGACGAATGCGATAGACTGGACACTGAAGACTTCAGTTGCTGTTGCTGAGCTTGGGAGGATTTCAAAGCGGCCACGGCGGCTGCCAGGCTGGCACTAATGCCGCTACCGCCTCCTCCGGCTCCTACTCCTCCTGATCCAGACGAGCCTACAGCCGCTGATGTTGACGAGGAGGAGGAGGAGCCAGATGATGACGAAGATTTCTCCTTTTTCAGGGATTGGCCACTGCTTCCGCTCGCACTGGCCAGCGGTGGGACTGGCGGTGGTGGTGGCGGTGCTCCCACACTGGCAAAGGACCGTACCAGGCCAGGGGCACTTCCAACTCCCGATGCTGAGGATGATGAGCTCACCGAGGAAGCTCCCACGGACGAGGAAGTCTTGTCCCCCTTGGGACTCAGGCTGGTGGCTGCCGTTGCCGCGCTCTTTAGAGTAGACATGCTAGGCTTGCCGGAGGATCCGTGCTTGGGGGAATGGGTGCCAAACGGCGACTTGGGGCTGTTGGAGGCGGTGTTGTGTTTCGGACTGCTGTACACCGGTGAGTGCTTGGGGCTTGGACGCGCGGGCGGCACTCCTGCCATTAAACCCTGTCCGGCACCACCTGCCTTGGGCGAGGATGAGGGGGAGGAGAACTTTCTCACCACTCCACTGCTTCCCGAGGCATCGCCGCCAGCTGCTGGGGAATTCTGACGAGAATATATCTTTTCGGGCGGTCCCATGGGGGAATCGTCGCGTTTCTTTTTGCGCTTCTTCTCCTTCTGCATGTCCGAGGAGCTGCTGCTTCCAGCGGAGGATGATGACGATCCACTAGCTCCACTAGAACTCGATGAGCTGCTCTCATGTGGCCGCTTTGTAGCCATATTGGTTCCGGATCCCGATGAACTGCTCTTCTTGGTCGATTCTTTGCTTGGATCCTTACCGGTGATGGGAGTTATGGTTATGGTGGTGGGTGCTGAGCTAGTGCCTCCTCCAGTTGTTCCTCCGCCGGCACTGGAAGCTTGGGTGTTTAGTGGAATGATCTCAATGCCACCAGTGCGTTGCACTTCTACGCCAGAGACACCTCCAGCGGAAGATCCAGACTTTCCATCCCCTGGTATGGGCGTAATACTAACGCAGTGCTTCAGATTCGGCGTCTTATCCTTCCATATGTTCTTGTATTTGTCCGCAATCTCCTGATCACTTGATTTGGAAACTGACGAAGACGAGGCCGAAACTGAGGAGGAACTGGAAGCGGATGAACTGGACGCCTGGGGATCTGTCTCGCGCTTAAGATTAATCAGGCCAGCGATAGCTGCAGCTGCTGATGTGGAGGCAGCGAAGGCATCAGCCAGAGACCGGGATTTCGCATCAATTTTGAGATTACTGATATTCGCAAAACTACCACCGGGCAGGTTTCCATCCGGGGTTTGAGCCGTATCCATTGCAAACTGATTAAAGCCACCTCCGCCACTGGTGGAACCTCCTCCTCCGACCGTTCCCCCGCCGCCCACTGATCCCCCTCCAGCAGTTCCAGTTCCCGGATTAATGACACCGTGCAGCTTAAACTCGTGCTCCTCATCCCAGCACTTGAGCAGCTTGTAAATCACCATTGGGATGGAGACCACCTGTCGCACGGTACGCGTCAGTTTTTGAGAGAGCGATTCGTACTCGTTACTTAGACAGAAGACGCTACATGTCGGCTGACCATCCTCCAGCAGAAAGTCCACCGTGGCCAGCGACTCCTCGTACGGGTGCTGCAGCTCTACGGTTATCTGGTTGAAAGAGACCGCCGTCACTTCTAGTATCACAGTGCTGTCCATATCTGCGAGACAAAATACAAGTGGAGGAGGAATGAGGTAAACACTAAGCTGAACAACTTACCATTATATTGCTTCTGCTGCTCCCGAACGCAACTGGCCAGGAGGGTGTAGAAGAGAGCTTGTTTTTTCAGAAAGGCTACAATACGGGGCACCTGGGCGGGCTCAGTGAATGGCAGCGAGGAGACCAAAGTGCCCTGCAACCGCCTGTTATCCGTAAAAAAGTAACAGTGAGTCTCTTTTGGCAGATTAACGTACAGTCCGCGCTGGGTGCTTCTGATCGCCTGCTTGGAAGCCGTTTGTACAATGAGATTGAGAACCGTAGTGGCAGGAGTCGGAGGATTGGCCTGAGCATCTAAGCCCGGAAGTCCGAGGGCTTTCAAGGATTCCACGCAGACGGGCATTGGCTTGTTCAAGCGCAGCACATAGGTAGCAGGCATCAACAGAGAGTTGGTTTGGTTCAGCGGAGCGTAAGTTGGCACCTCCATTCCAGTCTGCTGGTCGCGGACAAATGACAGTATAGGCGTAACCTGCAGCTTGTTGGCTGACGAACCCTCCAGGTTGACGGTTGCATTCAGTCCGTAGCTGCTACGCATCACTTGCTCGATGGTAAAGTCCCCACTGGGCAACTTCGGGTCGTGTTCGGGCAGGTGGAGAGGCGGACAGAAGTAGGTGAGCTTCATAGGGTGACCTCCGCGACGCGGTAGTACAAGACCAACAGGAGAACTGGCCATTATATCGTACGAGTTTCCTGATTGAGATTGCAAGTGCATCTGGTAGAGACTGTGAATGTCAGTCTCCATGGCCTGAAGCGCCACAAAAGCCTTCTTCTTAACCTTGGGCTCGGCGTTTAGCTGGTAAATGGACGACAATCCCTCCAGCTGAACAGTAAAGTCTGCAAAGTCGCCAGCTTTCAGGCAGGCCACCAGCTCACTAGACTGCTGTTCGATCTTGCACTCGTGATGGACCTTAACGTCCAGTAGGCTGCCGGCTGCATCCAAAAGGATCTCCACGTAGAACATGTCTGTGGAAATGAACAGCATCTGTTGATCCTCCATGAACTTCAGCCCCAGCTGCCGCGACAGACTCTCCAGCCTCTCTACCAGTCCATGGCGAGACGTCACCTTTATGTAGTGCTGCAGTTTATCCAGTGCCGACTGTAACGTGGCCTTGCAGAGGGGATCCAGTGGATAGTGCTTCTCGATGAAGTACATCCTTACAGACTTTTTAATCTCTTCGTAGGTCCTCGGCTTATTTCGGTGCTTCGCCCGCAGCTTCTCCATCATAGTTTCCTGCTGGATTTGCTTGTTCTTCTCCTCGATGCTTGGGATGTGGCTTCCAAAGCCTAATCAATAATGAAATATTTAAATGACTCTCATTACATGGCACTTAAGTGTCTCACCTGTCCCCGAGGATTTGGCACCGCTCATCTTTCAGGCTGCTGATAAATGGTATTTAGAAAAAACTTCAACACGTATGCATTCTATAAAACTTTTCCTGCATTTCTTATGTTTTATGACACTCTTTACCAATAATTTAATTAGCTTTTTCTTCTTTTTAATATTCCAAAAAAATTTTCAACGCCGAAACAGCCATTTTGTTCTTTTCAGTGTGACCGTTTCAACCATGGCCATTTTGTATCGATGTTGATGACATGATGGCGTTAGGCATTTTTCGCAACAATCGACTAGAACTACTTGTTTGGTTTTGATTTATTGGAAGTTATTAAAAAGGTAAACAACGATCCAAGATGACATCTATTGCCGGAGGCCATGGCGAGCCAAATCCCAACAGCTCCTGGCTGAGTGCCCGTGGGTTCTGGTTGGCCTACCTACTGGGCTTGTTATCCGTGCACCTGCTGCTCTTATCAGTGCCCTTTGTCAGCATTCCATTTGCCTGGACAGCGACCAACTTGCTCCATAATGCGGTGAGTAATGTTTATCACGAGTACCACTACGGATAAAGATTCTAACAGTTCATTTTTGCGAGTCTAGGCCCATCTGTACTTTTTGCACGTAATTAAAGGAGCTCCATGGCTGAGTACCGAAAACGATCCCAGCAGGAGATTGACTCACTGGGAGCAGATTGATGATGGTGTTCAGATGACCACAACCCGGAAGTTTCTTACAGCAGCTCCCATTGTCCTGTAAAAACCATCAATGTTTATCCCCGCGTATTTGTTATTAATTACTTTTTTTTCGCAGGTTCCTCCTCACTTGTTTGTACACCAGGAATAGCACGGAACACTTCATAGCCAACTTTGTATCCCTAGTCGTGGTGACTCTTCCCAAGCTACCACAATTCCATGGTGTTCGTTTGTTTAATATTAACAAGTACTAGGAACCCAGACGGAAGAGATTCAATGCAATGTATATAAAAATTATATATGGTTTAACTTTTTAGCACTTTCTTTGTAAATATTATAAAAATATTTAAATGACACAGCAATGTAGAAAATGAACAATTGGTTATAATAAAGCTTATGAAATTATTAATTTAGAAAATAAAAAAAAAATAGATAAATATTTATGCAAGTTTATTATCCGTTTAAATTTTAGTATTTTTTAAAAAATATATCTACTATCGCATAATCTTGAACTATCGATAGTTCGATAAAAACAACAACCTGGTATAATACCAGTAAAAGCCTCGACCTGACTTGAATCTTGGCCAACCCCCAAAAACTCGGGCTCCCCACATTTTTAAGCCAACTTTCGTGCAATAACGACGCCGCCACGGCTCTCCGGCTCTTTTTTTCCTGCTCCCCCTCACACTCTCATCGGAATAGAGACGACACAATCATCACAAAGCATATGAAAAATGTGTTATTGAATCAAAAAAAAATACGGAAGTCTATACGAATCGATTAAAAATTCGGAAGAGTGTTCTCAAAAAATTAGTTTGGCAGGAAAAGTATAAATTCTAAAATCGATATAAGAACCCCGTGAGTGTTTAGTGTTCGGAAGAGTGAGATACATAGATACTGAGTAAGCACGCCCGCAACTCAACGCGCAGCATCCGCAATCCGTGTTGCAGCCAAAAAGCCGGAGAGTGCATCCAAATCGTCACTGGAAACTGGAACTATCTTTGAGATATATTTTCGCGTCGGAAGACACCACGTCGAGACCTTTGACGCTGTTGATTTTAATTGTTGCGGTAAGTCGGCGCTCGTCAAGCTTTCTGTTTCTGTTTACGTCTCTTGGTTATTCGTCTATAGACCAGTCTATTTCCATTCCGCTGCCCACCGCTTTCGCATTCGTGATATGTTTGTGTGGCTCAGTGAACATAGTTACTCATAAATAAAACAACTTTACGTCATGCGAACTCTGAAGTCATATCTCAAAGACAGCTGTGACCATCGAGATAGGTTACAAGTTCCACAAAAAAACAGATGTGTCTTTATCTACAAGATACTTGCCCCCAAAATACCTTTCTTCCTTTCGATTGGGTTGCTTTTGTTTTAAAAATTCAAATAACGTTCCATAGAAATGAGTCACAAGTGCCCCAACAGTTTTGGATACCCATTTAAAGCCCCTTCATTAGCCAGATGATCTCACCGCCGCTTCCTCTGCAGCCGCTTTCTTCCTATTCTGCCTTCAGCTGCAACCTGGCCTTAATTCACGCCTCTTTGCGTTTAAACGGCAGTCGTATCACGCCTAATATGGTCCACATTTAAGCCGGCTCAAAGCTTTTCCCGCCGTCAATTAAACACGATGACGTTGACCCCCAAACCACCCGTCCCGTTCGTTCCATTCATGGCATGCCGCCACCCGACGATAGCACCCACGCTTCGGCCTTGCCGTGGATCCAACTGTGCTCAACTCCATTGGAGCTCGATTACATAGATACGTATATTGATAATTACTGTAGTAGGCGTTATTTTCTAGTTTAAACGGCTTTTAGAGCCGACAAATTGTTGGAAGTTGAAGGAAAATGAAACCTAGGCAAGTAGATTGCATGTTTTTTCATAGAAAACTATAAAATAAAGCTGTTTTTTGCTTTTCCTTGACCAATAAAATATTATATTACTTGGACTTTGGCTGAAATTTCTTCATGGTTTTTATCAGACTTGCTACTTTATCTACATCTGGGTTTCTTTGCTTTAAGAGCTAATTAATAAAAAGGTAATATTCCTTACCTAAATAGTTAAAAATAGATTACTTTCCCAACCGCTATAGGAGTTCACTGACCTCTCGCTTTTCTTTCTTTTTTTCCAAAGTGAACTATCACCTTATTATTGAAGGTAAAAACTTTCAAGCTATTAGGTCTTAATTGGCTTACCTAATGGGAGTAAACCACCTATTACTACATAAAATATTCATAAAGGCCTAAAAATAAAAAAGATATAATTTTATTTTTATACTTTAGTTTATATTTATTGAGAAATTCGTTTTTTGCATCAAACTTAACTATGGAATATATTTTTAAACTTATAACATGGCCTTTGTTTCTGGTATGGCGCACCCTGTATAATTACATATGTAACTGCGTCACTTACAGCGCTCTGTTAACAAACTAACAGTAACAAAGTGCGGCCTATTGTTCTCCATAATTGTACTATTGCTTTTTATTGTTTTTTTTAGCAATTTGCTATGAACTACGCGGTACATACATACATTTTCACACAGAATTGGACAAAATAACAGGTGCATCACTATCAGCTATAACAGCGTTGATTTCAAATACTAAATTCACCACCCCCACACCCCTAATTTCTATTACTGGGCTTAGTCCGGTTATTCATTTTGTCCCATGAGCTGCTCAAAGTCCGTTACGTAATACTGGGCCCGTCGATAGACCTCCGGACGGACCACATTGCCGCCGAATCCAATGAAATAATTGGCTGGGGGCACTGCCTCCAGATCGGTGGCTCCATCTCCGATCATGGTGATCAAGGAGTCCTCATTGTACTTCTGTTTGATCATCGATATGGCCTCGGCCTTGCCGCCGGAGCGCGAAGTGGGCTGGCTGATGTCGAAGCTGTCGTAGTTGCCCAGGTAATCGAAGAGCATTTTGTTGGCATACACATTGGTGAGGGGGATTCCCAGTTCCGTGGCTACGGGAGCTATCAGGCAATCGAATCCTCCGGAGATCAAGTACACCTGTTTACCCTCCGCCTTCAGGTGGGTAACAAAGCGCTTCACATTTTTGGTCAGTGTACTGGGACGCTCGGCGATGAAATCTCTGACCTGCTGCTGTGTCGGCCGAATGATGTTCAGGCGTATCTTGAGGGCATCCTGGAAGGTCATGGCACCGCCCATCGCCTCCTTGGTCACACGTGCCACCTCGCTACCCTTGCCACAGTACTCGGCCAGCTCATCGATTCCCTCCTCGCAAATCACCGTCGAATCGACGTCGAAGCAAATGATCTGCGACTGCTGAATGACCTTGGCCGCCAATTGGGGTTGCTTGGGCGGTGTTATGGCCGAGGCCACAGTGGTCTTGGCCGCTCCAGCCGTGGTGCCATTACCGTTGCAGTTCATCTGCTTGGCCAACAAACTGTGACCATTTGTGGCGGCAGGACGCGCGATGCTCAAAACCGAACCACTCATCTCGACCGGCTAACACGTTGTGGGTAGATGACTTTCAAGTTTGTTTCTTTTGGACGTAAAAGCTCTCGGCTATTACGATTCGGCTTTGTTTCGACGTTTTGAAAATTTTCCGCTGCCGAAATAACGCTTCTTTTTGTGTATCTCGTGCTGCGTGCTTTTTTGTTTGTATGTTTGTCTCGTTTTTGTTTCTTTTCTTGTTATTCGCACACGCGCTGAGCTGAGCTGAGCTGTTTGCTGCTCTCCTCCGGTCAGCTGTTTTTTGTTTTTGTTCTGATAAGTGGGTCTCCGTCTCCAGTCGAGTTTCAGTTGACGGGTTTTCCGATTGAAGCGATCTGGGGAACTGTTCGCGTTGACTGGTGTTTTTCAAGTGACTGCACAGCTGCCGATCGCCCTTTTAAGAAAACTCACTTGTCGCATACAAGCGCAGTTACTCTCAGCCACTCTCGCTCTCTCTCCCCCTCTCATTTCTCGCTGACCAGCGATCGAACGATAACAGCACCCCGATCATTACAGGCCAGGATCCAGGGGCGAAGTCAGTGATTCACAAAGGGGGTCTTGTAATAGTGTTGGATAACAACTAAACTGAAACGGAATTTTCTCAATTTATTTGTTTTATATTTTCCACTAAAACACCCCCTCTTTACCACCCCTGTTGCCCCGTGTGAAAGAGACAGTTTGGTGTCTTACACACTCATTCACTAGACCTTTCATTCTCTTATCTGGTTGATTCACACCGACTAGCCACTCACCTTCCATGTCTTTTTTTTATCCTCATAAATTGGATTTAATTCATGCCTTTGCGTTTCAATTGAAGATGAATCCATTTCCCAAAGAACATGAACCTTTGAACCCACCACGTGCTGCTCTCATGCGACAATGTCTGATAATCGCTAAAAAACATAAACAATAAGAACAATTATGGTTGGCTGTCATTAAACCCGCGGCACTCGAGTGCTTAGGAGAACCGCCTGGAACTAGATTCTCCAGCAGAAAGCCTTATCATCCGTGGCACCAATTTGACACTGGCCGATTACCAGGGATCGGGGGGTGTGTTTTTGTGGCCAGACATCGGAAGACTACCCCAAAAAATTATCGCCAAAAAAAAAAAGCAAATAAGTGTGGCATTTATGACCCCTATACCAGGAACCGTTCTCGAGTTTCTCAAGGCCTCTTGTATTTGGTCTTGTATTTATTTTCTATCAGCGTAGTGTATTACTTTGTTTACCTAATGGGATCTGTTTTTGAGTTACTTTCCTTTTTTTTAATCATTAATCTCAGAGGTGGAAAATCACCGAAATCCAGACTGATTATTGGCTGAGTAAGCTACAAGTATTTTTAAAACCGCGCGATTTAAAATTAAATTGTCATGATCGGAGTCTGATGCAATCTTATGCTGGCATTGCACTGTTGGATGCATCTTGTCTTCTCTATCTATCTTGGTTCTTCTCGAGCCATTCTTCTACTCTCCAGCGATTAGATACAAAACAATGGCAGGCGCGTGCAATGCAAGCTACAAAAACAACAAACAGTCAACAATGACAGCCGCAAATGCAATTCCCCTTGATGCGGTTTCTTGTTTTTTGTTGTTATCGTTGCTAAGGCAATTTTTTTTATTTATTTTTTTTGTAATTCGCTATTGTAGAATAACAAGTTGTTTTGACCGTTCGCGATCGTTCGTTTGTGGTAAACAGCAGCAGCAGCAAAATAACAGGCGGCTAGGCAGGCTAGACCGCAAAAGCAAAAGTATTTCATTGCCAGGCTACTATGATGACAGGCTATCGATAACGATAAACCACGCATTGCGTGCAGGAACATTCATGCATATTTAAAGCTCGCCTCGGCCAACGACTTCAACTGAACAAAGCCATAAACTGTTGATTATTTTTAATTGCCGTTGCCTTGGGAAACTAAGAACGAGGAAAACTCGAAAAGAGTACACACCTGTACTTTTTACCTGAGCCCCTGTCCCTGTCCCTGTCAGCGGTTGCGGCACCTGTCGTTGGTTCGGTCTGTGATTTGTTGTTGTTTTTCCTTGGCAACTGAACTACATAGTCGTAGGTTTTTTTTTTTTTGACTGGCCATTTCCTTTCAGGCTTGCAGTTATCGATTGACCTTGTTGCTGCATAAATTTCCACCAAAGTCCATTCCGTTTGTTTGCCGAGGACATTGTACACACAAAGTGTAGAGGTAGGCTCGTCACCTGATCCCAAAGTATATATGTATGTACCTGTACTGCCTAATTTATTATTCCAATGGCGTGATAATGGTTTCTAATTTACGACAAAACTAACAGTACAACTTGGCCATCTAAACCCCAAAAACCTAGTATAGAGTCTGAGAATCTTTGTTAAGAATCTCATCTGTACTACCATTTATAGCAATATGGAATTTAGTGAGGCAGTTGACGGCTGACTTTGGTAATTGAGCTCCGTGCCACGCCCCCATCTGTTACCTCCCACATCCATAATGGAAAAAATAAAACGGAAAGCTTGCATAATGACGCGACACGACACTTTGTGGGTTTGTTTTTCCATCAGACAGCTGATAGGCTCGGCTTTGGTTATTAAGCCATGCATATAGTACCAGTCTGAAGGCCGCGTAATTGCTGTATTAATTTTCATCACCATCAGCTAGTCGATTAGTAGGAAGTGTCTATTTTCATTAGCTGGGGGTGCTCGATTGATTTGTTTTTCAGCCTTTCAGTCTCCAAGCTGTTTCCAACTCGAGAGTTGTTTTTGTGGCTGTCTGCTGATTAACCGTTAAATTGTATGGGACGATCCCCCGTCATGTTGGGTGCCTCTCTTCTAACCCGCCTGTTGTTAACGAGTGCACGCGATTTTAATTCCGTTGATTAACTCTCTCACGCTCTTACACACATGCACGCATGCACATGCTGGGGTGAGAGCAGTAGCTCACTTGACACATTTACAAGTGGAGCAAAAAGGGGAGCCCAAGAAGTGCTGCAGTTTCGCTCCTTTTGTGGCTTTTGTCCACCTCCCTCTCTCTGTTTCTCTCTCTGTTACCTTTTGTCGTCTTGTATTTTTGTTTTGCATCACTTGCTTTGGCTCATAAACTCATAAACAGTTACAAAGTGGACTGATTCGTGGCAACCGACGTCAACAAGCAAGACGAACAATAACAATAACAACCTCCCCTTTGCTGGGGGCCAAAAAGCACACAATCTTTATGATTGTATGTATGTATGTAAGCCTGATATGTAAAAAATGAAATGAAAACACGTCATTTGCCGACGATTGCTTTTCTTGCTGTTGCCATCGCAGTTCTGGAAACTCGAGCAGCGACGTTGTTTAACTTTTCCTCTGACAAAATCGCAACAATGGGGAAAAAGTTTTCCCCCCACGCCTCCTTTTAAATGTAATTACTACAAAGCACCCGTTATCGTTTCTCTCCCGTTCTCAGCGGTCGTTGCTCTCAAAAAATTAACAATACATACAGCTAATAGTGACATGCAAGCGGCTAACGGTTGTATCCTGACAGCCCCGCTCCCAGAAACGGAAGTTGCATATTCCTGTCGAAAAAGGATTCCCCCGAAACGCAACAGTTTCGATTGTAATCCGAGTCTAATGCGGTGATTTGGGTCAACCAGCACAACAAAAAAAAAAAGGAATGACAAAAAAAAACCAGTCAGTCGGCAACAGAAACAAAGGAAAAACAATTTCTGTAGAGGCTTTGCTCCCAAAGTACACTCCAAAAAAAAATTAAGAGGTATTTGAGGGTAAAAATATATTCTAGTTCCATTCCCCAATGAATTCGCTGTGACTCCTGCGGGTTGCCTCTGGGAATCCGCCAGGAAATATGAATTTCAGAACTTAAATTTGGTTTTATTTTTCAATTTTATAATAAAAATATATTATTTTTGAATATGGTTTAACTTAAATATGGTTTTATTTTTCAATTTTATAATAAAAATATATTATTTTTGAAGAATAGATACTTTTTAAATGGCCTACTTGAAAATAATATATTAAAAATTCTTATAAAACACATTATTTAAACCAAAAAATAAACAATTTCCTATAAATATTTCAATAGAATTTCTAATAAAGACAAAAATTTTATTTGTGTACACGTGTGGGTTCCCATCTGCTGAATCATTCCCAAAGGCGGGGCTGTGTAGCAACAATCATGGGCTCGATTGCATGTGCAGTGATTCCCACAGCACCTCACCCCCACCCCCCACCATAGACAAAGGCTAGGGAGCTCCAAAAGCAAGCCCCTCAGGCGGAATCAGATAATCAAATTGTTTGCGCACCGATTTCGCAACGCTCCATTAAATTCGCATTTCTCAATTCTAAATTGCAGGGGCCGCCCATAGACGCTAGTGAATTTAAATAGGATACCAGAACAGACCATACCAGAACAGATTCAGATTCAGATCAACACAAACAGAGAGCATAATGGTGGACTTCCGCTTCGACATCAGACCCCTGTTCCCCGAGCCGATAATAAAGGTGACATCGAACCTACTGCCGCACACCTTCCGCGGCGACAGGCGTCAGTGTTTGTGAGTATTGTGGGAAATGGGATATGGCAGGATCCGAATCCAACTAACCGAATACACTCTCTTAGGGATGCCACCTCGAAGATGTCGGAGATCATTGACAGGTTGGGTCAACTGTCGGCCACCTCGCAGGGCCTCAACAAGCCGGTGACCACCGCCCAACGCTTGCGAATGTGCGACACCCAGACCATCTATTTGCTGGCCGATACTGAAGCTGGACACAAGTAAGTAGATACATCCCCTCCTCTAGGTCAAGACTTATATGGAAATTTTACAGCGGCGCCGTTGCTGGTTTGTTGAAAGTGGGCACCAAGGATCTGTATCTGTTCGACGAGACTGGAAAATCGCGCAAGGTGGAGAATGCTCCGTCCATCCTGGACTTTTATGTCCACGAGACCCGTCAACGGGCCGGCCTGGGAAAGCGTTTGTTCGAGACCATGCTGCGGGAGGAGCAATGGTCGCCGGTCAAGTGCTCGGTGGACAGGCCGTCGGAGAAGCTTCTGGGATTCCTCAAGAAGCACTATGGTCTGAAGAATATCATTCCGCAGGCGAATAATTTCGTGTTATATCAGGGCTTCTTCGGTGGTGGTTCTGGAACGCCCTCGGCCAACGGTAATGGAAACTTGGACGCCCCATCGCCACACCACACCGGGAACAATGGTCTGCACATCACAAACAGGTGAGTGGGCAGGTGGGGAGTGGCCCGGCGTTGCGCTGATTTCCTGACCTATGGCGCAGTCCCTGGCAATTAAGGCGTTGCTTTCGCTGCTGCAGGAAACATTTCACTTTCGGCCTCACCAGTTGGCCATTTCGTTTTAGCCCCATTTGCATATCGGTGGTATATATATATGTACATATATACCTTCGTATGCAAATCGGACTTGGCAAGTAGATTTGTTTGTTTGCCGGAGGAATTCCGTTGATCGATAAAACGTGGCTTTAATTCATTTTGTTAACATGCTTGCCTGTTGCTTTATTTGCTTAATCTTAAACTTTCATTACTAATATTTAAAAAAAAAATCTTAATCTTTATCCACATGTCGCGCTAACCGATAACCAAACATCCAGTCCTAACACACAGCTCTTTGGTGCTACTTACCTGGGCGAGGATTCTAACCGGCGTCGTGGCTCCCAGCAACAGAGCGCCTCGACCACCGCCCTGCTCCAGCAGCAGATAACACAAATATCACCGTCCGGACGTTATGGGGCACCGCGTCCCTCCTGCAGCATGGCCGAGGTACTTAGACACTTGTAATTCCATAACTAGGTTCTATTCGTTTTGGTTTTATTTTTGGAATTTGAATTTTTTTTGGTTAAAATTATTAGTTGAAATTTTACAAAAAAAAATATTTTGAGACAAGTAGGCCTTGTGATCGGTATTTGGATCTGTCAAATGGTAAATCCTTACATTGCTCGTAGCTTAGTTCAGTTTAGATTTATACTCGCTAGCGGTCGGATAGAAAATTTTCACTCCCAGCTCTGAGCTCTGAGGAATATATTTTTATATCGGTTTTATATAACGTGTAAACGGGCGAGTTTCGTCGCGATTTGTGTGGCGGATAAAGTTTTTCGTGCGGATAACTAATTTCAAGTGATTTTATTTATGGATGCCAAACGTGGTAATGCCCCCGGGGCACGCCAAGGCACCGGCTATCAAGCATCCAAGACTAGCATGGCGGTAAGTATAATCCCAACTTGTGTGGCGCCTTAAAAGATGTTCTTTATTGGTTCGCCCAGTCACGCCAGCAGGGTGGTGGGGCAGCTGCCGTCGGACGCAAACCGGCCAGTGAGATCAGCCTGACTCCCAGCCAGGCCAGGAACCCGGATAACGTAAGCGTATGCTGTGCAGATCTAATCTGTATTCCTAACCGGTATAGTCACAGCCACGCAAGAGTCCCTTGGATGCTCTGAGCCGCAGTGGCATTGTACGCAGTCAGGATCCCTTCCAACGCCGGTCCGGCTTGCAGGATGTGGATGATGCCTTCTTGGCTTCCAATGCTTTTGCGCGCCCACCCAGGGTGCGTCATTCCGGGTTGGAAAGAGACGCCATGCCGCAAGCAGCTGCCGGAGGTGGCGCTGCTGCCAGCCAGCAGCAGCAGCAGCAGGGATCCGCTGCTGCAGTGGCTCCGATACGCATGTCTGCCGGGCAGGATGCTGGCCAGCAGCAGATGGACCAACAGCAGGTGCCGCCGCCACAACAGGTACCTCCTGCCTCACCGGCACCGTCGCAGCAGCAACAGCAGTACGCTCAGCAACCGGCTGCCGGGCAGCCTACTCGATTGGAACCGCCACCATCGGGACGTGCTCATCCCCAGCACCAGCATCAGGCCGGCTATGAGCAACAACAGCAGCAACAACAAGATTCACAGGCTCAGAACAAATACCAACAACAATCTCATCATCATCAGCAACAACAACAACAACCAACACAGCAGCAACAACAAACCCCCCAACAAGGATACGTAAATATAAGCAGATTCGTTAGGGAATTATTAAATATAACATATCCTCGCCACACCCTCAGTCACCGGCAGGAGGAGCTCAGGCAGCTGGGGCATCGTCAACTAACGGACTAGGAGCCGGAGCGGCAGGAGCTGGCAACGCTGCAGCACCCCGTGAGAGCGGAGGAGGAGCTGCGGCACCGCCCCCCGAGGCCGAAATGTGCACCACATGCCCCAACTGCCAGACTACCATATACTTGGTTCGCTCCCCCGAAATGGGACACGGAGATGCCGGCTCCCCAGTACAGTAGAACCCATACAGATGCGCCACACCAAGCACCAAGCCCCAAATTCTTCGTTTAACTGTTTGGACAGCTCATAACAGCGTCGGACAGTCGTTTCAATTCCTCAATCCATTCTTCAATTATTGGTTTTAAGTTCTGAAGACCTTTGGACTCGCATGACCTGTGACTAACCAGGATTCATCCAAATTTGAAGTTATTTTAAATTCCCAGTGACATTTTTGGTTTACGGTGATGAATCTAAAACATTAATGTTATGTGTGTGTGCCAAATCCACTAATAAATTGTTATAGTTCCTTTGTTGACTTGATATAATTGGTTTTAAATATATTTGTCGAGGTTATCGATTAATAATCGAAAGGAACTTGTCCTTGCATGTCTAAACATGTATGTGGATATCTATTTTAGTTGAATTTTGGCTAGGTCTATGAATTAGTCTTGGTAGGTCGTAGATTCTTAACGTGATATGATTGATTTGAAATAGAACTGTCAAACTTATCGATAAATAATCGAAAGGAACAATATTTTATTGTTCAAGTCTAGACATGTACATATGTATGTACATGAATTTCTATAATTTATTTTATAAATTTGCTAAATCCACATATAAATCTTTGCAGGTCGTTTGATATAAACAGGATAAAGTCTAACTATATCTTGTCTGTATATAGTTTTTATATATATCTTGTCTAATTTATCAAGGAAAAATCGAAATGAACCTATTCATACATGTCTAAACACATACATATGTATATGGATATTTATTTCACTTATATAGTTGCCAAATCCAAGAAATAATCTTTGTAGTTCGTTGATAATCATATAGATTTGTAGATATAATTATATTTCAATATAACTGTCTAATTTATCGATAAATAATCGAAAGTAACAATGATTGTAGAAGTAGACTTGATTGTAGAAGTCTTGATAAACAAGTCTAAACATGTACACAAATTTCTATAATTTTATGCAACACCCCAGGATTAGTAGTTTCTAAGCATAACATAACTTTCACTTTCCCAGAGTGGGTCACCACCAGTATGGGGGTCAACCACCCCCAAATGCCTAACGAATGGGTGGTGGTTTTGGATGCGTGCCAAGTTGACACAAAAAGCCTCGCCAGGGGTGTTTATATCAAGTTGTGGAGTAACAAATTAATAAAGAAATTCTATGAATTGTGTGGGCCACGAAACGGCCATTACCAGGGGTTAATTGGGCGGAGATCTTATCTTTGAATACAATTCTCTTAATAAAATTAGTCCAGATTTGTAGTAAATCGAAATTAATAATAGAAAATGTGTATATTTTCCAGATAATTCATGCTGGAAGCTCGAAAAACGGCAAGGGTGGCGGTAGCAGTGCAGAATCCAACAGGTAATTATTAAACTTCAATTAATTTTTAATTATTTAAGACATTTATCATTTTGTGGATTGTCTTCATTTGGGTTTCATTTGTTTCTTTTCGTTTGTCTTTCAGAATCAAATAGATAACCACAAACATTGCACACGGCTGCATCATATACAATAGATATAGAACAAAAATCAAATATCAAATCAATAACCATTGTACAAAGCTTTGATTTTAGCAAATTATTTATATTTATATTTATTTTTCGTCTAGTTAATTAATAATACAATTGATGAATTTACTTAATGTTCGAAGTACAAGCAGAAGAAGCTGCACTTGCCGCATGCCACCCACCACCACCCACAAGAACACCACCCCCCAACTGCAATCAATCATTTATGATCGGAACCGTTACACAAATCAATCAAATACCTGACAAATTGTGATTACAAATTATTAATTATCATTTACATAACATAATTATTTGTCATAATTTATTTTTATTTTATTTTTTATAATTTTCATTTTTTTTTTAAAGCAATAAAATGAATAAAAATCGCGCATCTGTCGATTAATTCAATGTTCCATGTGGTGTTGTTACTTTTTTTTAATATTTTTAATGGAAGCAGCAGAAATCTAATAGTTTTTAAAATTAAAACTAACAAGATTTCCGCTGCCTTCCTTTTTAAAATTAGTCTCGATAACAGCTTCATAAACTTTTCCAACAGCGGCAATGGACATGACATTGCAGAGATTGCCGCCCAGCTGGAGCAACAAACTCTGGCCGATCTTGAGGCCCAGAGGTATGAGCCCGAATTCGAACCGGAGCCAGAGCCGGAGGTAGAGCCAGAACCAGAGCCGGAACCCGAGGTGATAACACCACCATCACCGCCGCCAAAGAGCCACACTCCCACTCCGCCAACAGTACGTTCCCCAGAAGTGGCGGAAAGCATCATCGGCGATAACCGTCGGCCACCGGCATTCCAGCTGAGCAAGCAGCACACGGGCATGAAGAATCGCTCCTTTGGCGTAGGCATGGCGGTGATGCCCAGCAGCAAGATGGAATTCGATCAGATGGAGCGCGAGGATTTCGGTGTGGTGAAAATCAATCGTCCCCCAGGACACGATGTCACCTCGCCCGGTCAGGACAATACGGATGCAATGTCCACCGTGTCCTCCGGTGGAGGTGGAGGCCTCACCGATCAGGGCTACTACGATCTCAAGTTCTATCACAACAAGTTGTGGTAAAGGCAACACATTCGCATATTTTGTACGTCTGGCATAAGAGAATAATTAAAGAAAATTAAAATCTAGACTTAAGAAGGTATTAATCAAACACTCCTTAAGGGTTCCTGTACTTCAGTTCGATGATTTTGATGTGAGCTTCTTCAGATTTTTGTTGATTTGTTCATTTGTTAAAAGCAACGCACTTCTAGCCACACTACAATTACAATTACAATGTTAACAATAGAAAAATGAATTATGTATGTAGATTAGATAATGTCGATACCCAATCCAAGTAACCCAATCCAAGTCTGTATCTTCCAATTACAGAAAACGCGAATATTTCGAACAAATCTATAGTGAATACATGCTCTAAATAGGCACATCGCCACCATACCATCATAACAATAATCATCATTCTCTAAAACATTTATAGTTTATAGATGAGACCCCTTGAATGCAAAATTAGAATTAAACATATATATATAAATAAAGCACACTTTTTTGTCGATTCTATTCTTGCCAAGTGGTTTGGGCCTGGCTTTCCATTTTATCATCTGCAATACAATTATGTACGTTTACACACACACACATGAAATGGAAATCTATGGGGCTGAGCTGAGGTGCGGAAATCTGTAATATATAGTAGACCGATCGATGGTGCCACTGCTACTGCTGCTTCTAAACTATTGCTGGATCATGGGTCCCTCGGCCTGGATGTCTTCTTACATATAGATAAAGTTGAACCTAAAAAATAGAATTATTTTATAGGAAATTCTAGGTAAGTAAGTTAAAGTAACTCACCTGCAGAGGGCCTGCGGCAGTGATGAGATGATCGGTCCATAGCCTTGCGAGTTGTCGTATAGCTCGAACAATGGCGCAGCAACAAGCTTATAATTTTTGGGTACAGCAAATAGTGCTAGATTACAAAAAACGATAGAGACAGAATTGATGTATAGATAGATAGAGTATGGGGGCATTTAAACCGCAGATAATATCATCTATGGGGGGTATTACAATTGGTTGTACAATTTACAAATATAAAGAATAACGTTTTCGTATCGCTGCCATATATGTATGATATATAAAAAGAATTATTATGTTATACATTAAATAGGTGGCTTCGTTAGACTAATTACTAGGGTTCGCTGCAGCTACAGAGATACTGCAGCGAAAACTACTAATTTCAGTTATGAACATAATTATACATGGTGTTGAAGCAGTCATTTGTCGATTTTTTGGGAATCAACAACTAAGGATATTTATTTTTTTAATTTTTAACTATGGTGGGCCAAAGAAGAGTATAAACAGAGTATTTTGTGTTTACATAAACGAGTGCTTAGATTAAGGGAGCGACTAAGGGTGACCTGCACTGGCTGTGCGACATGCACGCAAATCTGCACAACACGCGAGATTTGGGCGCATCACTTTCGCGACAGCCCAGCACCTTTACAATACTCTCTGCTGCCTGCCCGATCAATCAATCAACCTTAAGATGAACAGCTTGACACACACTTGACACAAACGTAAGAGTAGCAGTAGCAGTAATAGGAGATAAATAAATATTTTTTAAATAGAAGGGATAACATGGGCGCGCTCAGTCTCGCACACGTATGTCGACATATTTACAAAATTAAAAAGATACAACAACAATCATTGAATTTGGAATGGTAAAAAGTAGCAGAAAAATAGCAAAATATGCCAACACGCTGAGTTCTGAGCAACTGAGCAAAATACAATTTGAATTTCAATTTAGAGACATTTGTTGTACAATTGAACTTGAATCAAAATAACTAAGAATTCGGCTGAGCCCGTGCTTGCGATCGTTTCGATTCGATTCTTTCTTTTCTCTGTTCTTTTCTCTGTTCTTTTCTTTGTTCTTTTCTTTGATTCTCTGTTTTGTTTGCTCGTTTGTTGTTCTATGGCATTGCACTCTTGAGAGTAGAGTTGGGTAGATACGACACACACGGCGCTAATGGAACAGCTCAGCTCAGGGTACATCGTAACTGGCGTTCCCGTCCGTATCTAAACAGCATTGAAAAGATATGACATGAGGTTGGTTAGCGTATTCGATTTTTGGCAAACAACAAAAAAAATTAACGATACAAGGTTATATTTTGAATAACATCAATTGTGAAATGGATTTGACACTGCTCGATATACCTACGTCGACGGGCATCGAACTTCATTATGGATATTTACCCTTTTCGTGCAACTGGACGAGGAAAAGCCTCTTGTGCTCCTTGGGCTTTGTGATGTGCGGCGGAATGTACGGATATTGCGGTGGCTCAAAATTCGGCCGCCACCAATTGCCAATGGTGTCCTCGACAATCCAATCTTGCTTTACACCGTCCTGACGACCCAGCGTCTAAAAGACAACAGATATTAGAATTCAGCGGTCCATTAGTGGCCAAATAAGTTGCATACCTCGGTGAGTAGTCGCTTTAGGCCATCGACCTCATCTTCTCCGGCGTTTAGCTCTCCGCCTGGCAGCTTAAAGAATGTGGTACCCAACTGCAGCAGCAGGACGTGCGGCAAGCCGTGCTCGTGCACCAGAAGCACTCCCTCCACGGACCTTCTCATGCCAATCCGGTCAAACTCCTCCCGCATACGTTGGAATCGTGATGGGACTGACGGATCCTTTTCAAAGAGGGGCTCCTTTGTGCCGAATGTGTAATTTGTTAGGGGGTAGCTATGGGAGATACAAGCAATGTAGAGTTTGTTGCCCCACGTAGGAAATGGTACTTACAGATTAATAGTACGATTTATGGTAAGAGCCTGATTTGGAGCATATTTCTGCGTTCCGTTGTTGTTGCTGTTGGCAGCATCGGCCTGACCTTGGCTTCCGCGGCGCGGCCAGCCGGAGCCCGATTTGTTTGAGACTTGCGAGGACGCCATTTTGTTAAATTTTCTTTCCGCCGAAGTGGAAAACTGCGTCCCTAGCCTTGGAATCAAGTGGTTTTCGGTTGATAACTTTTTCTCACGATGCTCCCAATGTTTAATTGACTAATTACAGCTGCCAGTATCAGTTTTGCCTTAATTTTCGGTGATTTAATCCAATTTTCTTTCCAGCGTTTTTGCAAAAAAATTCACGCCGGCACCAGGGCTGCAGATGTGTATTGATTGAATCCGCGGTTCTGAACCAGTACTTTGGAACTGGTTCTTCAATCGTCGGAACTAATTATTTTCATAAACTTAACAATTTGTAAGAGAAACATAGCATAAAATCCTATTTGTAACACACATAATTAGTTACTTAAGTATTATTTGAAAAAAATTTTATTAAAAATATATATATGACTTGTTATAGGCCGTGGTCAGGTTGCCCTTTTTTTTATCATCGTACATCTGGTCACACTAACTATTAGTTTTTTGTTTATGTTGGGACGTCGGAAAAATCGGCTGTTTTCCCGTGGTGTCCGTCTGCCATGAAAAGCTGCTAAAAAGCTAAATATAAAAATCAGCGCAGCGCGCGGCCAGACACTCGTTCGCTGCATTGTTTTCCCATATGCCGACGGGAAATATGTGAGTCGAGTGGAAAAAAAAACGCATCTTCTGTGTGTGTATATATATGGTGCGCAAGTGTTGGTGTTGGTGTTTGTGCAATGGTGCAATGGAAAAAGTCATTATTATAAATGAAAACGAGTGAAATGTGTAAGTGTGGCACCGAAAACGGGACGGCTCTTTGAACTTTTCCATTTTCATGTTTTCACCTCATCTTCTTTTCTTCTCCCACATCCACCATCCACCCACCCATACAGACAACCAACAACTCCCACTTGTACGTGTGCGGGGTGCGCAGTGAAGAAGGGTGTTTACCGTTTGCTTTTGCGTCGGTGTACGTGCCAGATAAAGACTCGAATTTCTGACTCGGAGGATATTAGTGTCAACGCAATAGCCTAATATGCATGCACGTCCATTAATTACGCCAAAGGTCAGAAGTTACAGGACCCAAGGAGCAATAATAATGCTGTAAGACGTCGGCCCAAAGCTAGAGCGAGATAGGGCGAGCTAAATCGTGCGCTGGTGTGAGTGCGTGGTAGAACAAAGAGGACGAAGAAAACACGGCTGGGCGAATTCGCCGCAAGGCGAATTGAGTTTGTTCTAGGAATCAACAAAAGGGGTAATCCCCATAAACTAAATAATCCCAAGACTGTTAACATATAGCGGCCGATAACCATGTCAGCGGCGGAACTGGAGGCGGAAGCTTCCTCGCCAGAACAGCAGGCACAGCAACAGCAGGCCCAGCAAGGACAACAGAGCAATGAAACCACATCTACAACAAACACTGCCATCGAGGAGACTGCTCAGTACAACAACAACGATGACATCGTCGACACCCAGATGCCCCTGGCCAACATGCAGATGCAGCAGCAACTGGATGGAAGTAACAGCAACGGAATCACAGGACTCGGCATGAGCCTGATGAACTCGTCGCCGCCACCGCACAGCTATCGCCATTCGAGGGCCTATCGCCACTTCAAGAACCCGCCGCAACCTCACATGTGCATCCGCACCACCACGGAAGCGGGCGAGGAGCTATTCATCAATGTCCTTAGCTGGACACGCATCGTGATACCACAGGAGCCCAGTGATCCGATACCCCTCTACGGTGGCATGCGAGTAAGTTTCTTAAAAGCTTCTCTGATGGAAATATTTGGTTACTAAATCCTTTAAAATTGTATTAAAGGTGCCACCTGGTAGCCCACGTAGTCCTCCCATTGTGTTTGCGGTCATGGCCAATCCAGAGGTCCTCAAAGATTCTGGACGACACAGCAAGGATCCAGAGGAGCGGCGCGCTATGGTTGAGCTAATGTGCGACTTTGTGGAGGCTATGAATCCAGGCGTGAAACTAGTCAGGTGAGACATCAAAAGCCCTAGATTACATAACCTTGGTCCTTCAATCCAAATCTCCTTCCAGAAACGCCCTTATACTTAAGGATCGCGACATTTCTGGCGAGCTCAAGGATGTGTGGAATGCCGTGCAGGCGCAACGTGATCGGGAGCGCGAGGAGCAGATGCTGCAACAGCGCCAGCAACAGCACTACCAGAATATCACCACCCAACAGATGTTTCCCAAGTCGCCGGATGCTGTACGGGCAGCCAGTGCTTCAGGTGCGGCTATGATGGAGGGCAACTCGCCACCTGCTGGCCTCGGAGAACCGTTGCTGGCGGAGCAGGGCAATGGGAATACTCCCGGCAATGGCATCACCCTGGCTGTGTTTGCCCAGCAGCTGGATAACAAAGTGGCCAGCGAACAATCGGAGCAGGAGCCATCGGAACAGGAGTCGAGGCCGCTGGAAGAGGCTTGTGTGGATCAAACGGATGCTGGCAGTTCGGTGAATGGATCAACTCCAAGTCCACAAGCTGTGGCGGAACCAGAGCCCGAAGTGAAGGCCGCTGAACCAAAGGCCACTAATGGAACAGCAGCTCCTGCTTCGGTGTCGGCTCCTGTTCCTGCCGCCACTCCAGCCCCTGCTCCAGCACCCATTACCCCACCTGCCGCGCCTGCCAAGAAGGAGAAACTTGGCGGATTCTTGCCAAACGGTTGCATCTTCCCGCGCTTCAAGAACAACAAAAACAAGGACAAGGACGGCAGCAGTCACAAGGAGGGCAAGAGCAAAGAGAAGACCCTGCTGAATGCCCTGAAAAAGAGCAAGGAGAAGAAGGTGGCGCCCAGCGAGCAGCCGACAGAGAAGGCGAACGCATCCGACAACGGCACCACCCAGTACGAGAAGAACTGCATCAACAATTTGGAGTGCGAGGTGCAGAAGCTGGACCTGAACAGTGGCTCCAACGGGGACAACGGGATGTTCATCAAGCTGAAGGTGGCACCCAATAATGCCACAGCGGCAGCGGCTGCCAAGTAGAAATAATCCTGAATTTACAAAAAAAAAGAAAAACAAAATCTTGTAGGTAAGTGGGAGCTGGAAGGTGGATCTTCTGGCTACCCGTTAGGGCTTAGAGTCGTGGATAGAGTCGTGTAGCATATACAAGATTTATATATACAAAATATATATACACTCACACAGACAGAGAAACACACACACATCCAAGCATTTACACAGTTGGTCAATTTTTTTGGATAAATAACCAGAGACTCTTTGGAAAAACCAAGTTAATACAAAGCACAGATCGATCGAGATGATTAACTAACAGTTGTGCCATGTTGCTCCAGCTCATAGACGTTTGTAGAGACGAGAACAAAGCTCCCAGGATCTTCCCCCACGGCATTTAACTGAGAAATGATAAACGTATTTACATAGTTCAATATATATGTGTATGTCTCGCATACAGTTTTGCCTTATATACAACAACAACAACACAGAAAAAATAATATAAAGCCCAAGAGTAACTCATGCGCCAAACGAACATCCACTAGCACAAGCTAGCCTAGCACTCCATTCCTGATACACACCACCCTCATCTCATCTCATCTCATCTCATCTGGTCCTCCATGTAAAAGTATTACGATTCAAGCACCCAAATCCTGGATCGATTGATCTCCAAGCTTTGAAGTTGAGGGTTAAAACAACAGGCCATCAGGTTAAAGGCCTGTTTTAATTTTTAACTAACTAACTTGACTAACTTATGTACCTTTGTATACCCCCCAAGCTAATGGAAGAGGTATATAGAACCCTAAAAACCTCCTTAAGTTTTTTTCCTAAAACTATATTCTTTTTTTTAATTTTTTCTTGAGGTATTTATTTACTTGTCACTTGATATTGTTTAAATGTTTTTATTGTCTGTACTAACCCGATCCCTCAACTTCAAACTAAACCTAAACCACGAATCATCCAATACCATATAGAGTATATAGAATAAACCTCAAAAAAAAAATTCGAAATAACATTCGGGAAAAAATAAAAAGTTTCAACTGCAATATCGGACTGAACAATGCTGCCATATAAAAAAAAATATATATACACTTGATAACTTTGTATATGAAGTTTGTAATAATTTCCATAAATGAACGAAAATTTTAATTGTGATTCATTCTAAAAATCTAATTTTGTATCCACATCGAAGATATTTTAATTGAAAGAAGCTACAACAGAAAACTACACAACGTATACCGAATAAAATATAATTTTGTTTGCTAGGAAACGGAATATCCAATAGATTAATTTTTAATTTTTTTAGAAAGGTGCCATACCGGAAAAAGAGTGTATGAGAATTAATCAAAATTGCATCCCAATATTGGTATTATTCTAAACCTAGAGATTCCTTCAGAGTTGAAACGGAAGCCCGAACCGAAAGGTCGAAAGGAGAACCCTAAAGTATATATGCTAGTTTTTAACTGGTTGTAAATGATAAAGCTCGTGTATAATTATTATTAAAAAAATATATATATATAGATATATATAGCACGAACCCAACAACAACAGCAGAAACAGCAACATCACACTATAATTACAAATTAAAATTAGTTTAAGTTTCAAGTCTTCTAAGCGAAGAGCAAAAAAGCAATAATTTTACTTCAAAAGAATGGATTGGAAAAAGGGCAAGAAAATTATTAAGAAAATGGGAGTGTTTTTGAAAACTTTTGGGGGGTTTTTTGAAAATATTTTTCAAGAATAAAAATTGTAAGTTTTTAATAAAAAAGTAACTTAACTTTTTAGAAGCATTTGTGTTTTGGAAAAATGTCAAAAAATATTTTTAAAAAATTTCCCAAAGATTTCTGAAACATTCAACTTGCGGAGTAAACCAACACACAAAAAACACACATTTTTATATGTATATGTATGTAATAATAAAAGATCGTATTTGACAAAAGTGTATATTTTTGAAGCTGTTATTTATATTTATTTTTTTTAGCGAGTGATTTAATAAATATTTTGGGCTACTTAGATGAGGGCTACTGTCTACAGAACATCCTGTACAAGATCCTTCCGGCGAAGGATCCTACTCATCCTTGTTGTTGATGGCGCGCAGGCGTTCCAGCTCGGCACGCTCCTCCTTGTTGCGGAGGAGTGGCACATTGTAGTCGAAGGCATAGAAGAAGCCCTTGGGCTCACCGGTCTCCTCGGGTCCGGGGACATATGGCGGCTCCTCGTGCACGTAGGGCTGTTGCTCCTGCTCGGTGGGCTGGTAGCGACCCTCCTGCTGGTATTCGGCGGCATAGGGATCGGGATTGTGGCCAGCGGCGGCGGCCAGCTCGCCCCACAGCCTGAAGTGCTCCTCCTCGGCCTTGAGCACGGCCGGGGTCTTGGTGGCGGGCTGTTTCAGGTGAGCCGGACGATTGTCCTCCACATGGAAGCCGGTCTTGTCCGCATAGTAGTTGGCAATAAAGTCGCGGCCATGTGGCTGGACATACTTGTAGGAGCCAGTCACCTTTCCGGTCTCGTCGCGCTTCTCGTTCTTGCCCTGGTTCCAGTCCCTGTAGCCGTAGGCGAACTGACCCAGACCGTCCTGGCCGTGGTACTGATGGGCATCATAGTGCTCCTCCACATAGTCCTCGGGATGCTCGATCACACGGCCCATATAGACGAACTCGCCCTTCTCGTTGCGGGCCTCCGGCAGAGGATTCTCTCCGGTCTTGGGGGCATACTCGATGTCGCCAATGCCACGCAGCTGGGCGCTGTTCAGAAACTGTTGAGCCTCCTCGGGGGTGATGTTAATCTTGAAGATGTTCTCGCCGCTAGCCAGGGTGGCCTAAAAATAGAGACATATGTTAAATAAATTAATAAAAATTAATAAAATATTTAATTCCACAAATGGCAAGTCCAGCTCTAATATGGGGTTTAATATTATTAGGCACGCTTCACAAAAAGATAAAGATGATGTCATTTCTCGGGCTATAGTCATTGGTTAAAGCTATAGTCTCATCTCGCATGTAACTAAAAAATTACTTAATGTATTTTGCACATTTTTTTATTATTATTTGCACTAAGCCATCACAACACACATGGCTGACATTTATGGAGTCACAGCAACCCGGATTTTAATTGAATAGATCTATTCAGATCGGTGATCGGTGATCGTAAATTTGAGATTAATTATGCAAATAATCTGCTCTTTTACCAGCATCAGGGCAGCCAAGATGAAGCACTTCATTGTGGTTTTATGTGGTTTTGGGTTAAGTTTTAAGGTTTTAAAATTGTATCCAAATATATCCAAGCTGTATAGCAGTTGTCGAGCTACTAATAACTGAATAAACCAAGTCGCTGCTTATATACTAACTTTGAACTTGGTTTTTGTTTTGCTGCTTTTTGCGTTTTGCATAAATCTGAGAAATCTCCGAGCTTCGAGCTCTGAATGAAGATGTTCTACAGGTGTGTTCGTGTATCTCTGACCAGCGCAGACTCGGATTCACCTGTCCGGTTTCTTACTCAGCTTATTGTAGAATCGCATCTCTCAAAATCGCACTTCTCACACTTCTCGGATATGAAAATATCATTAATTGTATGTATGCCCCCATCGTATGCTCAATTAGTTATCTAATAGCCCCCCTCCAACTATTGTTGCCTTTTCGGCATAACCCTTTTTGGACTTCATTCAAGTGGCATTTTGCCCGCTCATCGGCTGTCAGTTGGGAGTATCTCAAAGATACTTTTATTTGCCACTTAAAATTCTTTAGTGTTTAAGGCATTTTGGCCATTTAGATACCTTAGATCGGGTTTTTTGGTTAAATCTTATCTGATGGTGGGGCATGTGGCTCCCAAGAAGCTATCCAAAGAGGCAGGTTTCTAGAGACCATATTAAAAATATTAAAAAAAAAAAGGTACTTTATATTCGAATCTTTTTATTATTTTTAATTAAACATTTTTAAGCTCTTACCCAGCGGTCTATGATTTATTTTCAATAAAGCAACTTCGAGCGCACCTCAATCACTTTTTAGTTTTAATTAATGCTAAGTTTACGGCTTGAACTTCGGGTTTCCTGTAGATCGGCGGAAGTTTTTGTTTAGACATGAGGCAAGCACTTGACGTCGGCTTGAATACTGCATAATTAGATGCGAGTATAATCGAAGACGAGCTATCAAATGTCAGAGTGTCCAATAAGACCAGGCTCAAGCGTAATTAGAGCTTACGAATCCCCTCTTTTAAGGGGGGACTCTATAGAATCGTGATAACTCTTAAAGAGCTTACAAGGGCCTGGTTTTCCAAGGTAATAACTGCGCAGTTCCGCGATTACAAAATGGGCATTTACTATTTAAATAATAGACTCGATTCACGTTCCAGGCTGGGCCCGTAAACATCTTCAGTCTTCAAAAGATCGAGACTAATGCAACAGTCTATTTTAAAAGTCAAGCATATCCAAAATGCCACATCATTATCTATTTATTATAAGATATATTTAATATCATCATCATCTTTTGTTGCCAGGGCTATTCTGTAGTTCCCACTGATTTTTTTAACGTTTCGGCTATTTTTAATCATTTTATTTTTTTTGGGTGGTGAAACTCTAGACTTGAGGTGTTCTAAGCCAGGTTTTAAGCTTTTGGAACAACAAAGGTTCTGGGTTATTTATGATTCACCAACTGGTTGACCAGATTTATGTGGCAACAACATAACCTCTGACGTTCATCCTCCGACTAAAATCATTTGGTTACTTTTGTTATTTCATTCATTTATATTTTTTGGTTATTTATTCAGGCAATTTCTGGAATCCGCTTTAAAAAAATAAGTAAACAAACTATTTAGATATTTAATGGAAATTCATTGATTCATTTTTGGAGAGGTGTTCTTTTGTTGTTTTTTTTTTTCAGTCTGCGACTCGAATTCCAATTGATGATGATGCAAATGTCTAAATAAAAACGAAGACCTAATTTCCAGCCAAAAATCAGGTTTACTGGGCCTCTCCGTATCTTTAAATTATTGATAATTATTTATAATACATTGTAATTTTGAGCAGGCCTTATAATATTCAAAATAATTGCTTATGATAAATGACGTTGGAGTTGATTTTTGATGGCGATCGTGATCTGGGAAACAGGTGAAATGACAGTTGAAAATATTCAGAGATGTTTTTTTATGATTTGAGAAACTAGGAAGCAAAAATTAAAGGTTTTTTTTATTAAAAAACACAAGCAAACCTCCTTTAAATAACAATAATCTTGAGATTTCAGAGTTTAAGTTTGTGGAGTGGAAATTATATGAATTTTAATTTTATTAAGTAAACCTAATACTTTTAATAGTGTGTAGTATCATAAAAAAAACAATAAAATTATTAACCGCGTAAATTTAAAAAAAGCAAGAAAAAAAAAAACAAAAATATTAAAGCACTTCTTTTTCTTCTCAAAGTGCTTAGATGTAATTTACCTTCTTATTATATTATGTCTTTTATCTTTTAATCAATTTTCAAAAAATTAAATTTTAAAAAGTTTTTTTTAAATCGAAATATTGGTTTTTTTGAGCACATATAACAAAAACCCCCTTTAAAGTTTCTTTCTACTCGCTATAGTGTCTCGTTGATAGCTACATTGGTCACACTAATTTGGCTAAAATTAGGCATACTCAATGAGGGTACCTTTGGTCAGTCTGGTGTGTTCACAAAAACTAAAAACTAATTAAAGAATTTAACCAAATCTAAATTAAGAGCGACTAGCTTACGCAGTGCGAGTGCGTATCTGAATTAAAGAACCCCACAGAGTGACGACTTCTACGATGGTAGTGTCCGAGACAGAAAAGGTAAGGCCTATCCAATAGGAACAAAAAAAAGTGAGCCAGCCGCATGGTACCGAGTGCCGTGGCAAAAACAGGGTTGTTGCACAAGAGGGGGAGGTGCAAGGCAAGGCAGCTGTATAGCCGTTTACCCGTTTGGCAGTGTAACGTTGGCGTGGCATCATCGCTCATCTCACCGTTCCCTAAAAGAAGTTTAAAAATCAGCCAAAACACCTGTAATATCGCACACAAAATTAATCAAGAGTCACCGCTATTTGTTACTTGCACGCTGTTGTCAACGTCATTGCTCTCTCGCTCGCCCTCTATTTCTCTCTCTCGCTCTTTGTTTCTCTCTCTCCTTCGACATTTGCATACCACACGTTTTCACTCTGCTCTCGATGGCTGGAATCGCGCCCGCGTCTATGTGTGTGCAGCGTGTATGTGTGTGTGTGTGTGAGTGACAGAAGCATAACTAGGCGAAGCGGAGAGACTGAAAAAAAAAAGTAAATTACTGCAAATCCGCGAATAACAGTTAAATATTATATTTGGTTTATTGCACTACGGCGAAAAGCATAGCCAAAAACCGTTGGTTTCGTCTTTTCGTTTCAAGTTTCACCTTCACCACCTACTTTTCCTACTCTCCAAGTCGACTTTTCAGTTATCCCCGTGCCGCATTTAGCCCGAAACTCTTTGTTCAGTTGAACCTCAAGTCAGTCGCCAGTTTGTTTCGGAGCTCCCGGAGTCAAAGTGAAAATTCTTTAATTCAATAAAACCTCAATTCCTCCGATTCTTTCAACAGGCAATCTGTGTTTTTATGTCAAATAAGTGCGCGTGTGTGTGAGTGCTGTAATTTCTAGACCCCACCCCTCGCCTTGCCCCAGTAAACAGCACTTTCATATCGTATAGCCGAGAGTTGGAGCTGCTACAGGCAAAAAAAAAGCTTAGTTCGGAAACAGTTAGGAGGAGTCTCCACGGGATCCAAAGTGAAACTGCCACAAGAAAAAAAAATTAAAAAAAATATAAAAAACGACAGCTCCGCCCACTCACCCTTTCTCACACTGAAAATCACTCGCAACAACACGTTTAACGAGTTTGTATTATTTTGTATAATTTTTTTTTGTTTTCGCTAAAATAATACATTAAAGTGAAAATCCAATCCGTAAAGCGAGAGACTGCAGTCAGATATCAAGAAATAATTCCACCCGGCCGTCACGTCACATACACACTCGCAGAAATCTGAAAAAAAGCTTCGCTCGCACAAACACACACACACAACCTTACACCGAGCAAAAACACTAGCGCCAAGTGAATCACAGCGATCTCCCTCCGGGCCGGAACAGAGCAACCAACCCCAACCACAGTACAGATCAGCCATCAATCGCATCCAAAAACACGCACGCACGGCCGCCAACATGCAGAGCGACTTTCACAGAATGAAGAACTTTGCCAATCCCAAGTCCATGTTCAAAGTAAACATATGATCCTGTGTCGCCTGGAAGATAGCCCACCTAATCCCTTTCACATTTCGCTCTCTTCTTGTTCTTTCGTTTCTCTAAATCACAGACCAGTGCACCCAGCAGCGAGCCGGCTGGAGGAAACACAGTGGCTCCTGGTCGTCCCGAACCGACTCCGGCTGCCCCATCACCTGTTCCGTCTAAGGAGGATACCCCACCGGTCGGAGATGTCGTCAACGCTGACGCAACGAAATCGGCCGGTGGCGATGACGCCGTGCGCACCGAACACCTGTTCAAACACCCGCTACAGAACAATTGGACCCTCTGGTACCTGGAGAACGATCGCTCCAAGTCCTGGGAGGATATGCAGAACGAGATTACCAGCTTCGATACCGTCGAGGACTTCTGGAGCCTCTACAACCACATTAAGCCTCCATCGGAGATCAAGGTTGGCAGCGACTACTCGCTCTTCAAGAAGGGTATTCGGCCCATGTGGGAGGATGCTGCCAACAAGCAGGGCGGTCGCTGGGTGATCACCCTCAACAAGAGCTCCAAGAGCGATCTGGATAACCTGTGGCTCGATGTGGTGAGTAAATGGTTGCTTCAACTAAGTTTAATCAATGACTAATGGGAAATGAATGCATTGCAGCTGCTGTGCCTGATTGGTGAGGCTTTCGATCACTCGGACCAGATTTGTGGAGCTGTTGTAAACATTCGTGGCAAGAGCAACAAAATCTGTAAGTATTTATTTACAATTTCGTATTAAATTTAAAGGTTTAATCGGCATTTGTTTTATGAAGCCATCTGGACTGCCAATGGAAACAACGAGGAGGCAGCCTTGGAGATTGGCCACAAGCTGCGCGATGCCTTGCGTCTGGGACGCCAGAACTCGCTCCAATACCAACTGCACAAGGACACAATGGTCAAGCAGGGATCCAACGTTAAATCGATCTACACTTTGTAGGCTGGAGGGCCTGGCCCATTCAACAATTCACACAAAGCTTAGTTAGTTTGTGTTCCCTATTTTTTATTTATGGTTATCATCAACATCAGCGATAGATCGTAAAAAATTGTGCTATTTTGTCCAAGACCCCCCGCGTAACTACCGAAACCGAAAGATGCCCTCTTTGTTATCAGAATTTTGCAAAGAAAACGATCCGCTTTTTGTAGTCATTTTCAAAAATGGATTAAACGAAAAATAAAAATAACAAAAAAAACTACACTAAAACACATATATTTTGTTTTTATTTATAATAGATATAAAAATAAAAAGATTTTTAATACTAGAAAGTATCTCATAGTACGTTTTGGTATATTTTTCCCTTTTAGTATTGCCAACTATCTTTCCGAACGTGCTGCCACCTAGATATACTGAGGTATTTTAAGCATACCGCCATACGGTCACACTGCGGTCGCGTGAATGGAATAGTAGGAGGACAAATGGCTTTGTGTTAAACTTTTTGAAATACAAGAGAAATGAGTGCAATTCGGTAGCGTTGTAGAGCTCTTCGTGGAAGACGCAAGCTGTGGGTTCGTGTAGAATACAAATTTTTAATAATAGACTCAACCAACACAAAAACAAAACACGAAGAAATTCGTGGTCGGTTGAAAGGAAAACCCAAAAAAACAACAAAAAGAACAAAAACAAGAGAAATAAAAATAAAAGTGCAATAGATTCAGTTTACAATTTTGCAAAAAAAAAAAAATTAAATACAATCAAAGTAGTCCCTGCCAACAAAGTTCATATATATCGAACCGAGTTCGCTATAAATAAATCGAAACAAAGCGGAAGAGGCTGCTGCAGCGGCGACAGCATCTGTTTATCATTGGAAATAAACAAATAAAAACCGAGAGGAGAATCATAACAAAAGCATAAAAGACAAAGGCGGTGGATTTTGAACCCCTCCTTTGGGGGTTGCAGTTCCGGCCGCCAAGTAGTCCCGTCTAGCCCGACTATGTTATACCCTGCGTTCTGAAAAAAACAAAAAAAAAACATCCAAAATGCCCTGCGACAACTCCAAAACCTCGTCGGATATCGAGCCAGTGGATTGGAATTCCGGTCAGCATTATGCAAATGTCAGGTGAGTTGTGGTTTTCATCGAGAACTGATACTAATCTTTATTTTTAAGATTTTTTTAGGATTTTAATTAAGGTATTATTTTCAGAGAATGTAATTTGATAGTTTGTAGACTAGTTTCTAAGGAAAAAGCGATTGTATCTACAGCTGTTTTATTTGTATCTTTAAGATTATATGTATTATGTATAAGTATATTTGTAAATAATCAAACTAGTTATACAATTGACCATAAAAACCTTCGAAAAACGTAACCCAAAACAAACCTTAGTGTCCTTGACACGACTGGCCGTGTAAGCATATTCATTTCGTTGGTCGAACCGAACAAAAAGAACCCTATAAATTATTCTGCGGCAAAAAACATTCAAGTACAAAACACGAAAACCAAAATAAGTGCAGCCAGCACACGCAATTGAAAATTCCGACCGGGTGGGTGGGGGTGTACCTGGGGCTTTGAGTTTCAGATTCGAGGGGATTGACATTTTTTTCTTGGCATTGTCCGTCCATTATTTATAGCCAAGAGACCAAGATTTAAATGGGGGGAGGGGGGTTTTGCAATAATTTAGTTGGCAGTGCCGATTACTTCGATCTAATTACCCTCAAAGTTGAGTAGAGTCTGTTTTGGTTAGTAAATCCAGCTGTCTATACTGTCCTCCTGACCAGTCAGATAAGATAAACCTATTTTTTTGCAATTTCTGATTCATGATTTCTTCGTATTAACCCTGCAGGCAACTGCGGTTGAAATATATAGCCATTTAGCACTTAATAACGATCACTTAATCACATTGATTGCCTGAGAACATGTACTTAACATACTCGATCTACACCGATTTGATTAAAATGCAAATTATTTGCTGGGAAAAGTGTCATGTTCACCTGGGCATCTGTTTGGCTAATTGGTTATTATTTGCGATTTATGTAGAATATAATCGGACATGACAGACAGGTCGCGTAGGTCTGACTTTTTGTTATCCAAATGCAAATGAGTACTTTTAATGCCCCCATAATTATTCTTCTCGCCCTCTACCCGGGTATGACGATTTAATTTATAAACCCGTCCCGTTGTCAACACTCTCGAGGCGATCCGTGGCGTTAGCTTATCACTCCCAGCTCCATAATGGACTTCATCGCAAATCTAATCTGTCGTTGGCCGGTGGGTTTTTGTTTTCATTTTTGTTGGCTCAGGTGTCGTCGTGGTTGAGTAAACATTGGCAATTGTGTCGGCTTGGGAAATTCAGTTTAAATATTTGTCCATCTGATAAGATGTTCTGATATATATATGCACTCTCTGGCTAACATCCATCGAGTATAACTTTTGCATTAATTGCCTCGAGTTGCCCTCGAACTTAAACCAGTTGGAACTTAAAAATAAAGTTTACACAGCACTTCCCCACCACATGCCACGAAAAACGAAAAAATAATGCGCAAAAAATATCAAAGCTCTGAAACAAAGCAAAGCCAAAAAGAAACAACAACAAAGCGCTAAAAAATAACAACAACAAAATTAAAAAACAAAGCTGATACAAGATTTTCTTCCAAAAACTTCAAATACATATTTATATTATGTAGAATCTATATACATATGTATTATATATCTCCATAGAGGTCGTTCTCCTAGCCTTGAATTGGGATTTAATAAAATGCCACAATTAAGTTGTAAATAAATGTAGAAAATATCAGATGCAAAAACTTGCTAATAAATGCCATAAAAAATAAGAGAATTTGCTCCACAAATCTTAAAAAACAAACACCCATCAGTATTAGTTTTTAAAACCCCCCCTGGACTGATAATAGTTAGTATTCCGCCTTATCGCCTTTCTTAAAAAAAACCCTATTTGGTTTTATGTTTTGCGATAAGAATTTTGCAAATATTCTGCAAGATTATACATATTTATTGTCTTGTTTTTTTTAATACCTTCCTGAAATTTCTTAATTTTGAATTTAAGAACTTTGTCAAGGGCATTCAAATATAAAAAAAAAATAAAAAATAAAATACACTGAAATGCAGCTGAAATGAAGCACCTGTCTGGTAATATGATAGTACTACCCTATAGTGTGTGTGTTTGTGTTTGCCCTTTGATATCACTTTTAATCAAACTGAGAAAGGGTAGACAGAAACAACGAAATTTCGATCAATAATGCGAGAAATGCCTTTCCGAGAAGCGCCTTTGTTTTCCTTTTCTGATCGACAGGAATTTACATACAAAAATCGTAGTACGGACTGACATTTCCGTTCTAATTGAGCTGGAAATTCAGTAAATGGTTCTCTTCAATGTCGGGGACTGGCAATTCGGAGGGCTGGCTAATATATGCCAAGACATGCCGACTGTCTGGAGCCCAGTAGTGGCCCATCGACTGGAGTTTTTACGCATGTCCTTAACCTCCAGCGTATGCTACTGCGATGGTGTGGGGCCAAGGACACAGGCCATATAAACACCGGTAGTTTGGCAGGAAGATGTCCATGTCCATGTCCATGTCCTGTTTCGATTTTGTGGTTGTCCATGACCATGCTGGTGGCAGCATGTCCTTCGCCTCAATCACGCACTGGCAGCCTGAACTCTAAAAAGGACACAAACACACGTACTCGAGATAACCGGGAATAAAAACGAAGGCACTGAAAAAAATTATATATCTAAAAAAATAATAAAAAATAATATAAAAATCCCAAAATCTAAGCTTTCTCTGTGTGGACTCGTGTGGCAGAAAGTAAAAGTTTTCCTCCGCCTCCTGGGCCTTTAGTTAGATTAGATATACATACGGGTTCCCTTTCGGTTCTGAATTCCCCTCTCACAGGTGCTGAGTGGGCGTACTCCATGCCGGCCATAATGATAGGGCATGGCGGCCCATGGAGCTAATTGCTTTGGCCATAAAAGTAGCACCAGATTGCCGCAGTCCAAAGGGAACTCACCACACAACCAACACAACTTAAATGAATTACTTGCCGGGGAATGGGTCGGGAATGGGTTGGGTTGGAAAAGTGAATGTTGGGCGGCGGGTAAGAAGGCGGTTCCCACACTAATCAAACATCACGTTCAGTCGGTGGGCTTTATAAATATGCATATTGGCATACATTCGATTATATGCATATGTGGAAAAAATATTCCTCTTAGGAGTAGTGTGAAATACAATCGGGGCTTTTGTTATGTTTAGAAATTAAAATAATCAGTATTCTGAGAAAAGGAAAGACTCTGGAAAGCTCTATAGTTTTCATTAAAAAAATCTGTTCTATTTACACAAAAAATTAGGGTAACTCCCACTTGTAGATCTTAAAATAATGATGAGTGTTTTTTTATGAAAACGTGAGATTTGATGATTTCGCAGAACAACTGCTCTGATTCATTCTGGAACGAGTTGCAGACTCATTTTCGTTGAAACTACCACTTGTCCATATTAATTATAAAATGACTAACATAATGTATTCATCAACGATACAAGAATTAGTGCCATTTGTTTAAAAATAATATAATTTAATAAAAGCTAAAAGTCTCTGATAAATAAAAGCTTTCATAAATGCATTTTAAATCACTTTTTTTAATTCAATTATAGATTTTATTAAGCAAACTAACTCGGTTCATACGGTAGCTGATGAATATTTATTAGATACATTCGTAATGCCCTTAGTTGTACATTTTAATCTATTTTGATCAATTTTCTCACATTTTTTCATGTTTATTTAATAGAAGCTATAGAATACTAATCTAATTTGTTAAAAATAAACATAGTTTGTTTAGTTTTAATTGATTTAATTTTTTATAAAATTTTTAATAATATATCTTTAATATTATCCTTTACAGATTTGGTTCTGGCAGCAGTCAGGCCTCCCAAAACAGCGGCGACATCTGCCGCATCTGCCACTGCGAGAGCGATCCCCAGAATCCGCTCCTCACGCCCTGCTACTGCTCCGGCAGCCTGAAGTACGTCCACCAGGCATGCCTCCAGCAATGGCTCACCGCCTCCGAGACGAACTCCTGCGAGCTGTGCAAGTTCCCCTTCATCATGCACACCAAGATCAAGCCCTTCAACGAGGTAAGCTTTCCCATTTTCCACAACGATTTCCAAGCTTGAATCTAATTTCATTTCATTATTCTTTACATTGTTTGGCTTCGATGGAATCGATTCGATTGGATTGGAAATGGACATGGACTTGGTCTTGGTTGGGATATAAATAGTGGCGCAGCCTTGACATTTCCGGCATTGAGAGGCGACGACTGTGCTGTTCGGTTTTGTTCCACTGTGCGGCTGCCCTGTGCGTCATCTGGTCACTGTGTGTGCTCATCGAACGGGCCGCCGACGATGTCCAGCGGGGTCTGATAGGTGAGAGAGCGGTGCTGCGAAATGAGCTCGGGCCGGACCGGGCTGGGTTCGGGCAGGTCAGATAACTGCTTAGAGAATCCGTAATTGTTTAATTGTATGCCTGACCAGCCTGAACTTGGCCCTCATTATGGCTCTACTACTCACAACAGACTCTAAACCCGCGAATATCTTTCCAGATTGGCCCTTTTGGACGAAACTGGCTGTGGTCACCGTGGGCCTGACTGGCGGCATTGTCTTTATGTACATTCAGTGCAAGGCCTATCTGCATCTCTGCCATCGCTGGAAGGCAAGGAATAGGTGCGATTTACATAAATCTTTAAAGATAAAATCGGGATTTAGTAATTATAATAATTACTGAATGAAAAAAAGGGCATAAATCACTAGCTCTTGGCAGATGATATCATAAATCATTTGTTTAATATTTATAGGAATTACCTTTTGATGAGCTCAACGTTTAAATCTTAATAGTTTTGTATTTAATTGAATAACTTTGATTAATGCGAGTGAGGCTTCTTGAAACCTTAAATTAAAATAATATGTTTAACTATCTGTAGTTCAAGTGACTTGCTAGATACCTAGCTATATTCCTAGTATTTTATTTATTTAAAAATCTCCCTGTGCATCTCAAAGATAAATCAATCTTGTTTAAAGCATTCTACGAACAAATTGTAAACAAATTCTTACTAGAATAATTAATGATGAAATTATAATAGTTTATTATAGACAACTAAGCGTGGAGGATACCTGCCACACGTTTCTAAAATTGTTCTCCATTCACAGAATCCTACTGATTCAGAATGCACCGGAAAAGATACATCCTATTCCGCCTTCGCCGGTGGCTGCTCATCATCAGCACTTCAGCGAACCGCTGGCCCATTCCGGTGCTGCCAGTGGAGCGGTGGAGATCAATGTGGGCGCCGGACCTGGGGGACAGGATGTCGGTTGTTCGGCTCTGGACAGCGGATTGGGAACTGGGTTGCAGCAGCAGATGCAGCAACGACTGTTGAATGCCTCGCCGCACCACATGCTGCAACTGGCCGCCGAGTTAGAGATGCCACACAGTAGCAGCAGTGCCTGTACGCAGACGGAGGACGGACATGGCCACCAGCGACTCCAGCAGATGCCACAGGGCGGCCAGCAACTGGGCCAGGTGGCTGTGGCCGCCAATATCGAGTGTTCCCAGTCGCAGCACAACTACGATCGAGACTGGGCGCTCGACGATGTCGTTTCGCAGATCTCTTCTTTCCGACCCTGTCCCCAGGGCTCGGGCAGCATGACGCCCTTCCACGACTCCATCCACAATGTCCTGGAGCACTCGGAGGGCTCTAGTCGCGGCTCGGCCACGGATCTGTGTGCCGGCTCTCGGCAGGATCTCAGTGCCAGCGGCATCTCCACGGATACAGGCCGTGAGCACGCCCTTCAACTGAGCAGCTTCAGTGGTAAGTGGCTGGATTTTAGATGGAGACTAATACGGAGACTAATATCTTTCCTAACAGGTAGTGGCGAACACAAGGCGCCCTCGATAAGCTCTGGAGTGTCGCACGCTGTGGCCAATGGACTAGGCGGATTCGTTTACAAGCCACACCAGTCCAAGAGGTACTCCAACTCCTCTATCTTTTTGGAGAACCGCGATGTGCTGAGCGACCAGACCAGCATAGATCCGGAGACACCGATGCATCCTTATGATTACAGCACACCGCCAAAGATCGACTACCGTCACTCGGGCATGCTGAGTGACGATCTGCCCATCGGGTGCTGCACTGCCGACTGTCTGGGTGGCCCGCCGCCGAAGGAGGAGCTGCGCCGCTACTCGGATCCGAAACTGAAGCCCGGGGAGGTGGACACCGTGCTGGACATCGATCTGCCCACATCGCCGCTCTCACCGCCGGCCGCCTACGCCAGTCGGGAGTCCTATTCCCATCCACATTCGCAGGCCATTCATCGTAGCTTTGACCGGGTGGATGGAGTGACTAGCCGGCGGCCATCGGAGGCGCAAGTGGACCGATCTCGGCTCAGCTTTAAGTCGTTGCCAAATCTCAGCAGCAGCTGCGAAAGTCTCCTCCAGAAGTAGTCCAGCTATGGTGATCTAATCCGAAGCCCCAGCGCGCTCTCTATCTCTCCTCCACGCTCCATTCTCTCTATCGAACTGCTCTCAGAAGTATTCAACGCTGGTCGAAGGATCAGACCCCCCGATATCCGGACTACATAGAAATGTGAACTATTTTTTTATACCGCACACCAAGGGGCTTCAAAAGCCAAGTCAGATTGTGGCCAGCGGCCCAGTATCTTAGTTATCCTCTTTGTGTTTAACAATTTATGTAGCAAAGCCCATAAACAATTGAGACTGCAATGAAAAAAAAATATGAAAACTTAAGGGAAAGCAAAATATTGTAAGGATATGCTGGGATGGTAGGAAAAAAGGAAGGATTCATTCAGTAAATTCTTATATCTAGATATATAGTTGATGTATAATTTGTCTGTATCCATGATATATACTGCTAAATAGCCAACCCATCCAGCCCTAGATCCACCCATGTCCATGTCCCCCATCTCTTCTCCAAGCCAAAAACCAAACAGAGAATGTAATTATTTAGTCCTCGAGTACGATGATGCATTGTGTCCGTGTGTGTTTTGTTTCTTAACTTCTAAGTCAAATGAAATTTTAAAAAATTGATCTGTGATTAAGCGTCATTGAATATACATACATAACATAACATACATGCGTGCAACATACGTTGCAACCATACATGCAACATATTGACAGCAACAGTGCAGCAGAGTAGCAAATGCCGTAAACATTTTTACTTAAAAACCTAAAAACTAAAAACTAAAAAACCAACAACAGCAACATGACAACCACTAAAAGCTTTTCGCGGTTAACAGGCGAAAACTCTCCGAGAATTGAGAATCTGAGAACTGAGCACTGAGACTCCCGCCCCTCCTCTAGCTCTCTAGTCTCGTATTCTCGCCGGGAAATATTGAATGAAGGCCGTTTTAGATATAGAAATAGCATAAAACAGTACATACTTATGATCGCTAAAAGTTACGAGCATAAAAACAAATAAGAAACAAAAAGGACAACTAAATTTTTTATTATGTATTAAATATTTAAATAAATATGTGCAAACAATTTATCACTATGCAAGCCTGGTTTTTAATTATTAATATTTCTGGCTTAGGAAAATTCATTGAAGGTGTCAGGAATATTTAAAACATTCGCCTAAAAATTTTCAAGATAGGTTTTCCAATATATGGCCCACAGTGATGGCTATATCTTCCCCAATTCTCATCTGATTCTCAAGCGGAGTACCTTAAACGATTTCTAGATCGATTCTGCACCATTCTGCATCAAAATCCTGAGACAAAATATTTTTTAGATTTTTTGTCCATTTTTCTGATGGGTTCCCTTGAAAATGGGGTTTTTCCCTATAGGGCCCACAGTGATGGCTATATCTTCCCCAATTCTCATCCGATTCTGAAGCGGAGTACCTTAAACGATTTCTAGATCGATTCTCCACCATTCTGCATCAAAATCCTGAGACAAAATATTTTTTAGATTTTTTGTCCATTTTTCTGATGGGTTCCCTTGAAAATGGGGTTTTTCCCTATAGGGCCCACAGTGATGGCTATATCTTCCCCAATTCTCATCCGATTCTGAAGCGGAGTACCTTAAACGATTTCTAGATCGATTCTCCACCATTCTGCATCAAAATCCTGAGACAAAATATTTTTTAGATTTTTTGTCCATTTTTCTGATGGGTTCCCTTGAAAATGGGGTTTTTCCTTATAGGGCCCACAGTGATGGCTATATCTTCCCCAATTCTCATCTGATTCTCAAGCGGAGTACCTTAAACGATTTCTAGATCGATTCTCCACCATTCTGCATCAAAATCCTGAGACAAAATATTTTTTAGATTTTTTGTCCATTTTTCTGATGGGTTCCCTTGAAAATGGGGTTTTTCCCTATAGGGCCCCCAGTGATGGCTATATCTTCCCCAATTCTCATCCGATTCTCAAGCGGAGTACCTTAAACGATTTCTAGATCGATTCTCCACCATTCTGCATCAAAATCCTGAGACAAAATATTTTTTAGATTTTTTGTCCATTTTTCTGATGGGTTCCCTTGAAAATGGGGTTTTTCCCTATAGGGCCCCCAGTGATGGCTATATCTTCCCCGATTCTCATCCGATTCTCAAGCGGAGTACCTTAAACGATTTCTAGATCGATTCTCCACCATTCTGCATCAAAATCCTGAGACAAAATATTTTTTAGATTTTTTGTCCATTTTTCTGATGGGTTCCCTTGAAAATGGGGTTTTTCCCTATAGGGCCCCCAGTGATGGCTATATCTTCCCCAATTCTCATCCGATTCTCAAGCGGAGTACCTTAAACGATTTCTAGATCGATTCTCCACCATTCTGCATCAAAATCCTGAGACAAAATATTTTTTAGATTTTTTGTCCATTTTTCTGATGGGTTCCCTTGAAAATGGGGTTTTTCCCTATAGGGCCCACAGTGATGGCTATATCTTCCCCAATTCTCATCCGATTCTGAAGCGGAGTACCTTAAACGATTTCTAGATCGATTCTCCACCATTCTGCATCAAAATCCTGAGACAAAATATTTTTTAGATTTTTTGTCCATTTTTCTGATGGGTTCCCTTGAAAATGGGGTTTTTCCCTATAGGGCCCCCAGTGATGGCTATATCTTCCCCGATTCTCATCCGATTCTCAAGCGGAGTACCTTAAACGATTTCTAGATCGATTCTGCACCATTCTGCATCAAAATCCTGAGACAAAATATTTTTTAGATTTTTTGTCCATTTTTCTGTTGGGTTCCCTTGAAAATGGGGTTTTTCCCTATAGGGCCCACAGTGATGGCTATATCTTCCCCAATTCTCATCCGATTCTCAAGCGGAGTACCTTAAACGATTTCTAGATCGATTCTGCACCATTCTGCATCAAAATCCTTACACAAAATATTTTTTACATTTTTTGTCCATTTCGCATGATGGGATCCCTTGAAAATGGGGTTTTCCCCTCAAGCGGAGTACCTCAAACGATTTCATGCATCTCTAAGGCTATTTGAACTCTAATTCAATAATGGTGCACATTTTTTAGATCGGTTGGAAAGTAGTTAAGATATTCTCTATATTGTGTTTAAAAATGGGTAGTTTTGGCCATATTCGGCTCATAAGAAGATAAAGAATGAGGTTTTTTTAAGGGAAACCATATACATCTATACATATGTATATGTACATACATACACACGTATGTAACAAAGAATATCCAAATTGAAATACCAAATTCAATGTAAAAATGCAAATAGGAAACCAAAATACCTGGGGAATGTGAATAAGAACCGGTTTGGGCTGAAGTGCAGCATGCAAATAATGGAGGAACATGCCAAAAATAATGACACAGCTGACTGATTTTCGTATATTTTATTCAGTTGCTCACAAATTAAATGCAAAATACTCCCGAGTGTTGCGGCTGTTCTTGTAACAAAAGTATAAAATGAATTGGAAAATCGCATTCTCCGAATTTCCATATAGCCTAATCTAACAGACTACTACTAGTAGTTTTCTTTTTTTTCATGATAAATGATTTTAAGAGTTCTTAAGACTAAAATGTGATGATGTGAATGTGTGTGTGTGTGAGTAATACAATGGTGTTTGTTTTTTTTTTTTAGTTTTTTTGGGGGTCTGCTGCTAAGAGCATCCTTTTTAGTCTTGCGCTCTCCGAGCAGCGCTGCAACACTCCTCCTCCTCTCTCCACCTCTATGCTTTCTTCTTCGCCAGCGAAGTCTCCACGTTCTTACTTGCCAGTCTCCATCTTCTCACCGGCTCCGTTCTCGGCCTTGCCGTCAGCCTTGCCATCAGCTGCCTCCGGGGCCTTGACACTGAGGTGGGCCGGACCAGTTTGCTGGATCTGAACAATGCGCTCAGGCTTGGCCTGCTCCTTGCTGGGCGGCGGTGGGGCCTTCAGGGTCAGCACACCATCGGAGGAGACGGTGGAGACCACCTCGTTGGGGTCAAAGTCCTTGGGCAGTGTGTACTTGCGCACAAAGTGGCGCTGGATCAGGCCGTGTCCGTCCTCGCGCTCCTCGTGCTTTCCCTCAACCACGACGGTCTTGTCCACCACTTTCACGGTCAACTCATTGGGCTTGAACTGAGACACGTCCATGCAGACCTACAAAGAAAATTATTTTTTTCTTTAGAGACTCATGTCTAAACATGCACAAAGTTTGCAATCCCACTGAAAATTTTTCACTCTTCTTACCTGGAAGCCATCTTTTCCCACAGCCGGCAGCAGGGAGTTCGGTCCCCCCGACTGGCGACGTGGCACCAGCTGGTGGCCATGATGATGACCATGATGGTTCCTCTCGTACGGCAAATAACGGCGACGACCAATGGAGCCGTGGGGCAGCATCAGACGCGGACGATGGAAAAGATCGTGGGCATGAACGCCGAATCCGAAATCATCCTCCAGGAAGTGATCCCAATCATTGAAGGCACCACGGTAGTCATGGTCCAACTCGCGGGCCAAGTTTAATAGCGGAACAATGGACATTTTTTCAACTTAAATCTTTTTTTTCCGAACAAAAGTAAGAATTTTTTTTTTTTTGTTAGCGTGCTTTCCTCAAAGCTTGTCACATTCGAAATGCCGAGAGGGCGACTTTGTTCCCGGCCTTTTATACCGACGCCGGCTCACACACACAGCCAAAAAAGTTCTCGTTCTCTCTATCACTCTCTCGCAAATTCTAGCTCTTTCTGGCGCAGCCGGCTTTAGATTGCGAGAGAGGGAGAGAGTGAGAAAAGTTCATGTCATTGCTATCTGTGTGTGAGTTTTTGGGGAAAGAAAGAAATTTTTGCATTTTCTGGGACCTTCTCTTGGCAAACATAAAAAAGAACAGTTAAATTACTCACTTTTCAGTATATATGTACATACATATTTATTTAAAGCATTTTCTTTTCTTATCGCCGGGAATTGTTTAAACGTCAAGACTCGTCTGGGTAAAGTGCATTGGAGTCACGGCTGCATCCGCGAACTTTTATTGCAGTGGGGGCGATGAACTTTTCGTCTCGCTCGGCTCTCTCATGTTTGAGTTCTTTGTGTTTGCAGCAAACATTTCGCCGTTTCTGATTCTCGAAGTCAGGCACAAGGGCAATTCAACGATTTGCAACATGCAACATACCTAAATACATACATACATACATACATATGTACATAAAAAGCTTGTACACTTTTGCAGCCGGTTGCAATTCTTAATTTTTATTGAAGAAAAGTATGTATGATCATGTGTATGTATGTATGTGTGTACATTATGTAGAATATAGAACTTAAAGATATTAAAAAGTCGATCAGAAAAACCATGTAATCCCATGATAAATATGTACATACATATATATGTACATACATACATACAATTTCAGAATAATACAGTCATTAAAGCCCTTTCTGGAAATTTCTTTTTCCTTTTGCACCAAAAAAGGTTTGACTTTTCTTTAATACATACATACATATAGAAACCTACATATGTATGCACATTCATAGCATGAATTTCAAAAATACATGCATATATTTCAAAAGACGTAAATATGTATGTACATACATACATCTTCAAAAGAGATGTAACATCTCTGTTAACATTACATGAATATGTACATACATACATAGCTTCTAGAAAGTTCTACCTCTTCTTTTTTCAAGGAAGTTCCTTTTTCTAGAACAGAATTCCACGAAAAACGGGAAAAAGAGAAACCAAAATGGAGACATCAAAAAAGCAAAATGGAGTAAAAAAAAAGGCCATTACATACGACTACAACACATTTTGGAAAGCTTATTCCCAAAATCCCTGCAAAATAAAAGAAGTCCTCTATACTCCCAGTACTCCCAAGAAAAGTCTCTTTAAATATTTTGATTTATGTATGTATTATTATTTATTTATTATAAATATTTGTTGTCTTTTTAGTTAATACATTGGCCAAAAATTAAAATTACGACTGGGCGGGCCACTCCTTTATGGCTAATGAGATAGTGTGAGTGACCCGGTGAACTACAGCATATAAAACAGATTAATGACTTTGATATTTATGATTAAATGCAGCATTTGGTATCTGACGAGGACTCTGTCTACTTCTCGTTGCCGTTGTCCTGCTCCTGACCCTGCTCCAGCTGCTCCTTGGCGTTCTGCTTGACATTGAGGTGAGCAGGACCCACCTGCTGGATTTGGACAATGCGCTCGCTGGCCTTGTCCTCGATTGCCGGTGGTTTCGGGACACTCACGGTGAGCACTCCGTCGGAGGAGAGAGTGGAGGCCACTTTCTCGGCCTCGTAGCCCTCCGGGAGAGCGTAGCGGCGCACAAAGTGCCTGGTGATGTAGCCATGGTCGTCCTCGCGCTCCTCATGCTTGCCCTCTACCAGAATGGAGTTATCCTGCACCTTGACGACCAGTTCGCTGGGCTTGAAATGGGACACGTCCATGCAGACCTGGAATCCATCCTTGCCCACCTTGGGAACAGCGGCGCCAGAACTTCCTGCTGCGCCCACCTGTTTCTCCAGCTGGCGTAGCTGCTGCTCCAGTGGCCCGGCCACCAAGGACAAGTAGGGACTCCTTTGGCGCTGGCAGTAGTACGGCTCGTAGAAGGGCACCATCGACATGCGTCCCAGGTCGTCGGCGAGGCTCAGCAATAGTGGTAGGTTTGCCATCTTATTTGATTTTTTTTTATTGATTTTTTTTCTTTAATTTCTTATTGAATTTTCTTTAATTTCTTAGATTTCCTCAAAGAATCTTTCTTTGGTAGCTGATGTTTGTGGCTTCCAATAGCTTGGTAGCTTGGTTTCTTGGTTTGGTTTGGTTTGTAGCGTTTAGAGCTGCTTGTTGAATTCAACTGATGCCGGTGGAACGCAAGCGCCCGCTATTTATACTCGCTCGTTGTGCCTCTGTATCTGTGAGATACGCCGTATTCCGTGTCTGTGTATCTGTGTATCTGTGAGTTTGGTCGAAGAGGCACAACACCGAGAAGGGCCACGAAACTTCTCGGTCTGAAAATATCGCAAACATTCTCGAATTTGCAGATATTACGCATTATCTGCCATTGAAAGCGAGAGTATTTCTAGGATTGTGGATGGTAGGAGGGTATCAGGGTAGCAGGGTAACAGGGAGTGGCTATAGGCATAGGCCTGGTGGAGTGATAAGTCGCTTCATCAGCGTAAAAATATAAAAATATAATGTTTATGTATTTGGCAGATAGGAGCGGCAGCTGCTGAACTCCGACCCCGAAGGATGGAGATTCTTCGAGAATGTTCGGTTGTTAAATCTTTATATTTTACAGCCTTTTCTATCATTAAATTTTAATTAAAATAATAGAAAAATAGGAGGTAATGTATTTAAATTTTTGAACTGTTTAATTTCCGAATTGTTTAGTGTTTTTAGATACATTTTTACCTGAGTAATTGAAGCATGTTTTATAAAGACTCTCAGTTCATACATAGTAGAGGGTTAATAGAAATTTCTAGATCTTTCAAGATTATGTGATAGTTTATAGGAGTTTGTAAAGACATTGTTTATTTTTAAGGTTATTTTTAAGCTGTATAATATATGTTGTTAATTAAGGATTAATTAAGAATTCATTGTATAAATGGGGACTCAATGTCATTTTATTTAAAATTGTATTTTCATTTCCAAAATAATCCATTCTTAAAGGTATTTTATACATGGATGCACTTAAAAACCTCTTTTTAAATATCCACTTGTATTAAAAACTATACTGTAAAGTTTTAATATTGTAAATATAATATTTAATAATAAAACCATAATACAAAATCATTAATATTTGTTTAAAATATATTTTTCAGGAGGAGGAAGATTCTTTAAAGAGATATACATATGTACATATGTACATATAATGTTCGTGGTACACAGTTCAATAAAATCTATTTAATTCTAATCTTATTATTTAAAATCGTATGCAATTATTGATAATCTAAATGACTTCCTGTCAAACATTGAGTAGGTAAATAATTTCAAAGATTCCTTCGCCTCCAATCTAAACAAATTCGAATCGATGGGAACCTTAAAACTTCATTCAGCACTTTTAAAAATCAAGAGGGTCTTTTGTTTACAATATTTTTTGTTTGGGTATTTGCTTGAAAGCGATTGAATAACAATATCTTGTTATAAAACTTGATCTTATGTACCATTTCATCAGACTTTTATTTATGGCCTTATTTTTTTGTGCAATTTCCCCCGCCTGGGAGGAAGCAGACACACTCATATACCCCCTATTTATTCAGATTACACGACGTCTACGCCAACGCAATGGAAGTTGCCTCTATTCAGAAAGGTGGCTATGAAAGCCACCTATGTACATACCTACATATGTACATAATGTAATGCATTTACTTGTTGTCTGACCGACCGTCTCCCCCTTGGACAAGTACATAAGAATTGAGCTGTACATGGGAGTGCGGTATACGCAGCAATTTCAGAGGGTTTTTGTTCTGCAGTCTGCTTTTAGATACGTCGAGTATGTATCTTATGGATACACGTACTATATGTACGTGCCTGGGTTAGGGCAGCTCCCATTAAATTTTCGCCCAAAGTCCCCAGTGTGGCATGTTGTCTGGCCCTCGTCTGGATTTTGTTGCTTTTCGGAGCTTTTTCAACCGGTTGCCTCTGTGTGTTGCACTTGGATATACTTGCAGATACATATATTATATGTGCAACTCCCCCTGTTGGATATTCGTAGTACATATGTATGTGAGCTGCTCCAGACGCTGACACTGCGCATGTTTACGCGACGCCGGCTATGCCACCGGTCCCCTGATCCCCTGTCCTGCCCAGATAACTTCCAGCCAGCCAGCCAGCTGTTGTTGTAGTTGCACGAGACGACTCTCAGCTGTTCGGTTGCCGGTAATCGGGAATTCAGCTGCAACACGACCAACTATATACACATATGTATCTGCATATATATAAAGATACATTCGTATCTTCCTCTCTTTAAAGCCGGTTCTGATTTCATTTTTTGCAACTTGCAGATTTTCAGCTTCGATGATAACCAGAATAACTTTCTTTGTTCTCGGGGTTTGTGGCAAGGAAGGGTTTCAACTTTGAGGGAGAAGACAACTCCGCACATAGCAACTCGTCATCCGCTCTCCCCCCCCTCCGCCCTCTGTACGCAATTTCTAAGTTTTTCCCCTGGACGAGCTGGGAGCTGGCCTGGAAAAAGACGAACTTCCAGTCGCCGGCTTCCATTCAGCGGCGCTCGTCACTTAAAAGCTCGACCATTCAGCCATAAGGGCTCAAACGCAGTCCAGTTGGAGGCCAGAACGGATCGTCGCCGCCAGAACGGATTCCCAAGACTGTCAATCCAGACATTCAGAGATATCCCCCACCAAGTCCAGCTGCAAAACGTTTTAGACCGAACCAGACTCCAGAGCTCCAGAGACGGACGGAACATGTCGCTGATACCGTTTATACTCGATTTGGCCGAGGAGTTGCACGACTTTAATCGCAGCCTGGCCATGGAAATTGATGATTCTGCAGGTGTTTTTCCGTTGGACACCGGATCTGTGCCGGCACAGATGCGACGATACGGTAGTGGGGGCGGTGGGATGATGTGGGTGCCCATTAAGGGTCAGCAGGCGCAGCAGCATCGCCATCATCCATATAGTCGCGTGGCCGGTGCGAAAACCGTCTGCTGCAATAAGCCAATTTTGGAACTGGAAAAGGAGATGAGCGAGAAGGGTGGTGGAAGTGGTAGTGGAAGTCCAACTGGAAGTGGAAGTGTTAGTGTAGCCGCCCAGCCAGTGGTTAGCAAATCATCGTACTCCGTGGTGAATCGAAATGGCTTCCAGGTGAGCATGAACGTGAAGCAGTTCACCGCCAGCGAGCTGACCGTGAAGACCATCGACAACTGCATCGTGGTTGAGGGCCAGCACGACGATAAGGAGGACGGCCACGGAGTGATCTCGCGCCACTTCATCCGGAAATACGTCCTGCCCAAGGGATACGATCCCGCCGAGGTCCATTCGACTCTCTCTTCCGATGGCATTTTAACGGTAAAGGCTCCGCCGCCAGCCCCCACCCCGAAAGGGGCAGCTGAGCATCAAGTGCGCGTCGTGGATATCCAGATGCAGTGCCGAGAGAAAGATGCAGTAAAGCCGGCACCAGCCGAGGGAGAGCAGACAGCAGCAGCCAGCAGTGCTACCGCTCTCACTTCCAGCAATGGAACAGAGACAGAGTCGGAAGCAGTGGCGGTGGCGGCGGCCTCTCCTGCTCCCGCGCCTGCACGCGCTCCGACACCCACTTCCTCTCCCGTTGAGGCTGCAGCCGTGGAAGCCACCACTACTACTTCCAGCACTTCCACTTCTTCCAACAATGGCGTGCCAGAGCCCATGGAAGAGGAAGCCAAATCCGAGGCGGCCAAAGAGGAGAAGCCCCCACTCGCCTCTTCCAACTCATCCATCCCGGTGGTGAGCAGCAGCGAGGGCGGTGAGGAGCCCAAGGCCTCCTCGGATGATACTCTTACCTCCAATAACGGTAACGGAGCCACCGAGCCGGAAGCAACGCCCCCCGCTACCGCTGGCGAGGATGCGGAGATGAAGGAAGCCGGCGCCACCGACACTGAGGCCGACAGCAAAGTGGAGACGGAGAGCAAGGTGGAGGAGGTGGTGGTGGAGAAGCCACCCAAAGCCGGTGGCGGTGAGGAACTGGCCGCCGTAGACGCAGCCATCCTTCTGGCCAAAAACAGCCAGGCCGAGAACGGCGCTGCTGCCGCCAAGGTCGTCGAGGAGTTGGCCAAGTGAAGACTGAACTAACTGAAGAAAAAAAAAAAACGAAAAAATAAGTAAAATAATAGTACGAGTATGCGTGCGTTTTATTCCATAAATGTTTTTTGTGTTTTCTTTTGTATTTCACACAAGAAACAGTCTAGAAATAGAAGCTTAAAAGGAAACCGGACACTCAATTACTAAGCGATTACCGAGCGCTGCGAGATAAAAGATAGTATGATTTCCTAAAACATATGTGACAAAAACACTATAGGTATTCCACTAAAAATTAATAATAAAAAGAAAAACACGAATTATTGTACTTAACAATAAAATGGAAAAAAAAATAAATAAGAAAATAAAGCGAGTACGCAATATTGCACTTTTTCTATTTTTGTTTGCCCGTTAGCCGGCTCTGACCTCTCTCTCTCTCTCGCTTATCGTGCGAGTTCACTCACGCACACTCTTACCTTTCCTCTCACCAATACAGGTATCTCTCTTCTCACGCTCTCTTTTTCTCGCATCTGCTGGGCTTTTCTAGAAGCTCTCACCTCCAGTATAAAAGGAGGCGCATTTTTGGCAAGCCGGCAGATCGAAAAAAAAAGTCACTCTGCAAACATCGAACGCAAAAAAACCGGAAAAGTTCAAGAAACTCAACCTAAGGACCGAAAGTAAAGGAATTTGCAAGCAAGAAGAGGTCATTCAACCTAACCTAACAGGAAATTGCAAACATTTTGGCATTTAACTGAAAGAAAAAGAAAAAACTCAAGATGTCGCTGTCTACACTCCTTTCGCTGGTGGAGGATCTGCAGGAGCCGCGCAACTCCATCTACGACTGGGGCATTGGCCCCAACACCCTTTACCTGCAGCCGCACACTCCCAACCGGCGCTCGATTAACGGTTGCCCCTGCGCCTCGCCCATCTGCCCCTCCTCGCCCGCCGGCCAGGTGCTGGCCCTGCGCCGGGAGATGAAGAACCAAAACAACATCCACTGGCCGGCCATCAAGCAGGTGGGCAAGGACGGATTCCAGGTCTGCATGGACGTGGCCCAGTTCAAGCCCTCCGAGCTGAACGTCAAGGTGGTGGACAACTCTATACTCGTCGAGGGCAAGCACGAGGAGCGCCAGGATGATCATGGCCACATCATGCGCCATTTTGTTCGCCGCTACACCGTTCCCGAGGGCTACGAGGCGGACAAGGTCGTCTCGCAGCTATCTTCCGATGGCGTGCTGACCGTCAGCATCCCCAAGCCGCAGGCCATCGAGGACAAGTCCAAGGAGCGCATCATCCAGATCCAGCAGGTGGGACCTGCTCATCTCAACATCAAGGCCAATGCCAGTGAGCAGAAGGAGAAGGAGAAGGGTAGCGAGAATGGAACCAGCAATGGCAGCTCCAAGTAGAGATTCCATTACCTGAACTATAGTTCCTGAAAAATCATCCCATTCCCATTTCCATATCCTATTTATTATATTGCATTTGTAACGAGCCAAGACTTGAGAAATAATTTAAAAATATAGCCAACACCTGGTGTGAAAACTTAATTACTTTTGTGGTTTTAAAAATTATAGATTATAGATTATAAAATGTAAACTAACTTGGACCTTTACTAAGGTCCTATACTAAGATAACCATAAGATCTGGAATCTTTGTTAAATTATTCGAGGTACTCGAGTATTCCTCCACCTCTAATGGAGAGATCCCTACATAACTTATAGATATATCTTCATTTAAGGAAATATACTCCCCACCTCGACCCGGCCAAGACCCCTCCTTATAGCCACCACTTGTTTCTACCAAATATTTATTGCGCATTTTATATCTTTGTGTATATATTACCTAAGAGTACATTTTGTATTTTATTTATGTTTGAATCCAATTCGAATATTCGTCTGCACTTGTTTTCATCTGAAAATAGTTCACCTTGAGTTTGGCGCTTTTGATGGCTGCAATTTTTTCCGCCTCCCTGGGTGCTGAGATCTATTTCCAGGGAAGGGCCAACTTGCCCGTCTCATGGACCCGCACCAGTCGCTCTCCGGGAGCATAGTACTTGGCTGGCGGCGGTGGAGGTGCCTTGATGGTCAGAACACCATCGGAGGATATGTCCGAGATCACTTCGTTGGCATTGTAGCCCCGGGGCAGAAGATATTTCCGTACAAAGTGACGCTCCACCATTCCGTTGGAGCCCTCGCTGCGGCGATTGTGGTTACCCTGGACGATGATGTAGTCGTCGTTGGTCTTGACCACGATTTCATGGGGATGGAACTGCCGGACATCGATGTCGATACGGAATCCCTTCTCATCGACGTGGACCCGTTCACCGGAATAGTAGTTGTCCCATCGCATCGGATAGGACCAGTCGTAGGGCGTCGATTGGATCAGTTGGTTCCTCACTCGACGGGTCACCAGCTCATCCAGCGGACGCATCAGGTCACTCCTGTTGGTATGGGCTGGGCACCAGACCCGGGGATCGTCCCACAGATACGGATACAGTTGAAAATCATAGGGTGGCTGGTAGATGGGACGTGGTCGGTCCAATTCCCGCGACAAATCGCGATATGTGGTGGGCACTAGCGACATTTCTTGACGGGATTCGTTCGCGTTCGAGTCCGAAATTCTTATAAAATTTGTCGCCGCCGCCGCCAGTTCTTTTATAGATGACCGACTGGCCTCGTCGGATGCGGATGCCCGCCCCTTGGTGGATGACTCATCCGGACGAGGCGCATCGGATCGCATCGGTTCGGACAAGTGCATCGGTGAAGGCGAGGCCAAAAAGGCAACTGCACGGCCAGTTGGATCCGCGTCAAGTGGCTACGTCACGGCATCTCGAAAAACAAGGAAGGTGGAGGAACCAGCACCAATATTGGGGGCCAAGGTGCCAATAAATAAAAGACGCCACAAAAATGAAATTATTCTCGGTGTTTATTAAATAAATATTTCCTTCTAAGGTAAGGTTTGTGTTTTAATTTTGTAATAAACTATTTTAAAAATAAAAAAATTAAATTTTTATGCTCATTAGGAATTTTTTAAATATTTATTTTCCTTCGAAAAAGCTAACATTAACCAATTCTTCAGTCAGATTCTTCTGAAACACGGTATCGGTTCCTAAAGAATGGATTTTTTTTACATCTACATCTTACAGCTACATCTAATGGAACTACATGAATCTATATCTTTTGGGGATCACTAGCATATATTTAAGTTCATCCAGTACGGCTGCATCCTCCTCACTGCTTGGTGGTCTCCGAGTTGGACTCGACCTCCAATTTCTTGGCCGGCTCGCCGGTCTTCTCGATGGGAACCACACGTTCTTTGAGAGCCTCCTGGACAGCCGGTGGGTTGGGCACATTGATGGTTAGGACACCGTCGCTGCTCAGGCTGGAGGTTACTTTATCAGCCTCGTATCCCTCCGGCAGGACGAAACGGCGTAGAAAGTGACGGGAGCTGAAGCCTCCATTATCGCCATCCTTTTGTTCGGACTTGCCCTCCACCAGGACAACACTCTCGTCCAGGACCTTAACGTTCAGCTCGTTGTAGTCCTTGACGTCCAGGGTTAGCTTGTAGCCCTCCTTGCTGACGGTGGCCGGCGGAGCGAACTCCTGCTCCTGCCAGCGGGCGATCTGCTGCCAGTTCCTGGGAAGAGCCACACTCCAGACCGGTGGCTCGTGGAAGAAGGCGTGGAATGGCGAAGAGATGCGTGGCATGCGGGTCATCTCCTCCGCCATACGCAGGAACATTGGTAGGGAACGCATCTTGTCTTTTATTTTATGATGAAATATCTGGTTACTTTTAAGTAATTCTTTAAATGATTCTATTTGCAAAATATTTTGTGAAATTATAGTTTATTTTTCTCGTTAGCGGTTATCCGTCTGTTGGAACTTTTTGTTTTGAACTGAGCGCCCGGCGCTCCGTAGACTGCTATTTATACCCAACGGCAGCACTGGGAGAAAGTTCTCGTCTCTAGTCTCTGGTAGTCTCTCGAATTTTCTTCGCTTTTCTGATGCAATTTTCCGCTTTGACTGAAATCGGGCAATGGCATTTAACTCAAGGGTTGCTATATGTCTCTTTTTAGGGTTCCGGATGCTACCAGAACTCTCTATGAAGTTTATTTACGTTTTATTTGGAGTTCTCTCTGGTTTTTCTTGGGTCAGGTCAGTTTTCGATGGTCATGCGCGGTGAGAAATTCAAAATTAAATGGAGAGTGTCTGGTTTTAGTTGTGAGTGTAGTAGCCATGGGTGTAGTTAAAAAAATATTCTATTTTTTATTTAAATATTAAGATTTATTTTTTTTATAGACCCTCATTATTAGCCCAATCCAGCCAGGATCCGCTGTAAAGCGATAGACTAAAAAATTAATAAAAAATATTTTTAATTAAAATTTCTTGTTGTTTTTTAAACTAAAAACTCACTTAGTGTATCCCAAAGCTTTGGCAATTTTTTCAGCCTCTAGAGCACGTTTTCCCGATCTACAGGAAAATATGATTTTGGTGTCCTTTTGGGGCTTGGCTCGCCCATATTTGAGTTTAAAATTAGATCTTTCTAAAGTAAGGGCATCTTCCAGTTCATCCACTAAAAAAAATACTATTTTTTAGTTTTTAGAAAAGCAAGAAGAATATAATACCTACAGGGTATGTTGATACTGGCTGGAATTCTTCCAGTTTCCTTGAGCTCTTCCCTTCTCCGGACATCTATCAGACATATCTCCGGTTTGTTGGGTACATCCTTAACCTCCTCATAGGTGACTATTGAAGCTAATTGACGGAAAATTAATTTTGTTTGATTTTTTAGTTTAGAGGCAATCAATCTTCCAGTTGACTCTAGTAAAGACATTTTAAAATAATCTGTTTTACTTGGAATTTTCAATAAAAACCAATGCTTGCTATATATCACAGAGATAAAAGATTTCTATTCATATATTATTTTTAATTTTATTTATTAGAAAAACCACTTTTTTAACATAATTTTCAAAAATATATTTTCACTGGCATTTTGGCTAAGAAACTGGCATTGTTTAAAGGCCTTCCCTTTGGGCCCAATCCTTCCAGGATCCTTTGTAAATGACCACACTGCAGAAGGTATATCATCAATAAGAATATTATATAATATTTATCTAAAAACTCACTTTGTGAATCCCAAAGTTTTGGCTATTTTTTCAGCCTCCAGAACACGATTTCCGGATTTGCAGGAGAATATAATTTTGGTATTCTTCTCCGGCTTGGGACGTCCATACTTGTTCTTGAAGCTGGCACTGTCCAGATTAAGGGCCCTTTCCAGTTCGTCCACTGAAAATAAAACCCTTTTTTTATAATTCCATATGGATTAAGATATCATGGCCTTACAGGGTATGTTTATGCTGGCCGGAATGCTACCAGTTTCCTGCAGTTCATCCGGACGTCGGACATCAATCAGATAGATCTCGGGGTGGTTGGGTACATCCTTCACCTGCTCGTAGGTGGCCATTGTTTCTAGCGGTCGGAATCGGTACTTTGCTTGATTTGCCAGCTGAATCACAACTGATTTCCCAGCCGGTCCCAGTAGATCCATTTATTCGGTTTTGTTTGTCTCCGGCGGCTCAGAGCTTATCGGAGTCTGATTATTGTGGTTGTCGTCGGGTGTTGTTTGCTTTTTTTTTTTTTTGCTCAAAATTCTCCGCTAATTGTCCACTGGGATCGGCGCCGCTTGAGGCCCCCGACTCGATCCGATTTCACTTTGAATTTCAAATTAGAATCTTTAGTGTCATTTGGCAGACAGTGCTTACTGTATGCTCTACAGCAACCTAGACCTATAATGAATTCTCGTTTTTTTTAATTCGCAAGACGATCGTTGAGGTTTTTAGTAGGGAGGTTCCACTGTCTAGCCAGAAGAGATCAAATTCGAATGTTGTCTGCGGTTTGGGGAGCTTCCAGAAGGGCTTGGAGGCGACAGTGGACAACGTCTTCGCCCCCCCACTTCACCGGGTCTTAAAAATAGGAATCTGTTATTGAAATGTTAAAGACCTCTGTTGATGATGAAAGCTTTTGGGGGAAAAGCTTCCGGCAGAGTCTATAAAAGGGTGACATCCAATCCAGAAACTCCACATTTCGTCGGAAAAGTCAAGGTAAATAATTGTGCAGCAGAAACCGGAAAATTCGCGCCACCCCCCTGGAAAATCAACCCTTGGAACTCCAAAACGTAAGCAGGTCGTCGGTTCATCGAACTTCCGCCAGATACAGAATCCGAATAGAAAAACACAAAGGAGTTGAGACGAGAAAAAATGCCAGATATTCCATTTGTCTTGAATCTGGACTCCCCGGACTCCATGTACTACGGGCATGATATGTTCCCCAACCGATTATATCGACGCCTCCATTCGCGGCAGCATCATGAGCTGGACCTGCACACTCTGGGTCTGATTGCCCGGATGGGTGCCCATGCCCATCACCTGGTGGCCAAGAAGCATAGCGGAGAGCTGGGCGCCCTGGGTGTGAGTGGACCCCTCAAGAAGCAGGGCAACTTCGAGGTGCACTTGGATGTGGGTCTCTTCGAGCCGGGTGAGATCAGCGTGAAACTGGTCAACGACTGCATCGTGGTCGAGGGCAAGCACGAGGAGCGGGAGGACGAGCATGGTCATGTGTTCCGGCACTTTGTGCGTCGCTATCCGCTGTCCAAGGAGTATGATGCCGATGCCATTGCCTCCACTTTGTCGGAGGATGGAGTACTTAACATAACAGTCCCTCCACTGGTGTCCAAGGAGGAGACCAAGGAGCGTGTGATTCCAATCAAGCACGTGGGTCCATCCGATCTCTTCCAGAACGGCAATGGAAAAAAGGAGGCAGCCGCTCCAGCAGCAGACTCCAAGTAAAGAGCAGCCCAGTTTAGCTTCAGCAGCCAAGTGATTTCCAAAGACTCTCGTTTATCGTTGCACCAAAAAAAAACGTCACTAAAATTACGCACGCATCGTACTATATTTATTCATTTATTATTAGCTACATTTTAAAGTCCAATCCCATTTTAAGATTAATCAAAATCAAGTATTAATAAAGTAGTATGAATGTCTCAGTAAATCATCTTGTTTATATCCCATAAAAAAGGTAACATGTTGCTTTTCTTTGTTCCATTATGGGTGGGGGTGTGTGTGCATATGTAAATTGGGTCCCCAGATGTCAATCTTAATAAAAGAGAGCTTTAGCTGGAAATTTCCCCCAGGTGGAACTGAAACTTTTTGAATTTTAAATGAAAGCGCGCCAAAACATCGATAAGTTTTATGTCAAAGTTTTTAAAGTGCAACTATCGGAACCCAAAAAAACATTTTCAAGCGATTTCAAATAATTAAAATTATAAAAAATAAATGAATATGGCTAAAAATATTAACAGGTAACAATAAAAACTAAAAATAATATAAAATTTAACTTTTAAAAGCTTCCTGCAAATAGTCCCATCTCTAGCTAACACTGTAACCTCAAAAATGTTTTGTTTACTTCTGAGGCGGTCCGCAGTTCATAATACCTGCAAATTAATTAGTAAGCAGATTTCCAAGCCCGCCTTTTACACACCCATCAATGCTCTACACACCACGACACGTGAGTTGTTCAGATTTGCCAGGGAAATCCTGGAATCAGTATTGTTATCAGATCGTAAATCCAACTGATATTATGAAATTACAGAACTGCGGCATGGGGAATACGAGTGGCAAGATCCCAAGTCACCTGATGAAATGTAAGTAAAGTACTTTAGAATTAAAACAATAATAAACAAAACATATCCGCCGACACAGAGTAAACATCACATATGTGGACAAGGATGGCAAACGCACCAAGGTCCAGGGCAAGGTGGGCGACAATGTTCTGTATTTGGCCCATCGCCATGGCATTGAAATGGAGGGAGCATGTGAGGCTTCTTTAGCATGCACCACCTGCCATGTTTATGTGCAACACGACTTTCTCGAAAAGCTAAACGATGCCGAAGAAAAGGAGGACGACCTGCTGGACATGGCGCCATTCCTGAAGGAGAACTCTCGGCTTGGCTGCCAAATAACGCTGGAGAAAAGCATGGAGGGAATGGAACTGGAGCTACCGAAGGCCACCAGAAACTTTTATGTGGACGGCCACAAGCCCAAACCGCACTAGCAGCAGCTTTATTGTTATCAGATGTATTTTAAATATAAAACAAACTGTTGAATCACCATTTGGTTCTTTCCCAACTTTTTGTATTTCTTAAGATGTAAACAATGCTCTTGGTTTTTTATGTCGTTCCATCGTGAATTAAACTAAAGAAGAATTCGTTAAGTTGAGCCTATCAAAATACAATTTTCTAACTGATGATGACGATTGAAAGGTGAACATATAGGGCATACGCCATGTAGGGTAGATGCCTTGGGTAGAAGAGGGATGATCGACATAAAAAGTGATATTAAACAATATTGTAAAACTATATTACAATTAAAGCAGAAGTACAAAAATATAAATTTTTATAGCGAATAACTAATTGAGCTCAGCAACACACTAAGCACATCCTGAAATGTTGCCAGCCGCACACAACCACCGCACTGGAGTAAGATCTCTCAGTTGGACGAGGGTGTGGGGCTGCTGCTGGATGCCGAACGCGAACGGACGCTAGCTCGATCTTCTGGCTCGCTGCGCTCCTCGTCGCGATCGCGGCTCTTCTCGTCCTTGTCCAAATCAGCCGGTTCCGAGGGCGTCTTGACCTCTTCCTTGGGCGTCAGGATCTCCTCCTTGGGCGAAAGATTCTCTCGTTTGATGGCCTCCTTCTCCGCCTTGCTGGCACCCTTCTTCTCCTTGTTACTGCTCTTTTTAAGGGTGGCCAGGTCTTTCAGTAAAGAGGAAATCTTGCGGTTCAGGTTGTCCACCTTCATGTCATGCAGCCGTTCAACTTCCTTCAGTCGGTTGCGCATGTCGTTCTCTTTCTCGAAGTTCTTGCCCTTGAGTTCAGTCAACTGGAATAGAGTTAATTATATATATAGATTCCATTTACTAAATAATAGGGGCTATATTACCTGCTTATCCTTTTCCAGCAGCTCTTTGTCTTTTTGATTCAGACGCTTCTCAAGGCTAGCAATGCGCTCTTTGAGGTATGTAATGGCCACCACGTGATCCGACGAATTAGTGTCCACTGTAATGGCAGCTGGAGCTGCGATGGTCCCGTTTCCACCATTTCCGCGCGATATCTTGTCTGGCAGATCCAAGCCAGCGGCACTGACTGCATTTACGCCGCCGGTACTGTTTCCAGCGCTGCCACTCTTGCCAATCTCACTGCGCGATGGCTTTTTGGCCGAGGCGCTGTCTCTGTGCGACGACGAGGATTTCTCATGCGGCCTCTTCTTCGACATGGGTATTCGGCCCTCCTGCTGCGCCTTAAGCAGCGCCCGCTTATACGCACAGGTACACAGCCAGCAAAGCAATTTTCCATTGACCTGAGGGGAGGAAGAGAGAGATTTGACAAATTGAAAATCACATTAGGTGTATGTATGGCTTAGTTGCTAATCTTAGGCTACAATCGGTCTCTTATGAACGCAAATACATGATTCTCAGAAACGTGCGAGGTGAACACCGATGGGTACACCGTTCATTCCGCGTAGGATCTACATTTATTTGGCTTAAGGGTAGGGTTGGTTTTTATGTTAATAATAAGGGCTGCAGTTTCTCCAGCAGTGGGCTGTTCCTCCGGTTTTCTAGTGCTGACCTTTTTGTTCTCGTCGCGCCTGTCAAAGGCTGATCGCAGCTTGCATTCATCGCACTGCACTGGCGGTCCGTACTTCGCCTCGTAGCTGGCGCATCTATGGCGCGCGGTTATGGGGAATGGTTTGGATTGGCGGGCAGAAAAAAGAGAAGAAGAAAAATGTTTTGCGTTCATAAGAGACGTTGTATTGCTGTCGGGAAGGAAGGAGCACTACTACTCTATTGAAGGAGCTACAATATTAAGTACTTTGAAGGCACAATTATCTCTAGGTTTGGGGAATAATTATTGTAATTAATGGTATTGTGCATTCAAGTTACAGTATATCATATTTGAAGGCACAATTTCGAAATATATTTAATTGTAAAATGGATTTAAAGACACTTGAATTGTGCATTCAATTTACAGGTAGAAAAACTAAGATAGAGAGAAAGTGTAGTATGCTCTCATCTTACCTCATGCACTTTGAACTACCAAATGCGGCCACAATTTTACAGCATTCGCAGGGTGTGGGCTTTCCGTACTTCCCCAGATAGTGTTCGCACTTCTTGCAGGCACTCTGTGATTTGCTGTGGTATAGGAATACATATACTATTGCTGTCTATATAATTATCATTATCGTACTTACGTGGCGGGCTGGAACTCCGATCGGCAGTAAGTACATTTAACAACTGAGGTAGAACCACGGCAGCCCTGCGAAAATTAAAATTTGTTTTTAAGGTTTATTTATTGTTACTTTAAAGTGGTTAAAGTTGTGTTTATAGCCAGTTGCAATTGTTTATTAGTCACAGGCATTTGTTAGATGCGATGCGACGCATGCTTCTTCTTGTTTCTTTTCACTTTTTTTCTTTTTGCCTCAAAATGCGCAGCAAAATTTTTCGCCAAACAAAAGGCAAACGCGTCATTTTTCATGGCATCCAGTACCAGGAAACGCTATCACAGGCCAACACACACAACCAGGCCAACAAATTTTATTGCATTTTGTTTGGTCCGATGCATTATTTTTTTTTTGTTTAAAGTGCCGACGAGACGGAGACCCTTTTTTGTGTTTCACCTTGCAAAGCTGCTGGCCGGAGGAGAGCTCCTCGTACGGGTGGCGCGAGAAACATTTGGAGCAGGCGAATAATACTTTTGCACTCATTTTGTGTTTGATTTGTCTTTCCGTTTGCTATTTGTGTGTCCGGTTACTGGCTTTTCGTGCTGTACGTTAAAACTTGTTGTTTCTGCTTTAAATAAAATGGTTCTTTTTATGGAGGTGGCACTATCGTCAATTCATAGTGGTGGCACTATCGACAGTTTAGCTTCCCTGCAGCTATGCAAAAACTAATATCGATAGGCAGCGCAGCAGCCCTGGAAATACAGTTCCAATAACAAAGCGAAAGAGCGCGTAAAGAGAGAATTGGATAAAGATGCCCATAAAGCGCACGCGCCGATAGCCTCAATTCAAACTACAACGTTCGCTTCAGGGCTGTACAAAAAATTATTCGTCGGAAGAGATCGAGGATCCGAAATAAAACGTATATAGTTAAACGGCAACGGGAAGGCGGTCGGATTTTGAAATGCCGGCGGAACAGCATACAAACATCAAGGTGGCGGTACGCGTACGGCCGTACAATTCGCGAGAACTGGAGAATCACAATCAAAGATGCATCGTCAAGGTTATGGATAGATCGGCGCTGCTGTTTGATCCCGACGAGGAGGACGACGAGTTCTTCTTCCAGGGCACCAAGCAGCACTACCGCGACATCACCAAGAAGATGAACAAAAAGCTGACGATGGACTTTGACAGGGTGTTCGACATCGACAACACCAACCAGGATCTCTTCGAGGAGTGTACGGCGCCGCTGGTCGATGCTGTACTCAATGGGTGAGTGCCAACCATAGCAATCGTGTGTCCAAAATATAAAAGGCTCCTTCTTTTCAGGTACAACTGTTCTGTGTTTGTTTATGGCGCCACCGGAGCGGGAAAGACATTCACCATGCTGGGCAGTGAGGCCTGTCCCGGTCTCACCTTTCTCACCATGCAAGATCTCTTCGAGAAGATCCAGATGCAGAACGATGTGCGAAAATTTGATGTGGGCGTATCGTATTTGGAGGTCTATAACGAGCAGGTGATGAATCTGCTCACCAAAACCGGTCCCATGAAGTTGCGAGAGGATGCCAACGGCGTTGTGGTCAGTGGTCTTCGCCTCACTCCCATCTACAGTGCGGAGGAGCTGCTGAAAATGCTGGCGCTGGGAAATTCCAATCGAACCCAACATCCCACAGATGCCAATGCCGAGAGCTCCCGCTCCCATGCCATCTTCCAGGTGCACATACGCATCACGGAGCGTAAAACCGACACGAAACGGACAGTGAAACTCTCCATGATCGATCTGGCGGGCAGTGAACGAGCAGCCAGCACCAAAGGAATCGGTGTGCGTTTCAAGGAGGGTGCCAGCATCAACAAAAGTCTCCTGGCCCTTGGTAATTGTATCAACAAACTGGCGGATGGCTTGAAGCACATACCTTACCGTGATTCGAACCTGACGCGAATCCTGAAGGATTCGTTAGGAGGCAACTGCCGCACTCTGATGGTGGCCAATGTGTCCATGAGTTCCCTAACCTACGAGGACACCTACAACACTCTGAAGTACGCCAGCAGAGCCAAGAAGATTCGAACTACTTTGAAGCAGAATGTGGTCAAGTCCAAGATGCCCACCGAGTTCTATGTAAAGAAGATCGACGAGGTTGTTGGCGAGAACGAGCGGCTCAAGGAGCGTAACAAGACACTGGAGGCCAAGGTATCGCAGCTGGAGCGTGCCGGGAGCAATGGCTTTGATCCTGCAGAGATTCAGGCTTGGTACAGCAGGATTGATGCTGTATATGCCACCGCCAAACAGCTGCAGGAGCGAGTACTTGGCATGCGCAGCAAAATCAAGAACATTAACTATCGACAGACGGTTAAAAAGGAGCTGGAGGAGTTCAGGAAACTAATGTCCATAGATCAGCGCGTTTGCCAAGAGGTGAGTGATTTTTCCTAACCGATCCCTAAAGCAACATCCCTCAGGTTTCTCTCATTAGTTTTATTGATGATTTTAACAACTTTTTGTGAATTGGGATAACAGGATGAGTCTCAGTCTTCATAATTAGTCGCCCAGCAGCTCCTTCTGCTTGGTGGCCAGTAGTTTGTCCGCCTCTCCGATGTACCGATCCGCTATAGCCGTGATCTGGGCCTGGGCAGCAAATGCATCATCTTTGCCAAGTTCGGGTTGCTTTTTCAGCTTCCGGATGTGCTCGTTTTGTACGCCGCGAATGGCATCACGATATTTGACGAACAAAGCCTTGGCATTCTTCGACAGATTCTCCCTGTGCTCCTTGGTGACTTTCGGGATCGGGATGAACAGTGTGGTGCCATCCTGTTGCGGGTTCAGGTTCATGCCGCTCTTTTCGATGGCTTTCAGGACATCGGGAATGGTTTGCGGAAAGGCAATCATGTTCACAATAATGGTCTTGGGGTTTTTGCGAGAGATTTGAGCCAGCTCCTGGAGCTCGTGCTCCTGGCCATCCACCTTGACCCGCAGTGTGTCGATGGCGCCGCTGGTGGAGCGCAGCGACAGGTGCTTCACGAAGTCATCCTTCATTTGCGAGACGGACTTTTGCATCTGGCTGTTTAGTCCATCGAAATTGAGGATCTCCCTCAGCTGCTGCTCATTGATTTCCACCTTGGCGGGCTTTCCTTTGCCGCCTTTTTCCTTCTTTTTGTCCTTGCCCTTTGCGTAATCGCGGCTAGGTTGCAGACGGCATAGGATGCGCTGGTTTTCCAGGAGTTGGGGCCGGGATTTTGATGTGGATGTGATTGCTCCTGTTTGGCGCAATCCAAAGGCAGCTAAATGCAACGTTTTGCGCAGCATTTTATTTGAAAAACGTTTTTTAAATTAATTTGTTGATAAGCTGCGGCAGTGCTTTTAGTTTTGGCAGCATCAGCTGTTTTCAGTATTGGGGCTGCCAACTTACTTTTGGGGGATAACGTAACGTAACGTAACAAAATCTTGAGCGGGAATTTCAAAAATTTATATCTATAATTTTGATGTATTTTATTTCAGGACTATCTTCGCTTCTTGAACTACATGAGCACGTTGAACAATCAAATGGAAAAATACAAGGAAGAGCTTCCCGCTTGGCGGACTAAAATGGAAAGCGCCTTTCAGGAACTGGAGAGTCTGAAACGGGAGGTGAACAAGGCCAAGGCCTACCAAATACTGATCGTGTACGTCAAGTACAAGGATCTAGATATGCAGTTGGCCAAACAGAACATGTTCAACAACCACGTGAGTGCGATTAACCAGGAGCTGGTTGAGAACTCCGACTTGCTGCGTAAATCCTTCCGAGTGGCTTGCGAAGTGCTGAATCAGGCCTATGACCGCTTGGAGGATGGCCAGGTGCTCACACCGGAAATACAGTCGGCTTACGAGCGGCTGCAGCGCAAGATGAGGTTTGCCGAGTCGGAAGCGAAAATGGTCGAAGCGGATTCCCTGGCGACGTTCCAGCGTTTGCAAGGTAGCAAGCCGAATGAGGAGCAACCGGCACTTGCCAGTGTCACTGGCAGCGCCAAGAAACGTGTCAGGGAGCCGGAGACCAACGACGACGATCTGCACCTCAGCATGGAGGAGTTTGAAAGCCAGGACACAGACTCTGATTCCGATGACCTGCACAAGACCTTCAAGAGGCCGCGGAATCTCAACGAGACGCAGGTGCTTGGCGCTTCTAATGGTATCTACAAGCCCATTACGGCGACGGTAACCAAGCCCAAGAAAATGCCCCAGCACTTGGTCACCGATCTCCTTTCGGACCAGAATGTCCGAGGCAGCAATGAAGCGATGAAGAAAGGTACGGATAGTTTTTGAAAGTGAAAGTAGAGTGTATAATTTTAAAATTAAAAGTATATAATATAAAATGTACTATCTATCTATACCTATCTAATCGCTTTTTATGATGGAATCTTAATACTAACCATATCCCAACTATGTAGCCAGTATTATGGCAGATATTTCAATAATCACATTGCTTCTATTTTCCAGCTCTGCTCAAGTCGAATCACTTTAGTGCTCAGGGACTAAAGCGAACACTGGCGGCTGCTTCGATTGCGAAGGAGAATGTCAACTATGTCCGCAAAAGTCCAAGGGCTTTGGTGGCCAAAGGTGAGATCGAAACCACAAACATCCTTCAAACTCCAATAACCTATATCTTTTTTTTTCAGCATTAGCAGGAACTTCCACGCTTGGAAGGAAACCAATTGGATCAGCCACTAAAGAACCACCTGTCGTCAAATTTAATCGGGCGGCCTCGTTCCGCTTGAAAAAATAAGGGGGTGATGGGGGGTGCGTAGGTGTCCGAGGCACTCGGACCGGGAAATATTCGTAATATCCACCGCTATTAACTTTAGAATTTAGATAGCACACTGACCGTTTGCTTTTAGTTTTGTACTTTGAATTTATTTATGTACGTTTTCTTTTTTTATTTTATACGTTTTTGAGTAAGTTTAAAGAAAGTATTGCGTTAAGCGCTTTAACTAAAAATATACGGCCGTTTCCTTGCCCTCATTGTGCTGATTTTGTCGACGCGGATGCGTGTAGAGGATCTCGTCCGAGGGCCAGGCATTGGGTCTGGGCTCCGAACTGTACCTAGCTGCGGTTTTGTGAGGAGCCAGCCCCAGAAGTCCCAGAAGCATGTAAAGAAGCGCTCCAAGATTCACGCCTAGAAGGAGTAGTCCCGGAGCCAGTAATGGATTGAGAATCGACAGGATTGCGGCTGGAGCAGATGGTGCTGGCCAAGCAGCATCATAGCCGTACTCGACACGCCGCCAGGGCTTTTTGTCAGCCACTGGAGGACGCGGCTGTTCACCTTCAGCCGGCAGCTCCAGATCCTGACGCTTGCTTTCCGCCCCTGGTGTATAGCGGGGCACAAATGGCGGCTCCACGGGAGGCACTGCCTCGGCGATAGATCCACTTACGATGGCTAGACAGGCAATAAAGATAACCGGCAGCCACATATCTTCCGAATACTATTTTCGACTTTGTTTACCAACTTGGCTTTTTATAGTCCCCAGGTGGTTGCCGAGAGCAAGAACCATAACGAAGTACTGCCTTAAGATGTCAACAAAATGCCACTCCAGAGATATACAATGGCCATCATATCATGTCATATATATTTGTATAAGTAATCGGTATAATAGATCCACAAAAAGGTATCAAAAGCATCATCGTAAATCAAATATATATGTCGGTTATTCAACTTTTAACTTGACAATAATCATATAGAGTAAGAAGACAGGACAATACACTCATTATTTTGAATCAAAGGTTACATATCTTATACATTTAATAAGCTGATACATATATATATATAAAGATTATTGTCCTTTTCTGTCGTTTCTAACAAAAAATAAAAGTGTACATTTTGTATATATATTTATGAATTATTTTGAAGGTAATCGTTGATTTGTGCTGTTCATCTTGGAATACAAGAACCTTCTTTATGGAATCTCTTCATTGTAGTTAAGGTAAGCTATTTAAGGTATTCTTTTCATTCAGGATATATACTTTGCTTCTCTAGTTAAGTCGTTGCGCCTTCAGCAACACCTCGGGCTTTTCAATCTCGGTTTTCGAGGCAACCAACTTTAGTTCCCGCTCAGCTGCCTTGACAGGACCAGCTCCTCCATTGGGCAGGGCAGCCACTGTTTTCTTTATGACAGCCTGCAGACTGGCGATGGTCTTTTCGAAGGCTGTGGCCACATCCCCGCATCCGTGGCTGTGCGCCAGGAAGAGCGATGCGAAGAGGTCGCCGGTGCCTGTGAAGACCAGATCCTTGCCGCCCTGCTTCGGGATATCGATGGCCAGACGGGGTCCGTTCTGTTGGCTTAGGAAGGCCCGGAGTACCCCCGGCTGGCCGAGATCGCTGCTTGAAATCACAACCGTTTTTATGCCTCGCTTGTGGAACCAATCCATTGCCTCCCACACAGCCTCCTCGCTGCGGACCTCCTTCTCGGTCAGGAGTTCCACCTCATACTGATTTGGGGTAATTATGTCCGCCAGGGGAATGATCTCGTCCCTGTAAATGGGCAGAAGTTCCTTGGGCACATACAGCTCCCCGTTGTCGCCCATCACCGGATCACAAACGTAGACCAGACCAGGATTCGCCTCCCGCAGTTTCTTCAGAATGACGCCCACCTGGCGAAGGAACAGAGGATTCCCGATGTAACCAGTCAGCAGATGTGAATAGAGTGGAAGCAATTCGTTCTGCTCCAGTCCCTCAAATATTGCGGCTGTAAGGGATTATAGGTTAATGTTAATTAGGGTACAAAGTTTAATCTATAAACTATATAGTTTACATTACCCAATTCTTTCTCGTTGGAAACAGCACCCTTGAAGGTCTTGTAGCCTGTGTGATTGGAGAACTGCACGGAGTTCAATGGATCCACATCGAAGCCAAGCAACTGGTGGTGGAAATAATAGGGTTAATGGAAATTTCCGAGATCTTAACCTTAAAGGTAGAGATAGCAGACCTGCAGTGGATAGGTGGCCACTTTGTTGCCCACGTAGCCATGGACCACATGACTCTGGATGGAAAGCACCCGTTTCGACATATTCTCGGCTATTTTCCGTGGGAGATTCCGCGACGACTGACCGCTAGCGATTGAGGGAACAATGTTGATGCGGCTCGGCCTGCAGGCGGTAATCATACACTCATGTTATCAGCAAATGGTCCCTGAATAGCTCCAGCTGATGATAACGCACAGATTACGGGTGTAAACAGTGGAAAAGGAGCGGACAGTGTTTATTTCGTATAAGAGATTGTCTGTAAATTAGTGAGTTTTCATTGCTCGGCCTTGGAATGCAATCAAAAGTCAATTACATTCTACCACCCCCATTGCCACCCCCGGGTAGTGTTACCAGGTGGCGGTAAAAAGTTTACGCGCCAAAAACTTATACCATAAAGTAGTTTAAAAATAATATATGTTTTTGGAGAAACTACTTAAGTTCAAACAATTTAAAAAGTTGTACAAAAATATAGGTTTAGCACATAAATAAATGAAATAAAAAATCTTTATTTAAGTCCCCCACGTAATATTTAAACGTAGTTAACTTACATTCGAAAAATATTAGCAATATATCGTAAGAAAACCATTTTTCTGTAGAAAAATCTTTTATTTTGATTTCAAAACTTGGTATATTCGGTTTAGGCCAAAAAAACAAGGGAAAATGTTAGAGCTTAAAAAAAGTGACACAAAATACAATCCCTTCTCTTAGTAAAAAATCGTAACAAACTGTGAATATATATTTCCAATTATATATATTTTTCGAAATTATAATTGTGTTATAACAATAAAAGGGAATGTCAAACATTAAAATACGCAGGGCATTAAAGGATAACCCTTCCAACTAGATCCATTGACATTGTTTTTAAGGTTTTCATCACTGACAACAATTTGGTCTTTTATTATTTGGTAGAAAATTTCGATTCACAGACATCGCGCTTGCTAGAAAACTCTGAGAGTGCTATTAAGGTGGAATTTATAAACAGTAGACAAGATCAAAGATCTAAAACAAAGTGTATATACAGTACAGTAAAAATACGGATAAATGTAAAATGCCAAGTGCATGACAATTATCAGGAGGTGATAGCTGCTTTCCAAGCCATCGCCACAGAATATCGATGGCAGCTTCTGGTTCTCTTTTAGCTCGTTTGCCACTGAAAATGATTTCAAATTTAAGTATCAATCCTTGCGGTAGTATCTGGAACTTACTCTTAGGTTTGATTGACCTTGACCCTGTCGGGCGGCCTCCTCCTCGCGACGTGCCAGATCCTCAGCCCTTTGCTGCTGTCGCCGTACACTGTCTACATTTTTTATGCCCCTGGACTCGTTTTCCTGGCGACGCTTTTCCGCTGCCTCTAACTGCTGCTGCCGTCGCTCATCCTAAAAGATATAACAATTGTTTTCAGTGTATCCCAATTAGGATACGTTCAGGTTGATTCTTTTCTCGCTCTCTTGACCCACCTGCGATGGCATGAGGTTTGTTTCCTCGGCGCTTTGGCCGCAGCAGGAGAGACATATTCCCATGATTGAATAAATAAAAACTTTAATCTATTTTGTTTGCAAAAAATATGGCTTCACAAATTTGTTTTGCGTTGTTTTCCACTATGCTCTCTTTTCCACTTTGTTTTGACAGCTGACTGCGTTACAGTGTACTGTTAATGGACAGCCGTGCACTGTTAAGCGCATCAGCTGATCGCGAAGAAGAAGCAGAATTAATTTTTTAAAATTACCCCCAATAAATTAATATCGCTCTGGTCGGGTTCTTATTGTTGGGGACTTCGGATATACAAAGTAGTATCAGTCGTGTATCCAAACAAAAAGCGAACAACAGTTTCTTGAAAAACAGCGTCAACAGCGGTCTCTCTCTCTGTCTCTCTCGATTCGCGAACTTCCGCCTCTCTGATTGTTTGTGTGGAAAACATTAACTAAATTAGTGACGCTTAATTACTAAATAATTTATTAGAAATAATGTTGGATGTGCCCCATGAAGCCCAGGTGAGTTTAAAATGCATAATAATTGAGTTTAAAAGCCGTATTTTCAAGCCGTAGTTTTCAAGACTCTCTTGATGGACTCCAAGTGCAGCTTGGCAGTGCATTCCAGTGCAGCGACAACAAAAACAAACACAATAATATGCCGGTTCCAGCGTGCTGGTGCTGGTACCTTTGATGCCAATTTGTGTCGTTCGACAGGTTTTCCCCTTTTGTGGTGCGCCTCTTGCATTTGCTTAGCGCTAACCTTCAAGTGACCTCCAAGTACAGGCGGCATGTGTCGCCTTCAGTGCCATTGGGGCCTTATACGAACTGTGTGTGCTGTGTGTGTGGCCCGAAAATTTCGCGTAATTGTTATGACTTGATAAAATCATGGAATATCTCTGTTAAAGCTATCTAATGGCTTATCAGTGTTCATGCCCCCAAAAAAGCTAGTAACCGGAGTTGTTCTCTCTCCCCGATTCTGATAAGCGCCCGCGGCTTTCGTGATGGCTCTCTTCCTCTTCACTGCCACTTGACCGCAAGCTACGTACCATATGTATAACTATGTATGTATGTACGTGCCTATCTTCCTCCCCGGGCTATCTTCCAGCTTCCCCCGGCTTCCAATTCCATAAGTGCCGGCCTTTTGTTTTGCCCAACACTTGCACGCACATACACTCCAGAGCAGGCCCAAAATTTAATAATAAAAAATTCATAATAATATTATATAATGTATTAAAAGTTCTGGTTAAATATATATATTTTTTGTTTTGTTTTAGCTTTTATTTGTTAAGCCCTTGTGTTTTGTTTAGCCGCTTATGGCCGTCATCACTGGCATTATCACTTGTTGCTGTGCTGGCTGGCAATTGTCGCTACAATTTTTCAGTTCTGTCTCGGTCGCTGCCAACGTCAATCTGCCAGCGCCGGCGTCGTCAACTTCAGCGGCGGCGACGCGTGTTGGAAAAATTCGTATTGAAATTCAAATTCGTTTGGAACCCAGCTTTATTTTCAATTGCACCCTCGGCCAGATAGCTTCGATCCGTGTCCCCTACTCCGATCTTACGTTTTCGTTAATTACGCGCGCCGCCCTATCTAGATTCTAGAAAAAAAAAACAAACATTTAAAATTTCTAAAATACAAGTGTGATTAGTGAATTACAAAACACACCATGACATCCGGCATAAGGCCCATTGATGTGCTGCTTCAGCGTGCCGGCGTAAGTTTCCCAACCAAAGGAGAACCTTTGTAAGGCGATATTTGGGCCAAGATCAGTAAGATGATCTGGAAAATGGTTAATAAAGGTTATAGGTTGATATTTTAAACCTCAAAATGTTATAAAATGGAAAGTTTTTTGCTATATAATGAAAGAAGTTTCTTTAAATTAAATAAAGGTGTTGCCTCTAGATATATCACACCTTTAAAGATATCAAAAAAACACTCAAGAAAATTATTAAAGAATTCTAAGAATATACTTCTATTTTCATCTTCCAATTAAACAGAAAGACCACGAAACACCTAAGATAGTTATCTTATCTAGAAAGTTTGCAATGAGATGTCTGAGATTCACAAACATTTTTTAAAAAACTATCGGTAACATCGTTAGCCTATTATCTCACCCCATGTTGACCTTCCGAAGTTCAAACACCTGCCCTCTGACTTTGGCTTATCGCTTGGCATAGTATTGCTCATCTTGTGCCACTGGGTTGATGTGTGGTGTCCATATATAAATAACCCATATGTAATCGTCTGTCATCTTGGCAGGCGCCGTGGGCGTGGCAAGTGCTTTTTTTTTTTCTCTCCAACCCTCGGCGTTATTATTCAGCTTTGCGTAATGATTTCTGAAAATAAGCAGCAAAATAAAAGCGATTACAGCAATTATTTTGCATAAGACGATTGCATTTAACTGTCTTGATTGACAAGGCTCCCCTATATAGACCCTAAAACATAGTTATATTTTGAATAATAAACACCGGTATATTTTTTCCGGAATTATATATCGTATGTATGTTTTTGTTTGATCTTAAGTTTGGTTTTGTTTGAATTGGCCAAGAGCTTTTGGCCACCTTGGCTGAATGTCAGTGCCAAACACACACATAAATATTGTAAATATTGGTCTATGAAATCTATTTAAAGACCTTTTACGATTACATGTTCCATAAATCATTATTGCAAAGCTATTAAAATCGATAAGTTCTAGGTCTTGTTATGAAAGGTCCAAGAATATGGACATTTGATAAGAAAAAGAAATATATTTCGTCACTTTCGAGTTGATTTCATTATTATTGATATAAGTAATACATAGTATCGGGGGATCTAGAATTCCTGATATTAAAATGACGCTTAAATTTTAAGGAACATGATGAAAATAGAGTAACGAACTTGAACGTATTTTTTGATTAGATTTAAGAGTTGTAAAGCCATGATGAGGTTTTATAAAATATACAGATTAGTTATCAGTTTCGGGAGGCGATAAAGAAGGCGCTATATGGACACTAAATTGTTACACAATTTGCAAAATATTTTTTGCATTTTTTAGAGGTCGTTTCATGGGACATTAGGCTTTGTTTTTAATCCCGGATGGTTGGGTTGGCTTATCTCTGCCATCATCCTTGACTCGATCGGAATGTCGAACTGATCATTAAGCGGTTAAATAGCTTCAGATAGATGGAGAGATAGTTTCAACTACGCAATTGGTTTATAAAACTATTTTTATTGCTGGAATGTATTTTTAGAAAATAATTATCAAGTTCAAAAGGCAAACAAACTTAAATATCGCTTAGAACCCCCCAGTGGTTGCATTGCGAGGACACTCCTCATGGAATCTAGCCTCACAGCTAGTACTATGCTCCCGAAAGTCCTCCAGGCTGGGCAGATACTTGTAGAACACCTTCTTGTTGAAAAAGCTATCGGTATCCTCCTGCTCCTCGGGTTCTCCGGCTATACGTTTCTTGAGAGAGTCCTGCATGCCCCAAATAATCGGCTGACTCTTGCACATGAGCAGCTTCATGCACCCGGCCTTGTGTCCCTTCTCTGGGTCTTCCTTCTCGGAAATCATGTCCACGATCCTCTCTGGCAGTTCTCGATCCATGATTTCTTGAAGTAATCTCTTGCTGTGACCATCTTCTCGCTGGAGGAACCAATCAATGGGTGAGCTAATGGGCAGCGACCGAGGTTGGCTTTCGTTTTGTTCGTAAAGGGCTTCTGGGGCATCTAGGGAGGCTCCACCCCGGGTGGCTTGCATTATGGTACTTCCAATCTGGAAGGGATTTGGATTAGGTACTGAACTTCATATTTTCTTTAGAACCTACCGCCTGGGCAACCATTATGATGGCGTTTAGGGCCAGAGCTCCCAGCTTTCGGGTGTCAAAGCCCACCATTCGCATCATATTCGTGAACATTTGGACTGTATCGAATCCCTGCTTCGGTGGAGGCCTCCTGGTACTGCTATCCACTGACGGCTCCTCTTGAGCGTTTTCCGTCTCCGTTTCCTGGTTAGACTGATCCTCCTGATCCTCTTCATCCTTGTCTCCCCTTGGTGTCTGCCACTGGAGGGGCATAAAGTTGATTAAATTGGGCATCGGCTGTGGATTTTTTCCCGAGAATGCTTTGGCCACCAGATTGGCCACGTCGGCGGCGGTGTTGATGCCAAACATCTGTCCAGCCACCTTGAGGCCATCACCAAAGTTATCCATGACGCCCGTGGAGGCCTCTCGGGCACCCAAATAAAGCAGCAAGCTCACTATCAGCCAACGTCTCGTCATCACCAGGCTTGGAAAAAGACTGAAGTATTAGTTGTCTTGGCAGGTGGAGCCTAAAATTGGGCTTACGCCAGCCAAGCAGCGATTTTGTCAGCGCTTCCTCCACTAATTTTGTCACTTGAGTGCATCTGACGGATGCGCTTTGCTGGCCACCCTAATCGATCTATTTCAAAAGTTTCTCCGAGTGTAACTTTGAATTACTTTTTTTTTTTGCAGGTGCGCGGCCACCAGAGAGCCCCGTCCGACTCGAAGGAGTTCCACGAGGTGACCAAGCGGGATGCTCTGCGTCTGCTGGAGAACGATGTGGACAGGCTGCTGAAGACCACGGAGCCGGCGCGCCAGCCAGCTCTCAAGGCGGAGATGGGACGCTTTGCGGACCTCTTCGGACGTTTCCTGCAGGAGGGTAAGTAAATCTGTTTATTTTTTAAAACAAAGTCTTTAATTTTAATTCATTTCTTTGCAGAGGGTCCCGCCTTGGACTGGAACAAAATCCAGAAGCTGCCCGAAAACGCCGTGGAGAACTACTCGAACCTCAAGTCGCCCAAAAACGAGCAGGTAGGCAGAGGGCCGGCCGCCCCTCCAATAGAAATTATATATCCATAATATCCCGCCACAGAATCACCCCGATACTGATACCGAATCGAACTCACCCGATGATATACAAGAAACTATCTTAATTTGTTTTTTTTACCAACTTTGCATATTTTCATGTTCTTTGATTTGAAAACTGAATATGGGGCTAATGTCTGCCTATAAATACTATACATAATCGTGTGTATCGCACCTAGAATGAGGTAAAGCGTTTTCCCCTACTTACCAACATTTCTACGCTTCGCGGCTCTCACAACCGTACTACCTTTCTCTCGCTATTGCTCCTACCAAGTACTCTTTAGATATATATTGTATACTTCCCAAGAGATCTGGGCTAGACTCTAACCTAATTGGGCTTTGGACGCTTTATTTAGTTGTTGAACTTTGTTTTTGTGTTTTAGTTTGCTTTAGTTCTTAATCACTGGCGCTGTAGTAACAAATCCTAATATAATTCGGCTATCACTGCAGCTTAACCCACTCCTCTGCTCTCTAACACACTCAGAACTAGCACAAGGTCCATTCTTCCTCAAACTAAAATATCTAATTTATGTTTAGATCCGCAACATGCTGGACAAGTTGGTGGTCATCAAGCTGAACGGTGGTCTGGGCACTTCCATGGGTTGCCATGGTCCCAAGAGTGTGATTCCCGTGCGTTCGGACTTGACTTTCCTGGATCTCACGGTCCAGCAGATCGAGCATCTGAACAAGACCTACGACGCCAATGTCCCACTGGTTCTGATGAACTCCTTTAACACTGATGAGGACACGGAGAAGATCGTCCGCAAATACAAGGGTTTCCGAGTGCAGATCCACACCTTCAACCAGAGCTGTTTCCCGCGCATCAGTCGCGAACATTTCCTGCCAGTGGCCAAGGACTTTGATGTGGAGAAGGATATGGAGGCGTAAGTTATTAATGGTTTTCTTATTAACCTTATTAATGGGTATATTTTCTATTAGTTGGTATCCTCCTGGTCACGGTGACTTCTACGATACCTTCCGCAACTCTGGTCTGCTCAAGAGGTTCATTGACGAGGGCCGTGAGTACTGTTTCTTGTCCAACATCGATAACCTTGGCGCCACCGTTGACTTGAACATCCTTAACAAGCTGGTGGGCGAGGAACGAGCCACCACCCCGGTGGAGTTCGTTATGGAGGTCACCGACAAGACCCGTGCTGACGTTAAGGTGGGTCTTTCCTAAAATGCATGGAAGTATCAAAATTAATGTTTTAAAATCCCACTATTTCAGGGTGGTACTCTCATCCAAATGGAGAACAAACTGCGCCTGCTGGAAATCGCCCAGGTCCCTAAGGAGCATGTGGATGATTTCAAGTCCGTGAAGACCTTCAAGTTCTTCAACACCAACAACATTTGGGCCAACCTGTCTGGTGAGTGTCTGCCACTCTTGAAACCCAACAAGTGCCTAAAATGCTACTCTACTTTTTAGCCATCGATCGTGTTTTGCGCGAACGTACTTTGAACATGGAGATCATCGTCAACAACAAGACTCTGGAGAACGGAACCCGCGTCATCCAGCTGGAGACGGCTGTGGGTGCTGCCATGAAGTGCTTCGATGGCGCCATCGGCATCAATGTACCTCGTTCTCGTTTCTTGCCCGTTAAGAAGTCCTCCGATTTGCTGCTGGTCATGTCAAATCTGTACACCCTGAAGAACGGCAGCCTGGTGATGTCGCCGCAGCGCATGTTCCCCACCACTCCGCTGGTCAAGCTCGGCGAGAACCACTTCTCCAAGGTTAAGGAGTTCTTGGGACGATTCGCCAATATCCCTGATATTATTGAGTTGGATCACTTGACCGTGAGCGGTGATGTGACTTTCGGACGTGGCGTTTCTCTGCGCGTAAGCTTAAAAAGGCCAATGATTTTATTTAGGTACTAATTTATTTCTTGTACTTTTCAGGGCACTGTGATCATCATTGCCAACCATGGTGATCGTATCGATATACCCGCCGGTGCCATTTTGGAGAACAAGATCGTATCCGGCAACATGCGTATCCTGGACCATTAAATCAAATAGCGACTGGATAGCGTCTCACTAACTGTAGCGTAATTTTCTAAGTTTTATGTAGTAGTCATGTTCCCGTTCCAAAATTTCCAAAAAAAAAATTACGAATTTCATTTAGCCAATTGTTGTAAGCACAAAGTGTGTCATCTGTAATATATCGTTAAGTTGAAGCCAGTTATAACAGGGTTTTAAAATCAAACATGAATCGCAATCTGTTTTCAAAAAATCTGTTAGTCGTAGTTGGAAAAATAAGAAATGCTGTTAAAATTTAATAAAAATCTGTTTTATTTCTATATAAATACAAAGGAGATTGTAACCTATTCGATATGAGTTCTTGTGTTGTTTCTTAAACTAGTATCACTTTGAGAAATGGCACAGGGATGGCACATGAAGTCCTTGATCCCACCCTGTTTCCCGATTCATGTTTCTGTATCGTCGATTAGAAGGTGATCCTTGCTTATGTGACCCAGTTTAATGCCCTGTTTTATCAGATCCAGAGCCAGTTTCTTATTATCACTTGGTGGGCCTACAAAAGCTATCACCACTTCATCGATATCCGACTTGTCTTTGAAGGATTGGCAGCTGTGATCCCAGCCACGGGCCTCATATATGTTCTTATCTCCTGCCACCACAAAGTTGAAGTTAATGTCATTCAATCCGGCGCCTTCGATGTGGAAGCCTTGAAGCAATCGAACTTGGAAGACACACGCAGCTTGGGTGACACAAACGTCAGTATTGGTGGACACGAATCTGACGCTTTTGACAGGACGTTTCAAAGGAGCCAGTGGCTTTGTAGGGGGCTGGGCAAGCCAGTATGGACGAGTCACGAACTTAAGGGTTTCATTGCTCAGAAGACGCACTAAAATAAATATTTATCATTATCATAAGTTTATAAAATATTATTCAATGAGCTTACATGAAGTAATATCCTTTGTAAACCGCGGCCAATGCTTCATCAGTTCGTACAGCTTCTGTCCAGGACTCTCGGTGGGACTCAGCTGGCGATGAGCATATATGTGATAATCCGGATGCAATTTATGCAAACGAACTCCCTCCTCCATCAACCGTCTGGCTGCCTCGATCTGTCGCTCTGGTGGCTCCACATTCACAAAGGTTCCAATAAAGGCTATACTTATGGAAATGGCACCATAGCCCCGCACATGCTGACCCTGTATGTGCCAGCCACGTCCTACATAGATCTGGCCATCGCCTCCCACCAGAAAGTTATAGCCAATATCGGTCCAGTCGAGGGATTTCATATGGAAAGCCTGTATAGTTTGCATCCGATAAATGCAAACCTCCTATAAAACACAAGATTTAAGATTAGTATCTATTTTAATTTTAATTGCTTTTTAAATTGTATAAATTATAAGAGACAGTCGATAAGATGGGGGATTTTTTCGGCGGCTTTCTTAAATACTCTTCTATAATTATTCAAAAGCTGTCAGATGTTTGCGATACATATGATTAAGTTATTAAATCAGATTGAGATTTGTATTAGGTAAACTGCTACTAAAAAAAACCGACTTAATCGTTGTTTTAAGGGGAAACTCCAGATGTTATACAAATATTTGTACGATTTATGGGTAGGGATTTATTGGAAAATGGGAAAAATCGTGATGTTATACAAATATTTATAGAAATATGAAAAATTTAATGAAGTTAGTAAGAAGTTAAAATAGAATAATAGTATGGACTTGATAAAGAAGTACAGATTAGAACGTTTTAGAAATAAAAACGCATAAAGGTATGCAACATAAAATTAATTAAAAATATTTAAAGGTTCAAAACTGACTAAAAACCGGTGACATCGGGGAAGTACCAGGTATTAAAAATGAGGTCAATTGTTTGCTTTCATTGAAACTCTTTAAAAAATCCTTATATAGAAGTAAAAACCCCGATAACTTACCTCATCGTCACAGCCTTCGGTGGCCGTGTGGTGGATAATTACATTGGAAACGGGCAGCTTAAGATGCAGGTACTTTCCGCTCGGGGGTTCCCCCTGCCATTCACTTCGATCCAGTATGTGCAGGGCTTTGTTTGTGCCACTCATCGAGTGGGCTAAACCATGCGAAAAATACCAATTAAGTGCCAAACGATCTCAGCTTCGATGCTCTGATCACTTACTCATGATCCAAAGGGAATAGCCCGCCGCCAAAGATACCAAAATTATCAAAATAGCACACAAATAGAGCAGCTCCCGTGGAAACCTTTTAACGCTCGCCACGGGCTCCACGGGATGAGTAGTCGTTACGGGTTTCAGCATCTTGAGATTGTGATTTATTGTGGAGTTCCGGATAGCGATCCTCTCCAGACGATAGCCAGTTGGCAACTGAGCTGAGCCGGTCCCATTTGTTGGCAGCTCAACGAGTTGTCTTGATTGTTGTTTACTTCTGTTGACGGTTTCAAAAAATCCCCCGAGTCTCAAAACTGCGCAGTGGCAGAGCCACCAAGCTTTCTGATAAGTCATAGCCTAAGAAAATATATACACATAATATATACATATATATACATATATAGTATTTCCAAAAGCTTTAAAAGCTGACTTTATATAGGGTGTTATTTCTGTAGACAGCAAGCCGACAGGGTGATGGATCTTTAAACGCCGCCCACTTCCTAAGACTAGTGATTAGAGAGCGATTTCTGTCGAGTGAGCAGTCCAAGAAATGGGAATCCCCTTTGGTCAAGGGGGCGTATCTTATAGACTGTTTTTTTCCAGGTGTTTTTGGAAGATTCCATCACTCTTGACCAACGACAGCGTCTGAAGTCTACTTTCCGGTTTCGGGAATAAAGAAATACGCAATAACAGTTATGGAACTCATACAAAAGATATGGTTTATTAAATTTTTGGCATCATTAAGCTTTAGATTGTTTAAAAATATATAAATTATTTTTATGAGAAAGGGCTTTATTTTAACAGTTTAATTATACTTTGCTTCACCTTCTAAAAGCCTGTACATTTCAAGACTATATTCTACTTCAAAAATATGATATATTTAATACAGATACAATATATCTTTCCGGCTATTGCCCTTTCCAAAAGCCCAGACCTAAAAACAAGAAGAATTTTCTGGATATACCTTTAGGAATCCCCTAACTTTCAAGTCTATGACGCAAAACTAATGTCTCTCTGGCCCTAAAGTAACAAACAAGTAACTAACTCACCTTTTCCGGTTCTCAAACTAGAATTCTGGGAGCCTGGAAGGCAGAGGCCAAGAAAAATCCCCGATTCCCAACTATCAGTTCGATTCTGACCCCGTGACACAAATGAAATTCATCAACATGTTAATCTTTTCGCTTCATTTAATATCACATTTTTTTTTTTCAAAACAAATCGTATTTCTAGCTAAATCAAATATGCCACACATTAAAGGGAAGACAAAACTATACTATACAATAATATCAATATGATTTTAGTATAAATCTTAACTAGTTCACGACCAATGGGACCAGTTGCCGAAGCTATGGTAGAGGGCATCCGCCTTGTATTGGGTAAGACTGGGCTCCAATTTGCTGGCCGCCGTCAGTTTGTAGTTGGGAGAAATCTTGCCCAGCTTCACGCCCCTTTGCAGCAGCAGATGGGTGACACTTAGCTGCTTGTCCGACGGCTTCTGGGTCTGGAAAGATCCGATATAGGCCAGACTAAGACTTCGGGAGTTATAGCCGGTCATGTGGGCACCCACTTGATCCCAGCCCCTGCCCACGTAGACGTTTCCATCGGCGCCGATCAGGAAATTAAAGGCTATGTCGTCCTCCTGCAAGGATTCTATGTCAAAGGTTTGCCGGAGTCGCACTCGGAAAACGCAAGCCGCCTGGGTGGTGCAGTTGTCCGTGTTCGTTGGCAGGACGATCACCAATCCGACGGGCAACTGAAGGTCTGGCAGCTTCTTCTGCGGCGGCTGGGCGAGCCACTGTTGGCGCTCCACGAATCTCAGAATCAAACCGCCACCTATATTGTCCATATCTGTGGATTATTTAAAAGATATTGTAAGTAAAATGTAAATAAAAATTAAACACTTTGTCTGTTAAAGGGTTAACACAAAACAAGATTTGAATATTAATAAGAAATTTATTTTGATGATAGTTTTGTTAGTGTTTAGTTCAGTTATAACCATTTTCAACCGTAAAAATTAGCACCGAAACCCTTTTAGTTGTTTAGTTTATATTTTATATGAATAATTCCATTGTTCATAAATATTTAAAAGGTTATAGTACTTCCCCAAGATAGTTACTTAAGAATTTATATAAGATATTTTTAGAGCCCAATTAAAAACACTAACATGCTAAATATATTCAAGGCTTGTTTTTCTTTTTTTAATTTATTTTAAAAATTGTTCAATCATTTTAAATCATATTTTTGGCACCTTTAGTTCATAGTTTGGTTCTTTTGGCTACATATAACTAACAGGACTGGTCGTGGTCGTTAAATTCTTCCAATGTGGCCAAGTCTGAAGTACTACATAGAGGTTTTCCGCCGGCATTAATGTTCCCGTTAGCTGACGATGGCCCAAAAGATCGTAATTTGGTATTAATTTCTTCAATCGCACACCCTGATCCATCAGCAATTGGCACGCCTCCAATGCTTTCTCTGTGGGATCGGTTTTTCGAAAGTCTCCCAGGAAACTAATTCCAATACTATCTTTATCGTTAAATCGAGTATGTCTTCCTTCGACGTCCCAGCCACGCCCTTCATAAATGCGTCCATCTCCTCCGACAAGGAAGTTATATCCCACCTGGGGCCACCCGTAGGTGTCCATGTGCCGACTTTGAACCACACGAGCCCAATACGAGCAAGATTCCTGCAGGATATAAAAAGGGTTTTCAATGCAACTTACTATATGGCATGTCTTACCCTTGTCTGGCAATTTTCGGGGCGAGTATCGGATATTATAACCCTGGAGACTGGTAGATCTAGGAGTGGAAGCGTGCCTCTAGTGATCATTCCTCCCCAGCTCTTTCTACCAATTACGACTAGTTTTCCATCGACGTGGACTTCGGAGTCATCGGCTGGTTTAAAATGTTTAATTTGGTTAGTAATATTATGACTTAAAAGCTAAAATTAGTAAATTTTAGAATTTGGAAGAGTTAACCAACAAAATCTTAGGTTTATATATTTTAAAGAACAATTAAACTGAATCGGTTTGAAATTTTTTAATCAAATTTTGTTGGTTTCTGTGACTCATCTAATTTATATTCATACATACATGTCTATATTATTTTCATTCATAAAACGATCACTTGGATATTCCATTCAACTCAACTAGGCAGAACTGGAACGCTTTCTGTTTGTTTTTTTTTGATAAGGTTTTTTTTAAATTTTTTATTTATTTTTTGTATATGAGGGACAGAGGATGATGAGTACAGTAAATAAAATTTATCTCTTGTATACTTTACTAAAGGTTCTATTTAATAATAAAATATACATATAATACAAGACTTACGGGTAAACATAGGATTTTAAGCAAAAAGGTTCTAGGATCTTAATGGGTAACCAATTCTTTCTTAAATATCATTGTTTACGGATCTATTTCATGGGACCAGTGCGGCCAGGTCTTTATGATCCTGTAGACCTCCTCCCCGGGGCTTTCGGTGGCGCTCAGTTGCCGGTGGCCGTAGAGCCGATAATTGGGATCCAGTTTCTTGAGTCTTACCCCCTCGGCTATAAGGAGCTGGCAGGCTTTCAGTTGCCGATCGGTGGGCTTGATCTTCGTAAAGGTCCCTATAAAGGAGATTCCGACGCTGCCTGTATTATAGCCCTTAGTGTGGGCCCCCACATAGTTCCAGCCACGCCCCTCGTAGACTCGTCCATCTCCACCCACCAAGAAGTTATAGCCAATGTGGTCCCAGTCCCAGCTGTCCATGTGAAAGGACTGCACCACTTTGACCCGAGCGGAGCAAACCTCCTTTGAAGTGGAAAGTATGTAAGGGATTGAGGTGGTGAGAGGCTTATGGATAATGGGTATATGCGGTATATTATTACTCACCAACGATTCGCAACCCTCGGCTGCGGTGTGCGAGATGACCACCCGGTGGATGGGTAGCTTCTGTACACCGAGCTTATTTTTGGCGGGCTTGCCGCCCCACTCTGGCACCTTAACCATGACCAAGGTGCCATTATCGATAACATCGAAGTTGGCTGAATAGAAATTAAGGGGTTAACATAGCACTAATGCGATCGAAACGAAGATGGTGCCATTTCATTTGAAATAAAGTCATTCTATGGGCTTGGTATTGGTCAATATGCATTTATGTAAATGTATTCCAATCTAAACTGCTCTTTGTTCAGGAATAAGTAGAACAGGCTACTAAATTTGTTAAACAAAAGGTGTTTTTTGAAAGCGTTTATATTGTAAAGGTTATAGTGGTTTTGATTTATATCGCTAGTTTTTTATACTCTCTAATCTACTAATAGCTCCATCAATGTTTCGATCGTAAATGCATTGGTGATACGCGATATCCGATTCACTGGAATATTCCATTCAATTGAACTTAGGCCACACTTTTGATACATGTTTCACTTCACAACACTGATCCGTGGAATCAGAAACGCGTATTTCGAGCAGCAGGATGAATGACGTTCCGACACAAAAGAATAAACATATAACCAATGAGTTATTATTTACAATATGTAGTATAGAATGGGTTAAATATACATGCAAGCTGGGGGTGAAATAACGTATTAAAGCATGGTAGCCAATTCGGTTTTGTTGGTTAGTTGAAAGCATTTTCGCACACTTATTGGGGACAAAACTGTACCTATTGTTGAATTGATTGGAATATTTTGTCTGGAATCGTCGACGTCGCCGAGCTTACTTTGGTTCAGTGTTTTTCCGAAGAGATTTGTGGTTGTGGCCAGAACGATGCCCAGCACAGTGGTAAGTAGCACAAAGACCACTGTTATTGTGACGGCCTTGCGACCAACGGTATTGGGCAGAAAAGGACAAAGGGGTGGCGTCTGTGGATCGTCCAGCTTAGAACCTGTAGGGTTTTTGAAGAAAATAGTGGGTAAGTATAAGGATTTTTCCACATTTTCTACACATGGTTAGGAAGGGTTAGGAAAAAGACTAATCTAATATATAATTTAATTTATCATGGACTGAGGAACATCTTACGTTTCTGAAGCCCCATTTCTAGGACCTCCAATCGTTTCTCATGCTCCCGCAAACACTTTTCCAAGCACTGACTTAACTTGGAAACATTTTGAACCTTCAGTACACAAACATCACATTTCCAGTTTAAATTCTGCACCGTATCTATCATTCTAAGCTGATCTTCATTTAATCCTGTACATTTCCGATGATAGACCTGCTCACAAATCCCGCTATCACACTTGATATGACTCGAAGTGGATGAGATGATCTCTTGGCATTTTAGGCAAATTTCAAGCGCGTTACTCGACATTGCTCGATCGCTCTATATGAACAACTGAAGCCAATCGTTGGTCTGTGAATTGGGTACTTTTTCCGACCACTGCGTTCTAGTTATTCGACTTTTGCATTTAGCAAGTAATTAATTAAATATATTCACACAAAGAAAAAAATCCCCCCTCCCTCAATGGGCACGCGCTTTTTATTGCCAGATTCAGGGGGATGTACCTTTAATCATTTCTGCTCCCATAATAACAACCACTAACCAACTACAGCTAACTAAATGTATATACAGAGCCCTACGTGTCGGATAGTTGAACTCGGAATTGGAAATTTATTTTGGCCTGTTAGCTCGCTTAATTATGGTAATTGTGAAAATCATTCGAATAAACATGTGCATGTGGGCAGCTGTATTTGTTTTTTCTAGAATCCCCGCCAAGCTTTTACCAATTTGATTTATAGATGGGGTGAAACAATTATCGAAGGAAACCTTGGATTTTCAAAGATTTGTTTTTGATTATTATTTTTTCAAGAAAATAAAAAATGCAATAAAAACTGAGCATAATGTTCGGCTTTTTAAAATAGAATCAATCTTAACAACTTATCAATTTTCTTTCGATTTTTTAATAAAATTTTCCCTCAATAGGAGCACAATGTATACCAGTTCATCTGCAATAAACTGCATTTATGCTTCAAGTTTCGTGTTTGTTCTGCGCATTTTTCATGAATTGTGGAGCTTTGTGGGCCATCTGCTAATCTAACATTCGCAGCACGGTCGTTAAAACCAATTGTCTGTCTGGCTATCCGTCCATTAGACTAGGTTGGGTAAACAAATCGCCACACGCGCTCAGTATCGCCCAATAAAGCAAACAAAAACGGAGCCAAGGTGAAGACAGTGCAGGAATGTAAACACTAGAAGAAAAATGGCGGCCGGAAATGGCTAATATTTTAGAGGTAACACTGTCATCCCTAAAACAAGAAACTAGAACAAGTTTCTCAACAACTAAGAGGGTTTTTCATTGAAAATTTTCTTTTGATTTTAAAAAACCTACTTTCTACTTTAGTCCTTTTTATATTTTTAATGTTAAGAATATTGTAGTCATCATAACTCACCCGTAGCACTACCATTTGCTGTAGTTCCGCCATTGAAGCCTGGATTATCCTGTCCACCTCCAGAGCCGTCCCCCGATTTCCACTTATCACGGTTATCGATAAGAAACTGTTGTATCGTCACGGGTCCCTCGTAGAAATGCTTATCCCCAAAGGTAACGTCCGTGGAATTGGTAAGCGCAATACTTCCAATGCCCTGGGTAGCACCTCCGCCCGGCGGAGCTGTGGGCGTGGCCAGGGCCAGATTCCCGTTAAGAATTTGCTTGGCCACGGCTCCGGCTGCGCAGGGCGTTGGGGGTGGCACTTCCGCCTGACTAGGCGCCACCTGGCGGGCGATCACTGTGAGTCCTTGGTTGAGGTCGCGCAGGTGGGAACTGTTGGGCGGGTAGCTGACCTGGTGGCCCAGTTTCTGAATCGTATAGTCCTCGGCATCCGCCTCCGAGTCACTATCGATGCAACTGGAATCGGGGGCATTCTCGTCGATGGAAACAATCGAGATGGTGGTGCTTCGAACGGACACCGTGGGTGACGACTTTTTGGTGGCACTCTGGGTGATATTTACAGTGTGCTCTATGCTGATACGCTTGGCATCCGATGGTGTATCAGCTTGGGCTCCAGGCGCTTCCGGGTCGCCATGCTTTTCTGCCTTATCTTTGGTCTCTTTGTCCCGCCGAAATACAGCCGCATTATCGTTTAAAATAACACCCGAATCCGTGGAGGAAGTACTGCAGTTCTTGGCGGCCGTCAAATCAATGGTGATACTGTTCTGATGCGAATAATCATTCATTTCCGGTTCATTGCTCAGATGCATTGCGAGCTATCGAATATGGTGGTTTTATCGATATCTGTCAGCGTTGCTAGTTGACGTTTCTGTTTAGCAAGTTGGGTAGAACATTTTCGCCGGCGTTAACCTGTTTTTTTTTATGGCAGATCGGCTGACTGGGCGCAGCACTTGGCAAATATCACATCATGAGCATCTCAGCAAAAAATTTATAGGTTCTTTTTTCACTTGGATTGTTGACTCAAGTGATAAACACACAGAGAAAGTAGACTTTATATAACTGAAGATGCAGTCTAGAAATTGCTTAATTCGAGGGAATTCACAGTTTCATTTATTTGATTAGGTTCGTTTTAAGAACATTTGTGATAAAGTGGCTTTTGTGGAAATTATCTCTTAAACTGCATTTGTAATCCTCTATTTATAGACGCCCGCTGGTAAATATTGAAAATTATCTTTTCTTTTTATTTATTTTCACATAAACACAACTGAAATGATAAAAAAATATGGGATTTCTTTGTTACAATATTTTTCACTTCACTTTTATTATTTTATTATTTTGTTTCACTTATTGCTTATGCTTTTAATAATTGTATTATTGTTATCACAGTCTATTAGAGACAGTTTCTTTGTGAATTATTCGAATAATCATTGCTTTTAGTTCATGTATACACGATTGTTGATAAGCTCGATTGCCTGTGGGCTTGTCTATGGAGTTTTTGAAAAAACGCGAATAAAATATCTGCTGTACTGCCGCTGCTTCTGTGGTGTAGCAATAACCGGGCTTTCGAGTAACCCTCGGATACACTCGGTATACCCCTCATTTCGATTCATAAAGTTGGTCAATAAGCCGCCAGTCGTCGCTCTCACGGCTCTCGCAAAAGCAAAAGGCTTATGCAAATTAGCTATAATCATTGACGTATAAAATGTATTTAAGTGGATTCTGGGAAATCGGCTACCTTATAGCACTTGTCTTTGTTGAAAGCTACAAATTTTGGTTTTTTAAATAGACTTTTGAAACTCAATGCAATTAGTAACTTTCCTTATTGGAAAGGTTTCAATATTCTGATGAAAAAATCAAATCGTTTGGAATGGGATTATAATTACAATCTAATTCCATGTAATATATAGATAATGGTTTAATTAGAAATGGAATTGATTAATACTAACACATTAATTTAAGAACTATTACAAGTTGGACAGGTATTTAGAAAATTTTAATAACTAAAATTCTCAGAAAATAGCTTTAAGTATTGTGTTAATGTTTTAAAAGGCAAAAACCATATGCAAGACAGTAACTTTCTTTGATTCCCAAGAATTCACAGAACTCTGATAAACCCTTGTACCCGAAACATCATCGACTATACGGTGGAAATGGGGGGGGGATGTTGGGTACTACCGATACACCCATGTATCGATGTGCTAGAGTTGGCACAGAGCGCGCTTTTGAGATAACAACGACAACGGCTACAAATGAGACCCAGAACCTCGAGCGGAAAATAAAATTACTGAGCGCACCAATACACTGACATTTGAGCGGCGGCCATTGTCACACATATACACGTGCATGTATATAGCCCATCACTGTGTGTATGTGTGTGTCCCTTTGTTGGCGGAATTCACGGGTGCCTCGTCTCGGGTCTTGAGAATCTCGTAGACTCGATAATAATTACCAAGTCTTGTGTTTTACGTGTTTTCAAAATTATCATTAAATATGGCCTATGTGCAAATTAATTGATTTTCGAACATGTTTATTGATAGCTTGTTTTTGTTCCCGGAAATTTTTCAGGTTTTTGATTTATTTGCTTTTCTTTTTGACTAAAAAATAAACTTTTGTTTCACTAGGCACAGTTTTAATTGGCTTGTTTAATATTTTTGTAATTAGCAGGTATTAATTTAATCACTTTTGTATTCATATAATTTTATAAATATCTTTTTTTTAATCTTTATTAATATTTTTTTTACGCACTATCTTTTGCCGACGGATCCGTTGCAAAGCGCATTATTTAAGCGCATATACTATACGCGTATAAAGCTTGTAACTGGGGGATATTATATAGATCCCGCGCCGTATCAAAATTGGTGAGCTGCGGCGCGTTGGAGTGACTCTGATCGACTGAGCGGCGATCAAATCGAAGCGACCTGAAAAGCTGGAGCGTCCGAGCATGCCAGCGTGTGGGAGCGAATGCGAGAGAGACAGAGAGACTAGAGCGCTGCGGGAAATGCGGGAGCAGGGGCAGCATATGGCGGTGGGGAAGGTGGAGCAGGAGCGGCGGGCAGATGGAGCAGGTTGGCTTATGAATCGGTGTTTAATATGGGACTAAAGTTGCTTGGTTCGAGTCGGATTTGAATGCAAGTCCAACTTGTTTTGGATATACATTTTGATATTCCAACTATTTAAATTTTCTGGGTGATGCTGGAAAACCTTGCTCTCAAAATTGTTTAATATTTTTAGAACAATGGGAAAGTATTTTTTTTCATATATAATTTTGAATAATTTTATTCGAAACAACAAATTTATTCTATCTAGTTTTTAGATTTGTAAGATCTGATAAAGTATCTGATTCCTTCATTCTTTTAAAGACCTTATGTATATATTTAAGGCTGATATTATATATTTTGTTAGTTTTATTTATTTATAATTTTAATATATTTTCTTTAAAGAATTTTTTTTCCGGTGCAAACTTCTTGTTAAGTATAGAGGCCTAATTGACTTGGCTTGTGGACAACTTTTCTTACAACTTAAAACTGGTTCGCGACGGAAAAGGTAACGATCTGAAGAATTTTCGAAAATTCCCAAATCTACTGCACTTGTAGACCTGCATTAAGATAAAGATAGTTTTCGGTTTTTCCGTGCGTCACTTGCTACAAGGAACCTGTTCTTGTTTTCGGGTTTTTTTCATTCGTCCAGATATTAGTCAAATTTATAATGATACTTGTGGCTCTACGCCCCACCACTGGAGATCTCTGTTCTCTGCGTCCCAAGTTCTCCAGTTCTCCAGTTCTCCAGTTCTCCAGTTCACCTGACGATGACTGTTTGTTTTTGTTTAGTGGCGTGTGTATATATTATATTTTTATTTGTTCAACCAATAAACAACACAAATCTCTGGCTCTCTCCCCGTCTACCGGCTACCAAAACACCTTTTTTCTTCTCAATTTTTGGTACAGACACACTGCAAGTGTGGGCAAATTTTTGAACATTTTAAATTGCGCTACCATTTCCGAGAATTGTTTTGTTTGTGGTTCGCAATCGTTTTTTTGCTATTTCACTTTGTTAACTTTATTTTTTTTAGTTTTTTTGTCCAAAAGTTTGACCCATTGTAGTTGCGTTGAAAAATATTTAATGTAATTATCTCTGAGCGAGCTCAGTGATCAGTTGATAGGTCTGAAAAAGGGCAGCGGGAAACTATAGATGGATAAATTGTAAAAAAAAGCCAATAAATTGCCGGAACGAATTTCAAACACGCTTTTTCAGGAAAGACATAAATAATTTCCTCCAAAATAAGAGAATAAATAAAAGAAAGTATGGAATGATTTCTAATAAAATATAATCTTTTGATAGCCTTTAAAAAGTCATAAATTTAATTTCAGTTCAAGTTCAAGCTTTAAAGCGTGCTTCTGATTTTTGTCAAAATAATATTCATTAGTCAATTGATTCTTTGTTGACCCATTTTTTTGTTAAAATACCCATCTATATAATTCTGGCAAATCATTTCCGATGAAGCTGAAAATTAATAAACCTTTTACATAAGAAATCAATCACTTTAGCTATTTTTATGTACCTTTACACAGTTGCTTTTCTTAATTATTATTAATTATTTTTACTTTGCTTTGCTTGGTATTCTCTTTTCATAGATATTTTTTTTTTTGGGAGTGAATTGTGCCTCGTACACGTGCCGCACAGCGGCATTGTTTTAGCCCCAAATTCGTTCCATCGGGCTGGTTTAATTAACAATTCCCAAGGTGCTTCAAATAATTAGTCAAAGCTTCAAGAAAAAAGAAATTAAAGAAAGGGGATTTACACGAAATTCGCACAAAGGTCATTGATATGATGGGTTGGGAAAGGTCCAGATCGGGTAATATTTCTGGGCAATTCCCACAGCCCTTTAGAATTGAAATAACTCAAGTAACTGTATCCCGAACCTTATTTATTTTCAATGATTGTATTTTAATTAAGTTGAAAACCAGATAAATGACAAAGGCAGTAACATCAACACAATCAAAGTGAAGCTACCGATAATGATGTTGTATAGTACTTGCACATACAAACAAAAACACACTTGAGTGTTAAAGCCAGACTGTATGGAGAGATATATATATTTATATGGAAGACTGATAGGTTGGCTGTGGCTTGGGTATTTCCAGCTTTTTTGAGCGACAGTTGAAAACAAAACAGCTCGAGAGATACCGATTCAGCGAGTAACTTTAAGCTGCGACTACTTTATAAATAAACACACACCCCTCTCCCAACCGGTTTGCCGTAAATTCCCAATTCCAAAATCCCAACACAGGCCAGCATAACCGATTTTGAAAAAGAAAGCCCGCTTCTCTTTAGTACATATACTAAATATAATTTGTGCTCGGATACACATTGGTGGTAAAAAGTCAAATGCTATTGCTTGGCATCCCACGATTCCGGTTTCATTCCCAGTTCTACGCCACATGCCGGCCCATCGTCCATGCCGCAGCCGTAGAAGTGCGGCCACTTACGGATCTCTCGATAGACATAGGCTCCCGGGCTTTTGCTAGTTCTGGTCTGGAAATAATTGTTATGTAGTGATATGAAATGATAGAAATATTATCTATAGTTACCTGATTCTGAGCCACTAGCTTGTAGTCCACCTCCAAGGCTCCGTTGGCCACGGCATGGGCCAACAGGAATTGGACGCCCTCCAGCTGTTTGGCGGAGGGCTGGAAGCGACCGTAGTCGCCCATAAAGGTAACGGCCAGTGTCTGGTTGGCATACGTGTTGGCCCAGTCCCAGCCGCGGCCCACATAGATGTTCCCCTCATCGGAGACCTGGCCGAAACAAAATCGGATACCCATCAGTTTTGCGTAAGCGGAAAGTAAAATGTCCAAAATGGCAAACGAACGTGTGTGGCATTTCTTTGGGAAATACACTGCGAATATTTAACTATTAGGTTTATTTTTAAAACTCACATAAAAATTTGATTGAATGTCCGGCAAACTCTTTTCCGCAATCGCCGAATCCTGAATGGTTCGCATTTTAATGGAGCACTTGTAGATGTTTTCGCAGGGCAACGACTGCACTCCGATGTGTGTGATCAGGACATAGGGTATGGGCCTCTTCAGGGGAATGGTCAGGGCAGGAGTGGTCTTGGCTGCTCCCCACTGCTCTCGGTCGATGACCAGGTGTCCGTTTCCTAGATTCGGAACTGTAAAATTGGTGAATTGGCTATGAGGGCAGCACGATCCCCGCCCACTTACACGTGTCGTGGTCGTAGGTGTTGCCGAAGTAGATGGCCTTGTTGCTGGGCAACTCCGGCTTGGGTCGATTGAGTTCCACGTAGAGCACAATCAGTCCGGTGGCCAGGACCAGTAAGATCAGGGTAATCAGTAGGATGGTGTTTCTGGTCAGTCGCTTGGATGGGGAACTATCGCGGCTACGATTGGCATTACCGATTCCATTGCTGTTGATTCCTGAATTAGCGAAAGTTAATTAGCATACAAGGTGAGAAAGTGGATTTTTTATAAAAATAATATTAGAGACCACTAGGCGGATGCGCAATATTGAAGCTACGTATAGGTATAAGATGTATCTTTACATTTCCCTTTTGTATTCTCCAGATATCAGATAGAAAAATTTATTTATTTTTATTGCATTTACTTGAGGAATCCCGGGAATGGGCGGTACTGGGTTCCGGGGTGCGTCTTCGTCGCGCCGTGCGTTCTGAGTGTACTTTAAGCAATAATTTCATGGCACTGGTTTCCACCGCTTATCACAACGCTTTGGCACACAAACTTTGGGGCATTTTATTGGCAAACTTTTATGAGTAATGATGTCGTCGGTGAGTCATCGAAATAATCATAATAAATGGATACAGAAGCCAGGTTGTTTGACCGATAATTATCGGATGTGATCGGCAGTAGCAGAGCAGCAGAATGTTACCGCCACCGCACCTGAACCCGTCGCAGAAACAACTGAAAGCTGAAAGCAGCTGTCGATGGAACACTGAACAACAAAGCAGCCACAAGGCAAAAACAAAACAAATAAGAAAATACAGCAACTACATACACCCGTCCCACTCCAACCTCGGTTGACATGTTTTTTCTGTTTTTGTGTGAAATACAATAAAAGGGAAAGAGGCGTTGGGCTGCGCGGAGGGGCTGCGTCATCGTATAGCCGGCCTTTTTTTGTTGTTATTTTTTGCCATATCATATTTTGCACACTTACGCTGTATACTCTTATATCTTATTTCTGTTATTTCTCGCCCCGTTTTTAGTGCCGCTTCCCGTACACACACTCTATTGTGCGGGACTACGTGACGTATGAGCAATGTGGAGTGTGTCGTGAATCGTAATGCGCTCAAGACTGATCCACAAGCCACAAGACTGCTCTTTCATACTCTCTTCTCTCTCTATTTGCATACTTAAAGTGCACTAATACATGTGCGTGTTGGGGTTCCTGGAATCCCGGTGCACGATTTGCATTTAGATTATCGTGGTTTGAAGACTGATCTGTTTCTCCCGCCATTTTATCAAAAATGATATTTTTAAACAATAGTATTATGTACTTTAAGTAATTATTTTAAGAAAAGATTACGAAGTTTTCAACATAATTAAGTGAATTTTAAAATAAATAAACCTTCATTAAGTATTTTTCACAGTCAAATAATAATATTTTAAACGGTTTGTTAATTTATTTATTGTTTTTAGAAGTTTAAATCAAAAAGTTTACTTAAATGTTAAAAGCATTTGTTTTAAAAATGCTTTTAAAGAAAAGAAACAAACCCGATTGATATTATTGCAGAAAAATTATTCAAATGATGATTTTACAAAAGGAAATATTTTTTATATATTTAACCTTTTAACCTTAATATACTTTAGTAATCATTTAAATAATCATTTGAAATATTATTATGGAAAATTCGAATTCTTTGTTAAGCCCCATTCCCGTTAATTCAATAAAAAATCTACTGTATGGAAATTATAACTTTGATTGCCTACTGCCTCTATAATATTTCAGACTGTTCAGGATCGGGGACTCACCGGCTGCGGTTTGCATGGCGTGTGCCTCCATACTGGCATCCATATAGTAAATAGATACCGGTCCCTGGTATTGGGTCATGGGTCCAATAACCACATCGGTGGAGTGCGACAAGTTGATCACACTGGAGGGCTGGATGGCGGGATTAGTGAATATATTCTGTGGCAAGGGCAGGCTGGAGGATGCCAATGGCGAGGATGTGGCTGAAGTAAGGTTGTGCAACCTCTGGGAAGCACTGGGACGCTCTCGACCTTGTATTGTCCACATGGCATTATCGGGCGTTGAGCTATTATTCTCCTCGACCATTGTGGAGTTGTGAAGAACTACACAGGAAAAAAAGTGGTGTTTAAACTCATAAATTAGAGGATATTTTTTCTTCTGTTTCTAGGCACAACTTTTTTAGTTTTTTCAAACTATCACCAAAAGGACATTCCTTAAGGATATATTATACACTTTTCTCACAGTGTTAGGATGATCGACGATCTTTAAGGGTTTCCGGAGCACCGTGGAGCGTTCTGTGTACCGCTTGCGTGATAGTTGAGCGACGACTGTTCGACGTTGCACTTCCCCGGATGGGGATGAAGCTGAAATATAAACAAAAATATCGAGTGGTCCTCTCCCGGCTTACTCACTCTGTAGAGCCGGCCCATGATTCCATTGTGTCTCTCTCGGATTTGAAAATTTGCGACGGCCTTTTTTTCCATTACAGTCGTATGAAAATATCAGTTGGACGGGGTAATTTTTTTTGTTAATCATGCATATTTCGTTATTTAATTGCGATACAATGACGGAGCAGTTGATTTCCCTATATTCTGCCATCTATGGAATATTTTTGAATAATGAAATACAATTTGAAATTGTCGTAGGTCTGGCTAATATAAAAAAACTGGCAATTATAAATATTTTTTTTGGAAAAGTTGTACTTTATTTCCACAGCGATGATCAAATCAAATAACTTCGCCATCTAGTGGTTGGCGACGTCAGTTAATAAGTACAAAAGCTTATATAAAGCTCATATTACGTATACGCACGGTTGTCGACTTGGATTTGTCAAATAAATGTAATATAGTAGAACAGCATTTTAAAAAATAAACGATTTGAAAAATTAATAGAAAAATTGTTTTTTCTTAAAGTTAATTAAACTTATAAAATATTACTAAGTAGAGTTAATATAACTAGCGCAATTAAGTTACCAATCGCCCAAGAATAAGATAAATATAAATTATAATGACTTTATTATTAAAAATGTAAAATTAATTACCATTTCTGTAGCCTCTAGTTCAATGCCCTTGTGAAAATGTGATATGATTAAAGATAGACTCTTTTCGGTTTCAAAGAGTAAATAGTCGCCTGGGGACAATGACATTGCGTTGGAGGAATTCGACAGAAGGGGGAGTAGAAGTTCCTAGGACTATGGCCTCCTCATGGCTAAAATGTAGGCAAAGTGCGAGCTGCAGTGAATCGATAAAATTGGCTTCATATGCAATTTGGAGGGCGGAGAGACCGAAAACAGGGCCAGGCACTTCCGCTATCTATGCAAAAGACAAGGAGTCAGTCGATGGGCTGTGAAAGTGGGTGGCCAAAGTGGGTGGTGCAGCAAAGTTTCGCTATCGCTTCCGCTACGGCTCGCAAGTGTTGTCTGCGTTTTTACCCCATTTCCTTAAGCCCCTAAAATCGAAACGAAGAGGGTGAAATAAAATACATTTAATTGCCTGTTTGGTAGCTGGACTCTGCTTCCGGGTTGTTTCCTCGACTGAACCTGTTTTTCCTGGCCACCATTCCGCTTTAATGGCAAATGCCGCCCATCGATTTTCCCAAAAAGAGCGGGGGTGTAAAAAAAATAAATAAATAAATTTGCATTTGGCTGGAGCCAATCGCCCCCTTCTTACCCAATTTTTACTCTGAGATTCATTTGAAGGCGGATTCCGCCTAATTGATTCAATTTGTATTCATTTTGGGCACTCGACAAATGCAGAATTTTCCCCCGAGCGTTTGACGAAAGTCGTCGTGAACGTAATTAAAGAAAGAATAAATTTTGAAATTAATTCATTTACATTTAAATAGCCAAATTTGACATGGAATTCTTGGAGACAAAGACGGAGCTTTATGGGGAAACAGGAAGAGAGCTGTAAGGGTAACTTAATCACTTTTACAATCCATAATCAATGAATGATAAGATAATACTGCATTATATGTACTCGAGCTATTTCGTTCAACATTTTAGTTTGTTTTTACGTCTCACCCACTGCAGTTTGAAAATTTTATATTCTCAAAATGGGAAAACCAAATAAGAAATCCCAGGTATATTATTCTTCAGACGAGGAGGACTTTAATAACTTAGTGAGTATTCATATTCTCAATATATAAATATATTTTTTCTAATATAATTTCCTTTTTTTGTAGCAAAAACACTGCGGTTGCAATGAAAGTGATGATGTCGCCATCAATAAGCTTAAAAATCAGCTAAAAGAAAAGGAATCGGAGTTGGCTTTCGTAAAAGAAAAGTTGGAAATATACCAAGATAAAATTAAGGATAAGAATGATATAATAGAAGCCCTTAAATCCTCCAATAATCTATATAAATTGGAGTATAAGGACAAGATTAATTCTCAGGCGGAACAAATAAAAGCCCTCAATGTGGAACTGTTTCAACGATCGGGAAAAAGTCTTAAAAATATTAGTGACGACCATGTGGAAGAAAAAAAACAGGAGAATAATAAACTTGAGGCTCCCTACAAGGCAAAATTAAAGGAGAAAGACGACCAAATTATGTTTTTAGAGATGGACTTGAGTTTGGCCAACTTAAAGATTAAGGAAAAGGACGATTTGTTAAAAAATCAGGCGGAATCTATTGAAAATTTTAAAACGAAGTCAAACTAAAAACAGTCCGATTAAAATTATATGTATTTTCATATATTTTATCCTGTTAGGAATAACAAAAACTAGGGAAAATGTAAACTGTGTTATTGTAAAATATATAGAAAAATGTCCTATGTTATTATTCAGAAGAGAAGGATATTAATATCCTTAAAAAGTCAAGAGGGTAGATGCTATAAGGACCAAGTGCTATAAAATCATTATAGGGTATTACATAGATTTTAAATGATGGTCCTTTTTACTCAAAATATCCTTCGTAAGCTGGCGCCACCTGTTGAGAAAGTATCATGTCCTTGTAGCTGCCAACTCTCAGAAAAAATATGTTTTGCTCCCACAACAAAACGCCATATTTTGAGAAATTCTTATTTGCGCAGGACATTTATAAAAATAAATATAGAATATGGTAAAGGATATTTTGAAGGACTTGAAAAGGATATATTGAAAGGAAAGGATCAAAGTAGCTATAAAAATGTTAATAAAAGACAGGAAATATTTAACAAAGTTTTTGAATTTTGGGATGTTTAGTTTATAATAGTTTATAGACGATAAGGAAAACAAAGAAAAAGCATATATATTCAAATTTTGCAAAATTAAGAAAAATATTATAGCATGTCAACTAATTTTGCTAAATTTTGAATTTTTCTTAAATTGAAATAATTAAAATTTTTTTAAAAATATTTTATAAGTAAACTTAAAGTTGCTTTGTTCCTCTTCCTGAATAAAAACCCTCTTTCAAACCTAATAACCATTGATTTTGTTTGATAACTAAAATCCTATTGGGGAACCCGCCAACCAAAGTCGAATTTGTTCGGCTTCCGCAACATAAATTCCCAGTGAAAGGATGCCAAAGGAGGAGGGTACTGGGTGCCACTGAGTACTGGGTGGATTGTAAAGGCAACCAAAAGCAAGGAGAAGAGCAGCAAACTACTTCTAATAACAACAATCAACGCTCTCTTCGGGTTGTTTGGGTGCTGTGTAATTACATGACAGCAACAGCAAAAGCAGCACCAACAACATTACGAATTACGATAATAATTTCCATTTCTAATTTCCTTACCATGCAAAAGGCCTTTGCACTGGCGGAGGTTTCCAGGCTAACAGGCTGCCAGGCAGCAAGGCAGCCAGGCTGTCGGGTTGAATAGAAACTACCCGAAACCACCCTAAAACCACCCAAAACTATTTAACACCACCCATCAGCCACCATCTTTCCGGCAACAACCAGCTAAACAGACGGGCAGGATAAGCAGAAAAAAAATATTTAAAATATAATAAGCTTTTAAAAAATTGCATTTGAATCAATATTGTTAATATTGATGTTTTGTGAAGGTTTATATAATAAAATGTGTATTTCAAATATATGCTTTAACAAGCAATATATAATACGGATTGACTTTTCCAAGTGCATCAATAGGTTTAGATAGGAGGAGGTTTCTGTGGCCCCCAACGTTGGCATAATTTCGATGCAGAAATCTAACTGAATGCAAATGCAATCATTGACTTTTTAGCTTATAACGAAATAAGCGTTGTGTTTATTGGTCGACTGAACGAGGCAGCCATAGACTGCTACCATCCATGTCCTTAGAAAGGATAACTGAAAGAACTTGGCTGCCACACACAGTGTGGAGTGCACTTGTGCATTCAAAACATTGTCTGTGGCGCCCATTCTTGCTAGAAAAATTTTCAGAAACTAAGCCCAAAGAGTCGAAGGACAAAAGTAATTAAAATTAGTTTAATAAACAACAGCAATTAAGATTTTATTTTCAAAACATATCACATACATTTGTGTGGGGGCTTGATATTTTTTTAAGCTTCAGGACTCTTACAGTGCTTACTTTTTCTTTTTCCTTTTGCATTTGTCTTAAATGCAGTTATCTGCTCAACAGGATGAGTCCTTGGCTTTATCCTTACTACCATGGCACTATCTGTTCTCCTTAAATCGGCTGAGCTTTCCGCATGGCACTGCCAATCGAGTGAGGATATTCGCAGCCAGTGGTTGTCATCGGGCAGGTGAAGTGGATGTGTCTTTTTTTCCCCTTTCATTTCACGTTTTATTTTATTTCCAGACCGCAAGAGCCGCACCGTGAAATTTCCTTTTATGCTGCCTTAATGCCACGCCCACTATCTGTCCTTTTTTGTTTTTGTAATTTGATAATGCATTTGATTAAGGAAATGAAATTTTTATTAAGGCTGTTTGCTCATTCGCGTCGCCGGCATTGCGCGTTGCTTTTATGATTTTCCACCCATACCGCCCCCAAAAATGTATTCCTCCGTGTGTGTGTGTGCTTTTCCCTTTCTTTTTTTTTTTGGTATTTTATTTATTTTATTTTTGTGCTGCTCTGTTTTGTATCTTCAGTTTTTTTGCTGCCACTCCTGCCACATTTCCCTAACCCTGCAGTTTTGTTTTCGCATAATTTCTTTGAGTGCGGTTTGGATCTCGGCGATTTTACGATGGCTGGGAAAAGTGTCGGAAAAAAGGCGAATGGGTGTGTTCTACCTGGAATTGCTGATTTCTCTTTTTTTCTGGTCCTGTTTCTGGTTCTCTGTTATTCAGAATGAAATTTGCATTGCAATGGTTAAATATATAATTTAATTTTTTCATCCCACAACTTCTATAGATATTTACATTGTTTTTTCATGACTTTGTTTGAGTGGATAGTGTGTGTGGGAGGTGTGGTGTGTGTAAATGGTTTAGTTTAGTTAATGTGTTGATGGACAGATTGAAAGCCAACAAATAATGAAAGCTCCCCAAGGAAACCTAAATAATATAAAATCTGGCAATGTAATTGCATAACAAGCTTTGGAAAAATGATTGCGGGCTTGGTGTGGCACATTTTTTCCCCAAGGGAACGCGAAAATTTATCACATTACTTTTTTTTTTTTGTTTTTTGACGGCCTGGGACATGTCACGAAACTAAAACTGTAAATGTGAAAGGAGTGGGAGTGTCAGGAGGGGAGGCAGGCTCTACAGTGGCGAAGAGTGCAATGGAATTCGCATTCAACACCATGGAAAACCCTTCGTGCGCTAACTAAGTGCGCTCATTCAACTCCGAAAAACAAACTTTTTGCTATTGTTATTACACTTTTTCACATTTTGTTGATGGTTTTTTTTTTTTTGTAAGTATTTTGTTTTTTTGTCCTAAAAGGAGGCGGGAATCCTCCGCTGGTCATTGACTTTCGAGCAACTTTCCGCTTGACATTTAACGAGCATGTTAAGTGTTAGAATGAAGCCTACTTTTGTGCGTCGGACATCTCTGCCCACTCCACGCCCCAAACCCAGTGTTTATATTATTTTGTTGCTCTTGCTTGTATATATTTCCCCCGCAGACATTGTCCTCGAACAACAAAAGTTGTGTTGGCCAACCAACTCTTCATTCCGGCCATTCAAGCCCAGATCCTCCATCTTAAAGCGGCTAAAAAACTTTACGCTGTTAGCTGAAATCTGTTTGGTTTAAGCCCGGCTGGCAAATGCTGTGGCCATTGCAGCATCGAAATGTGGGTCATTTGCTGTAATGTTGTTTTAAAGAGGTGCCCTTATTTATTATTAAAATTTAATCAAGGAGAATTGTTTGTAAAGAAACCCAGTTCGATCGATGGGATGGTAAGTAAGACCTTCAGTACTTAAAGTTTTTCTTAGTTTTTGAATAAAAGTTAATTATATTATTAATTTTAAGTTATAGTCCCTGGATTTTTTGAGTTTTATTTTAAAATTATATTGTCGTTTTTATGAATTCCTCCGTTAACTTAATTCTATTTAAAAAATGTTTCAAAAACCATTTTTAAAACGTTTAAAACTTAATGTATGAATCAAAGGGATATTTTGCCTGAACAATAAGGGTTTCATCCACCCCTAAGACATGTCGCGAATTAGTTTTACAGGAGTATTTTCCCCTGCAACTCAACGTGTTGCAAAGAATCCTTTTCTAACTCAAACATGCTGGAAGGATATCCTTAATATCTGTTCCCATTCAATTCCTTGCTGAACTTTCAACTTTGAAATTGAAGAGCGACGAAGTAGCAAGGAATTTCGTAAAATTTCGCTGAAGACCAGGGGCGTGTTTGCATTGGACCTACCTCAAAGTCAGTCATTTGGAATAGACAATGGGCCGCAATTACAGGCACGCTGTTCCGTTTGAATTTTTTTGGCAAAGGCCTAGAGTGGAGTTGGGCTTTTTTTTCGAGGAAAGGGAGCTAAGGGTTAAGGGGTTTTTGCACCATGCGGTGCCATCACAAAACAAACCCACACACACCCATGTGCGTGTGGAAATAAGTGCGGCAAAGTACTGCGTTTCCATTCGAATGGGGGCAGCAAGCTCAACTTTGTCTCATTGTCTCGTCGCTAAAAGGGATGCGGCGGTGCGGAAGGCGGACCGGAAACGGAACCGGGATCAGCATGCAGCGGATATGGGAAATTATTCACCTTTTGCCGCAGCACTCTCGCATTTTGTCGATACCCCCAGGGTGACCGGAAACGGAGCTATCCATAGCATCATCCGATTCGATCCATTCCACCACTTTTCCATTCCATTCGATTGGGAATCGCTTTCAGCAATTCCCTTTCTAGTTTCTCGCTTTGCGGTTGCCAACTTCCATTGCCACCTGGCCAAGCCAGGCCTGTCCCGGCCATGGCCAATGGCATTGCCAAACTAAGCGATTTATAAACGATTTGCCAAACTTCGTTTCGACCTTTTCGGGTTTTTGTGGCTTTACAGCGGCTGCTGCTTCTACTGCTTCTGTGTCTCCTCTACCACCTGCGGTCGAGTTTTTTTTTTTTATTATTTTGGGTAAGGCCTCGAGTAGGCCAAATATTTGCTAATGAGTTCTGGCTTTCTATTTATATATGTATGTATGCCAGAAAGGTGAGAATTTTGTGGGTCTGAGGCTGAAATATGTAATATTTACCTATGCAAATGAGAATTGTCGGTCCTGTCTAAAATTATTGATTTTCAGGTATTGAGGGATTGGGTTTTGTTAGTGGGGTTTGGGAAAATAAACATAGAGCTTTA